GTAGCCCTGCTACAGATCAAAATACCTTCATTGCACGGCAGTCAAATCCACAGTGTTCATTCATTAAGCTGGAATATAGTAGCCAGATTTAATTGAACATGACGGAAGTAACTGTGCGGTCACTGGTGACGAGGCCGCCGAGTGCCCGGTTTGTGAACCTGGTGATCTGAGTGAGTTTGATTCCTGCTCATGGCCAACATGGGTGGAACATTTATGAACAAGTCCTGGCTTGGACCTCACCAAAGTCAATTCAGCCTTAAATGATTCCTTGGTGCAGTGTGTAAACATGACGAAGGGTGCGAGTGACCTTAATCGCACCACACCACCTCGTGTGACGTGCCGGCCTTCACAGGTGCTCGTTTCACAGGACAAGCCCCAACGGTTTGTTAAGGCAAATACGGAGGATCTTTGTATTTGCCAAAGCGTGTACCCGTGCGGTTTGTGTCCACAATGACACAAAAGCCCTGAAGTGTTGATGCTCCGTTGCGTAAAACACGACCATGCACACAAGATATTGAAATGATAGATCTGGTCATAAATGGTAAACCATGTTGGCTTACAAATGTGACTTTTGTTCGTCGTTGTTTACAGCGTTTAAGTCCATCATGTCTCGCCCTACAGTGCAGATACAAAAAAAACTGAAGTTGCCTGGCGAGCGTTGGTTACTGAAAGATTTGTGACTGGCTGAGATAAGTGGTACGAGATTCAACTCGCCTATGCCACTAGTTCCGACTGCAGTACAAACCAACTGTAGGTGAAACCCTCACCTAGTTGTACAATACTGCTGAAGGATACTCCTCATTCTCTTGTAAAATAGCTGGGAAACTGGCCAGTCGTGATCATTCATGCAACAAATCATAATGAATTCAAATTAAACAGAATCGCTGATGCATAATTAATGAAGCTACACGCGAGATGTCGGAAGTTTGGAACCGATCGTAGATGGAAACAATTTGGCCAGTAATATAACTTTTGTTTACAGTCATTTCCAACATTGTAGTCTATAATGTCTTAACGTAAAATATAACAAACAACTGGAGTGGTCTGGCCAGCGTTGGTTCGAGAAAGATTTGCACCTTGGCCAAGATTTGCGTCACGAGAGCTTTAGGTGGGCGCCATGGTGGCGAGACGTTAACTGCCTCGCCTGGTATACAGGAGGTCGTGGGTTCGATCCTGACCCCGATGCCTGCTGTATATATGGAGTTTGCATGTTCTCCATGTTCTCCCTGTGGTAGCGTGGATTTTTCTCCAGGTCCTCCAGTTTTTCCCTCCACATTTAGAATCGACATCACGCGTTTCGAGTATTTGGCTGTTAGAAATTTCCACGCGATAAGCCACGCCGTTGAGCTATCATTTGTGGCCTGGTCCCTTTTGAAAAATAGCTATATAGCTCGGTGGGCCTTATGTGGTAAATAAAAAAAAAGTAGTGTATAGGTGAGTTTTAGGCATCCATTTATCACGACTCAAATCTGCGTTAGCGCCGTTGCGGTTTGCGATTGCGATCCAAATCCACGGAGATTGAAACCTCTCCCCCCCCCCCACCCATTGCTCGCGCCCCCCCTCGCCATGCATCACGAACAATAAATAGTTCCGGATTCGCATCATTTCTCGAAAGCCCTGCCAACATGCCTGCATGTGTTTGATGCGGGTGCTAAGTCTGTTGCTGTTGTCGCTACTGTGCACACGGCGGTGTCAGGTGGATTTTACAGTGCTCCTTCCCGTCGTGCCGCTTATAAATGATTCAAAATGATTCACGCGGCCGGGCGGGCGGGCGGGGGAGTGACGCCAGGAGCAACGGGAGTCGTGGATGAAAGTGGGACGACGGGCACGGTTTGCTTTATAAGAGGATTCCTGAGCCCCTTTGGTCGTTGAAGCCAGGGAGACACCCCCCCCACCCGTCCTCCCCCATCGAGTGATAGAACATCCTCTGAGTGGGATAAATTTACAGCTCCCTTATCTGGGAAACCAGGACATGGCTCACTTCTTGGGAGAGCAGCGGGTCTCGCAGTCATGATGGGGAATTCAACCCCTGGCGACGGTTAAGTCAGCCCTCTTGTTATCATCATCATCGTCACCACCGCCATCTTTCTGGAGTCGGTCAAGGGGCCTCAACAGTAGTTGGAGTTCATCTTCATGGTTCTTTCGGTAAGGTCACGTAGAATGGAAATAATAAAATAATAAAAATCAAACATAATAAAATAATTCTCAAGACGTTTTGGCCACAACGCAAGGAGCCGTCCTCAGGTGGAGAACAGGTCTGTCGAGAAGACAGAGTCTGAATGACACACCCCAGGCTTGGAGCGTCTATATAATCTGGGATGGAGGGGGGAAGAGCGCCTTGACCTGTTCTCCACCTGAGGACGGCTGCTTGCGTTGTGGCCGAAACGTCGTGAGAATTATTTTATTATGTTTTATTTTTATTATTTTATTATTTCCATTCTACGTGACTTTACCGAAAGAACCAAGAAGATGAATCCCTGCAGTCACGAAAGCTTTAAATCGAAGTTGTAGAAGTTGTTGGTAAATATTTAATGTATATCACGTTCATCGTCCACTGCTGGATGAAAGTCCCCCCCATACTGTGTGGGTCACGGGGGCTGTGTGACCATACTTCACCACTCGGCTCAGTGCTGATTGATGCAGGGTGAGGCCCAAGACCCATTCGGATTTCGCTCCGCACTGATGTTAGCTTTGGCTGGTAATGAACACTGGGGAATCACTCGGTTTATAGTGCAAAGGTAGATAATTCTGGATTCCAGTCCCAATAGGTTTACATACTACACTCAAGCAATAGCCATTTCTTGATTGTACTCATGATTACCCACATCCAACCGGTTGTGTCCGGGTCAGCGACCCAGAAAGTAATTCACGCATCCGGCACACCACACCCAGTTTACACCTCACTGTGGCTGTGGATAATTGTCATGTGCCTACTCGCGTTTACCAATGACCTGTTTACTATTAAGTGAGACAATAGGCCACATCGCTCGAGTGACTGACATGTACGTCTGAAATCGTGGCATGGCCTGATAAAAAAGGTAAGAGTGCAGCCCTGAAATTACTTGTCTGCTAGCAGATGGGGTCCTCATCTTGAGGGCGCTCTAAAGATCGCCTTCAGAGGGTATCTTGGCCTACTCTACAACGCTGACCCGATGTCTTTAAAGAGTTGGGAGTACCCAGATTGTACCCCACCGCAAACAACCTGCCGATTGACTAACTGGTGTGCCCATTTATTCTCTGGGGTGAACAGAGGTAGTGGGGTGGGAATTGGAAATAAACTTGCCCATTGTTTCAACTGCCACGCCAGGAGATTTGAACACGCAGCCTCTGGAATGCAAGTGCAGTGTCCTGCCCACTATTATGCTGCTGTGGCCCAGCATCCTTTACCCTCGCCCAGGTGAAAAATAACAACACCCGACAACATTGACGATAAAATTCGGCGATGGGACCGTGAGAGGGTGGCCCAGTCGCATGGGTGGCGCCATCGTGCTGAGATGCTAACTACCTCGCCTGGTATGCAGGAGGTCGTGGGTTCGATCCCGACCCTGACGCCTGCTGTATATTTGGACTTTGCCTGTTCTCGCCGTGGTTACATGGATTTTTCTCCGGGTCCTTGGATTTTTCTCTCCAGATTTAGAATCGACGTGCGATTGGAGTATTTGTCTGTTATAAATTTCCACATGATGAGCAACTTCGTTGGGCCCAGTGAGGCCTTACCTGGTAAAATGAATATAATTATAGTTTAAATAGTTCTAGGTTTGCTTCCACGAGAGGCCCCTCACGGCCCTCAGACAGGATTGTTGCTGCGCACCGCCCGACACAAATACGTGACCTTCTGGGCATGCGGGCGGAGCGACGCGTTTTTTTTTTAACTGCCGAGACAAAAGGCAGTGGTGATGAAAAGCCTGCTCGCCCGAAAAAAAATGTATAAAGGGGAGGGGGGGGGAGACAGAGGGAAAAAAACACACAAACACAAGGAAAATAATATATGGCGCTCATGGTGCTGGCCACGCGGCAACGGGAGGGGAGATGGTGGGGGGGAGCTTCTGTGGCCGGGTAATGGGGAGGATTTGTAAGTGAAGGGCCCGAGTGGTAACCGGTAATGGTTGGAAGGGAGCGGTGTCAGGTGAAGTGTATCTGGATCTAATTTGCGCTCGCATGTGTTTGCGAGTATGGTATATTCTGTTTCGTTAGAGATAGTGTCCCGTACTTTTGCTGTCCGGATTTAAAAAAAAACGCATATGGAAAAAAAATCTCTCTCTCGTCTTTATTACGCAGTATAAAATAATATGTTTTTATTTTCGATATTATGATGGGATATCTGCTCGGTTGATTCCAGGTGGTGATGGAAAGGGAGCGGAGACAACTCTTGACAACTGAAATGTATGCATGTTGAACTTCTTTCGGAACCGTATGGAGCCAAGCGTGCGGAGGTGCTGAGAGAACAGGCGAATTAACCGTTGTAGTTGGTGTGAACCCGGCGACCCGAGTTCAAATCCCCGCCGCAGCCAACATTGCAGTCGTCGCTGTATCGTGGTGTCCGCCGTTTTCCCAGCGTCGCAGCAATCGTGACGGAGTTACCTTTGTCTCTGTTTCGACTAAAACCTTGTGACACGGCTGCGCCTGTCGTCGTTGTGCTGTGGTGTTAGTTATTGTGTGTTGTTGTTGTTGTGTTGTTGTGGAGGTGGTTGGTGTTTGGGTTATTGTCGTCCTGAACGAGTTGCTTGTCTCCGCATCGCAGTGTTGCCGATTTTAGGTATTGCTGCTTTTTTGTGTTCAGTTTGTTGTCCTTCCCCCCCCCGCACCTCCGATTAGCACCGTTGGCTACGTACGGTGCAAAAGAATAAGTTCTACATACATCGCAACGTCGCCCGCCGGACTATTGTGGCCTCTGTCGCCGCTATTTCACTTTGCTTGCGGTATTGTTGTGGCGGTTGCGTGGAGGCGTCATCGTGACGGGATTTCCTCCGTTCCCGCCCCCCCCCCCTCCGATGGCGCAGGACGCGAGCCACCCCGTGCTGGTGCAGTACCTGCAGCACGCCGACGGCGGGATCCTCGACTCCGACGACCGCCTCTGCGACATCTGCGATGACAAGGACAAGGTAACGTGCCGCCCCACGTGCACCCCCCCCCCCCCCCTCGCACCGGTTCACGAGTCGGCCTTGGAGAGGCCTCAGCAGGGCCACGTCGCCCCCCCCCCCCCCCCCCCCGGTCGTGACCACACGTCGTGAAGCAACAAAGATTCTGCCGATTGGAAACTTCAAACCTGGCGAAGGATAACGTCAGAGCCGTGTCAGGTTTGTTTGAGTGGTGAAATTTTTTAAAGTGGATGGTAGTCGGGACACAGTGTTATAGATGTGGAAGAAGATACCCTCCAAAGGTTGTTGGTTGTGTGCACGTCCTAATGTTACGCGTCTGGAAGTGAATGCATCACTATGCCACCGCAAACAATTGCAGGAGAGTGCTTTGAAAAATAGTGGTCAGTTCAATCACTTCACTTTGACTTCCAAGTTCTATTTGAAAAAATATCTAAACGTGCCGGTTTACCCAGAATGACTCTCGTAACTTTAAAAGCTTACGTTTCAAGAAAGTGACCAGGTCACTTTGCCCCCACCCTCCCACGGCAGCTTTTAACGGAGCAATGCGACGTCGCATTTTAGTTTTCGCAGGGATTTCCTCTGTCGGTGACGTAACTCGGATGTTTGTGGGATCGCCGCTAAATCTTCCCCCACACGGAGCGGTGTGGCCTTTCAAACGGCCAAATTCCTGCGCTCGAGTCGAGTGTGGTTTGGGAGGACAAAAGCTCGGCCCACGTGTCCTGCGGTTCGAGGGTGGTGAACTTTTTTTGCACGACACTCGCAAGCACAACCCCCGGTTCTAAACCTTCGTCAAAGCTCGCACGAGAGTGGGACACATGCCAAGGAAAAAAAACAATTCGGCAATCAAAAATGAAGGTGAAGGCGGCAATCCCTGCGAGTTGCTTTCTCGTGCCGCCGCTGGCGAAAGGACCGCCACTAGAGGGAGCTCTGGAGAGCTCCAAGCCCCCGCCCCCCGCTAGAGGTTATTTTGGCGGCCTACTCTTCCACGCTGGCCAAGACGATTTGGCAGAGTTGGGAGTACGCTACCAGCCGATCGACTGACGGATTGCGCCCAGCCCAGTGCCACTGACTGTTGCAAACACGGCAGCGTACCCGTGTAGTCGTAAATATCCCGGTGGGAAAAAATTGCTTCTGATGAGTTAGAAACGATAAATGCCCCTCCCTTGATCGTTTTTTAGAAACAGAAAACCTTCATAGTTTGCATGCTTCACCCGAGCTCAGCAGTTTTGGAATAACTGGCTTTTCCAGCCTTTGCTGTCTTTGTCGATGGAGCTAAGTGTGTGCGTGTGTGGTTGGGGGGATGAAAAGAAGAAACATTTTTGCTCTCTCAGTGAAATATGAAACAACCAGAAATATAAATAAGCAGGTATGGGCACGCACGTGTGCGTTTAATCACCAATAAAGAAGTGACGCGAACAAATACCATGTGTGTGTGTGTGAGTGTAGGGTTCCTTTTCTGAATTTTGCCCTTTCATTTTCTGAAATTAATAATACAAGGAAAGACCTGTAAATCTCACTAATTAAGTGCAGAAGCAGATCTTTGTGCTGTGTGTGTGTCTTCAGTCATTAGTAACTGGGCTGAGACCATCAAATCATGGTGCAGCTGAGAACCCCAGATTTTAAATCCAGAGTCGCCCAGCGGTGCCAGCTCGGCACTTTTTGACGTCCACGATTTCTGAACGGGTTATTGTGCTGTGACTTCGCTGTCTCGCACAGACGGACTCCCGCCCGCCCGCCTGCCCGCCAGCTGAAATCCACACCTCCGAAACCAAAGCAGTGCGCGCGTGTGCACTCCGGTGTGTGCGAGACAGACGGGGAAACATTTTTACGCTTCAAAATTTTTATGAAAGCCTCCTCTCTCTTTCTCTTTCTCGCCGCTCCACCAGACGTGAAACCCGGCCTCCGTAACCCCTCGGCTGTAACTTTATTTCCGTTGGCTGCTGACCGCGCCGAATTTTTCTCGTGGAATAACACGGCAATTCGGGAGCCGAACAAGTTTGGGGCCAGAGCCAACGTTTCCACGATCGTTTCCTGTTGGGTGCACGGCACGTGGCTCGGCGTGGCTGTGGGGAGGCGTCGCCGAGAATTCAACCCCCAGCCCCCTACCCCTCCCCTTCGTTATTGCGCCGTTTGTAGGTCCAGTGATGTGGTGCTGTGCTCGCCTTTAACCCAGCGGTAGTCGTATAAATTAGACACGGTGTGCGTGACGCCCCCAAGCAGCTGGTGGCCGGTGAGGTGGTGCCGCCTCTAGAGACGTGGAACGGGAGGATGATGTTTGGGCAATCCTCAAAGGCAATCTTTGCCAAGCTGTAGGTTTGGTGCATCGATTTCTGCTGTTTCAAAGACAGGAATTCCGTTTTCTACGTGGTTTTCTTTAATATGCCAATCGGCTAAACATCCCAATGCGTGGCCCTTCTATAAAAAGACCCTCAATCCTTTGGTTGATAAATAAATGTCATAATGATTAAATCTTGACTTAAAGCATAATTATTAATGTAAGCTGACACCTTTTTAAGGGCACGACTTGTTGAGCCACAGACACGTCATGGCTGAGGTAGAAAACAAACGATTAAAGGATGGCTTTGTCAGTGGTGTGTAAGCACAAACAAAAAAACAGATCACATTTGCTATTAACGCTGCCTTACAATAGGATAATATATAATCGGCTGACATTTCTGGCAGTGGCCGTTCTGAAGAGCATAAAGAGATTGTTGGCAGTGAGATTATCTGACTTATAACCGTAGATTGCATTTTGCACTTAGAACATCCATTGCTTAATTTTTTTCTTAAATCTACAGCCATTTTAAAATAGCGAACGCTGGGCATCTGGCCTCCAAAATGCAGGAAACTTCCCTCTGTGCACACTCAGTGCAACGTGGTGACGATGACAAAGTCATCAACGTCAATCCTGTTCAATCCCGCTGTTGAAATATTCCTTGGATCTGGCACACCACCGCATCCAGTATGCCGTCGCTCTGCTTGTGGCTTCAAATCAGTCGTATGCCATCACCTCCAGTCTTAACAGCGACCCAAAAGATTTTCGGTGAGAAATGACGCCTGGAATCTGTCGATTTGATATCTTTTTTTACTTTGATCAATCAATTAAATAAATAAATACAAGTTCCTCTATTTGCATGTAGCTTTGTGAGATGTGTTTTCCGAGGTCGCTGTCCTCAGGTAGACCTGGATGGATGAATCGATCATCTGGATATTTGACAGTCGAGAGGGCCCCCTTTGCTTTCACCAAGGGTGGGCTTTTATTTGTCTGTTTGTGAATTTTGACCTTGGGGGGGGGGGGGGGGAGCGAACAGGGCTGTTGGCCGCGTTTGTCGTGGGAGAGGCTCGCTTTTTTTGCCGGAGCGAGGCGGAGGGGCCCGTTGACCGGCGGGGTGGGGGGGGCGCCTGCCAGGCGGTTTGCTTCCTGCCACCGGGCACCAACCGCGGGGTCGCCAGCGGGGACCGAGTGAACGGCGGCTCGCGCAGAAGCCGTCGGAGCATTTGTGTAGTCGTGCCGCGTCTCCCCCACCGCCCGCCCCCCCCCGGAGTGACAGGCGAAATGCGTGAAACTAAAAATACGGCGAACAATTTCCAGCCTCCCACCGCCTATATAAATCTCTCGCAATCCAATTGGAGGGGGGGGGGGGCAGCACCAAGCCAGGTAATACAATGAAAGAGGTTTTCCTTTCTTTTATTTGATTTATTGGGTTGTTTTTTTACGACGTGTTTTTGTTTCTCTGTTGTAAATGTGGTTTATTTATTTTTCTATTTCCCCCCCTCCCTCCCGTGTTTCCATTGCTTACAGCGCTACTAACGTATGCTTTGGCTATTGTCCAGTGTGTACGGTAGCGGTTGACAGCGAAGTTTATTCATCTGTTTCGATTTAAAGCTTTCGTGACTGCAGGGATTCATCTTCTTGTTTCTTTCGGTAAAGTCACGTAGAAAGGAAGTAATAAAATAATAAAAATAAAACATAATAAAACAATTCTCACGACGTTTCGGCTACAACGCAAGCAGCCGTCTTCAGGTGAAGAATGAGACACTACCAAACTAGGAGCTTATATATAAGCTGCATTGGGGGTTGAAGAGCGCCTTAACAAGGCGCTCTTCAACCCCCAATGCAGCTTATATATAAGCTCCTAGTTTGGTAGTGTCTCATTCTTCACCTGAAGACGGCTGCTTGCGTTGTAGCCGAAACGTCGTGAGAATTGTTTTATTATGTTTTATTTTTATTATTTTATTACTTCCTTTCTACGTGACTTTACCGAAAGAAACAAGAAGATTTATTCATCTGGTTAATGTAGTTTAAGAAATTCTTCTAAGTTGTTAAATAAAACTCAACCTTATTATTTATTTCTAGTTGTAAACGTGAATGTATTTGTGCATACATTTTTCCTTGCATTTCCACGCAGATTCTAAGGGTACCCAATCTGTCCACGTACCTCCAAACCTACCCACAATGCACCACCCTGCCCGCTGTCCCGCAATCTCACTCCCTATTCAATGGACGTATTTGCTCGATGCGTCAAGGGAGACTAAACCGTTTTTAGGTATTGCAGACCCATTATCGCCTCCTTTCACACGCACACATATTAATTATTCACAACGATAATATTGAACTGAATATATGGATAATTTATAAACCACCCTACCAAAAGTTAACAAGCTCGATTTATTGAAGTTTTTGTCCGATGAGGCCCCATTTCAGTCGGATCCCAGCAAACACAAATGGATATTAAATGAAACTACACAAACACCACGTTTGATGACGACGATGAATTTTGTTGAAAAAAATGTTACTTCACATATTTGAATCCTGAATTAATGAGGAGCCCCACACCCCTTCCCCTGCACCCAACCCGAGGCCAGCGCCTTCTTCCGTTGGCGCCACCCAAACACCTGGGTGTCTCCTACCACCGTTTCTTGTCTTCCTCGTCTCCCCACCCCCTCGTCGTGCCAAAACCAACACCCTACTGCCCGCCTCATCCCCACGGAGACAATGGCTAGTTTGATCATCCGGCCTTTTGGCCTGTGGCAGCCTCTTTTTCTTGCCTGCCCAGGCTATGAGGCATGTCAGAAATGGTAATCATTTTCACGATGGCTACATTCGACGTGCGGGTAAAAACATACAAATAAATCCGTCTTAGTCGTAACTCGGTCTTATAATAGAAAGGTATGCACAGCGCCGCGATCGCCGTGTTCTATTCCTGCATACGGCAATGTGTTCACGAGCTAAATACCGATATTGAGGTTTGCTAGCTACGACAAGAGGGCTTCAGGGAGAGAGTTTGTGCGGTTTTTGCTTTTCCTATTCCGCTGAATGCGCGTCGACTACAGTGGGCTACTATATGGTCCGTAGTTTTGGGTTGCATGGCCACTTGTGGCTCGCCTTCAATTCCCCCAATCGAAGGGAGATGTGGACACGTTCTGCTGCGGTTCAGAGACGGCAGCCTTCCCGCAGTGGCCCACCTGTTACGTGGTTTCACGTGACCTTAAACATAACTTCACGGCGTCATCTCGGCAAATGCTTCGGGCAGTGGGCCCTTGGAGAGTGATTGTATGAAAGACTTTCCAAACAATGCAACCTGCTAGGTGCTTGAGCCGTGGGGCGACCAGGCGATGATGGCAGGTATTGCCTCGGATTCTTGAATCCATCTTTGCATAGCTTTGCTCTGAAAACGAATTCATACATTTGGTAAAATCCATACCTCGTCGAAAAGTGTTGAGATTCAGTGAGGCTTTCCTGTGTACGGTATTTCAAAGAAAATACCTCTTATATAGCAGTGGTTAGACTTTTTTTGTCAATTATATTTGTGCTTGTGTAATGACCAAAAATGACCCCAAGCCAATGTGCTGCCTAACGGCTCGTTAGTAAAATAACCAAGGTCTCTGCTTGACCAAAAGATGTCTCCGATTGACCAAAAGAGACCTCCACAGGGATTGGTCGGGGAGGTAGGCTTAAAGACATTGGAGGAAAAATGTGTTTGAACGAAAATAGGGGATCCGTTAGGGAAGAAGGATGAGGATTGGCTGAAGGAAAAAAACAAGGACAGGAAAGTTTGAGAGACGGGGCTCGAAGAGGAGAAAAGGGAGGATCACGAAGAGTTAGGGACGTTTGAGTGAAGGGACGAGCTACAAAATTAAGAACCAAATTCAGGTCTTTAGTCATTGTGCCTCCAATAAAGTAGCTCCAAGTACTTCGTCGTCCGTGTCGTTTCACTTGTACTCCTGCATAAAAACATAAAAAATGGATTCCCCTTCATAGGCAGAAGGAATCGGACGCTCTTGAGCCTTGGACTTTTAATTTGGGCCGGGAGTGAAAAGCACGGATGGCAGGATTGGGGGAGGGAGTTCCAAACTTTTGGAGAAGGAGAGGAATCTATTCTTAACATCGAATCACAATGCAGAATCGTGACAATTATTTGAGGTACAATGGTGGCAAATCATTGTAGATGCACCGCATCCGCACAAACCATGGCAGATGCGGATAATGTTAAAATAACAAAAAACTCTCCAGGAGTGTCTGCGACTGTGGTCATCCAGAACAGAGACCTACAACGCATAACGACGCAATCCTCTTTCCACAAATATGAAGGAGACGTCGCAGCGATACACTCCGCTGCTTCCGACGCGGTTGTCTGGCTTGACCACCAGAACGCGAAATTGTCGCCGTTGCTGTGCATCTACATGAGCAGCCGTACGAAATCGGGAACATTCTACAGACCTGGACTGTGTGCGTGCGATAGTACCAGCAGGTGTCACCCTGTGCTCGTGGGCCTGGGGACATTTGTGCTTCCAGGAAGCTCTACGTTTGCATTTCAGTGGTCACTTGCAGTGTTTCACCACAAGGTGGCAGCACAGACCGTACGATATCAGGAGTGGCCTTTCTCTGTGCTATGAAGAAGGGCCCTTTTCTGAAACGTCGCTTGTTGTACATGTTTTTCTTTTCAGGCAGCAGTGTTATTGACGAATGTGCTGAGTTTTTTGTTTGTTCTTAATTATCCTTTTGCACCACTGCCAACGCAGCAGCAGCAGGATCACCAAAGAGTTGGTTTTGGGGGTGCCGTGGTGGCGGGATGTTAACTACCTCACCTGTATGCAGGAGGTCGTGGGTTTGATCATAACCCTGACGCCTACTCTATATTTGGAGTTTGCATGCTCTCCCCGTGGTCGTGTGTATTTTTCTCCGGGTCCTCCGGTTTTTCCCTACAAATTTAGATTCAACGTATTTGGCTGCTATACATTTCTAGATGATAAACCACTTCGTTGGGCTACGATTTATGGCCAGGTGGCTTCTGATAAAAGAGCTATATAGCTCAGTGGGCCTTACCTTGACGGTTAGCGCCGATTTATTTACATGTGTGGCAATTTGATCAGTCCATTGCTGGATGTGGCCCTGCTCCCCCACACCGAGTGGGTCATAGGGCGTGGGTTGGCGAAGGTGGTGGGCAGCTTAGAAGCGGGAGCATAGGAGTACAGCACAACGTTGGATTTTGCTGCACCGCCCTGTTATGCCTAAAATGTAGCCCTGCAGCTTATGACACACCCAAGCACTAGCCAGGTGCATTCTGGGTGACTTGGTCATAGACATAGAAATATAAGGCATGCGTTCGGTTAAATGGACTTGCTTGAAAGTTTAGTAAACTACAGTAATGTTTTTGTGAATGCCAGATGTACATTGCACCGTTGCTCAATGCTCCTTACCATTTCATGGGAGGCATTCAGTCTTAACAAACCATTAGCTAAGATTTACAAGTGCAGCCACCACAATAATGCATTGCCCTTTTGACCAGGCTTTCCCATAAACTGCAGGAAGCGCTTTTTTTTGTTCTTGCATGAACCCTGTGGCCTTGATAAAAACATAATAACGCAATTTACAATGTGCACAATATTTTTCACGGACATAAATAACCGCGACCATGGCGCAGGAGCTGAGCTCGGGGGCGCTTAAAAGCCAGGTGAGAGAAGTGCGGCCTCCTAAGTGTCCCTTAACAAGACGGTGGAGGTTGAACGCCGCTGCGAAAGTGCAGCGGGGGTCGATGACCAAGTTCCACGGAGAAACGACGCCTGCCAATGACTCTGCTGGTCCTCGGTGTCGAGAGGAGGTTGTGAGTCACCAAAGACATTGGCGGAGATGTAATTTTGTACCCCAACCCCCCTGCCCCCCCTCCTGTTTTTTGTTCTGCTGCGTCAGCTGATCGCGGTGTACGAGGAGCCGGGGATGGGAGCGTCTGATGAGAGCCCGGCACCCCAGAGGCGGAGCTTCGCGGAGGCCACGTCCCCACTGACCCCCCCATCCGACGCGTGGGCAGCGTCTGCCTTCCACCCGTACCGACCCGACCTGGGCCAGGGCAGCGTGACGCCGAGCAACCTGCCCAGTGGTCAGCAACAGCATCAGCAGCATCGCGGTTGTCATTATGATCATCAAGCAGGAGCAGCAGCAGCATCATTATCAGCATCAAGGAGCATTGTTATCACCATCATCATCATTAGCATCATCATCATTAGCATCATTGTTGCCATTATCATTAAGCAGGTGCAGCATCATCATCAGCCTCAAGCAGCATTGTTGTCACCATCACTGATAACATCATCGTATGATCATTGAAATTATAATTACCAGTCACAGCACTATCATCATTATCATCATCGTCATGAGTAGCAGTAGCAATATAATCAGCGTTTGATGTCATCATAAACAGCAGCATATATGCCGTCATTATGGTCACCATCAGCAAGTTACCGTGACCTTTGTCATCATTTACATTATCACGTTAACACAATCTTCATCATCAGCTTTATCAACAGTCAGAAGAGTATGACCATCATCATAAGCAGCAGCAACAGTATAATCGGCACCGTCGTTATCGGCAGCAGCACAGTGGCAGTATCATCGGCACCATCACCATCATCCTCGACTTGTCCGAGACTTGCACCCAGTGTAGATTTTCCCATCGCATGGCCTCTCTGGCCTTGTAGCCACACGGGGACGGTGGCACCCGTTGAGGAGAGAGGGGCGCCCTGGCTTCGCTCGGGAACAGCAGCTGGTTGTGAGATCTGATTTGAAGCACAATTTTGTAAAAATTACATTTCCCACAATTGCATTTGGTTGGGGTGGCCAATTTAGCCGCGCCGGTGTCACAGCCACTCCACGACAACTGAAGTGAAAAACTACGCCCCAAAATCTAGTGCTTGTCTGTTGCTTCTGAGGCTCCGATGGAAATTCCTCATTGCTATGGCAAGGACCAGTCTTCTCTTTAGCATGGTGACTGTTTTCTTCCCCCCCCCCCCCCCCAAGTTATATCTTGCAATGTCCTTTCTTTTTTACAAACACCCATTATATTTGCAACCTTCTTCGTACTCGTGTATTTTTCTACTGCGAAAGGCTTAAACGGGAACGTTTACCTTAGCGCTTAAGGCCAAAGTGAGTATCAGTACAACTCAAACAATACAATGACCTCTTACTGGAGGCCACTACGTTGCAACGCGATTCTGTGGAGCTAATGATTCAATTTATCTACTCGAGAGCCTTGCTCAGCCTCAAGATTCGTTTTTCGAGGAAAAGTCCTGCCGCATCGGGATGTTTGGCCAATTTCTACGAATGGGTGTTTTGGCTCCGAGAAACACCAGAGTGTCCCGAGAAAACCACCAAGCGTTTGAAATCACAATCAAAGCCGCACCGCAGAGAGATTCCAAAATCCACTGCTTTACTCCCGTCTCCTGGCTGTCTTCTATTCCCAAGCCCACAACACTTGTTTCGTATTCTCAGGCGGTACTCTCGTCCAAGTATGAAGGAGGCTCAAGCCTGCTTTGGCTTCCAGGATCTCACAAGAATCGGTGCTTTGGTTGTTAGTTGCATTACAGGCAAAGGAGGGAAGGACTCTCAAGAGGACTACATTATGGAGATTGATCAGTGGATCAGCTCTTGCTTGTACAGGTGATGGACCAAATAGATTGTGGTGCGTCAAAGAACCACGAGAGGGATGGTGAATGGCTTGGGGAATACTCAATCCAGCAGTGGATAGATCATGGCGGATGATATTGATGATGACAGTAAATACCATTCAGACAGAAGTATGTATACATAACCAGATGAGGTCCTATTGAGACGATGGGTCTTTTTTCTATACGAAGCTTCATATGGGTCAGTTAAGACGCATGGAAAATTTAGCAGCTGCTGGAAATCAAAATGTGAGTGCAGAACCCCCCCCCCGCAACCAGGTGGCCCGGTGAGTTCACATCCTGGCTGTGGGGCTGGCTGGCTAGCTCACCCCACAATCTCTACATGGTTGATGAAGTCAGCAGTGGTTGTCCTCTAGCCAGACTCGTCCCTGCCATAGGAATGAGGAATTTCCACCACTGGCCCCTGGGGCTGAAAACATGACATGACCACCGCACTGCGTCAATGCTCATTTGAGTAGAAAACCACGTGACTTTTTCACTTGACAATCTCTACACCCCCCCCTCCCCCTGGGCTCTGCATGTGACCTGCGTGCAGGATGTTGTTTGTATTAGCGTATTTTTTGAGGTCGGGGGGGGGGGGAATCACGGACGCGTGCGCCTGCCGCGCACGATCCACCGCCGGCCTTTGCCGTGTCTCCGTTTGGCCCGGGAGCGTGGCCGGCGTTCTTTGGAGCTTCCTTCCGTTTGCCGCGTTTTGAAAAATCTCCGAGCTTTTCCCGAGGACGGCTTAGCTCGGAAGAGAGCGGCGGCAGTGGCGGGAGGTGGTCTCGTTCGCAAATGAGGTTGGCGCGTGATGGATGTGAAATCCGGCGGGAGATGTAAACGGACCGTTGGAAGTCGCCTTCCTCCTCCATCTGCGCCCGATGGGGGTCAATGAGCGAGGTTGCCAATCGTCCGTAATTTTTGTTACGGACGAGTCAGAAAAAAATGTTGCCATTGTCGGTCATAAGTTAAGCAATGTTGTCTGTGAAATATGCGAGAGATGTTTTTTTTTAAATCGATTCACTGCTTTTATATTTTGCCTAAATAAGATGGGAGCTAAAAGTTTTTTCCAGTCACTGCCCCCCCTCCATTTTGCCACATTATGCGTAAGACCAATTTTAATGTTGATTAGCCTTTGTTTTATGCAGTCTATTGGTGACCGGGCTGACACCAATGAACGCCGCCACATGTGGGAATGCATTTTAATCACAGTAGGCTGGCCTGGGATTGATCACAGGGTCTCGCTAATGCCGGCTTGGCACTCTAACCTCTGAGCTACCCGGTCACCTTGAATTCAGGAAATAGATTCCCCCCCCCCCCCCAATGTTTTGCTGAATGGTGATGCCTCTAGTGGCTGCAGGGGTCACATCGTCAACTCTTCTAGGCTTAGGCTGGAAGGTGGCCAGAGTATAGCAGCAGAGCAATGGATCTTTGTATCTATCTTTGAGAGCTTTGAGTTGTTACACCATCAATATGCGTGTATTTTCTCCAAGTACTCCAGCATCTCATTTCACAAAGCTAAGAACCTCACTTCATCTAATTGGCTAAAACATCCCAATGCAGTAGTACCCTCCTCAAAGAAAAAAAAAATCACTTCTTAGACTCATCGGGGCTCTCCTGAATTGATAAAAGGCGTTCCAAAGATGAAATCAGAATACGATAACCTCAGTCGTAGGGTTTTTCAAACTTCAGAGCTTGACAGACCAGAGACCAACGCGACGGAATAAAAAAGAAAAGAAAAACAATCTCTGACAATATTTGGCGTAATCTGTAATCTTTCCCCAAACACCGAGAGAGGGATAACATTTAGCTCTGTGTCAATTGTCCAGGGGCTAGCGCCGCGTTGTTGTGTCAGACAACACCGCGGCGGCGGCGGCTCGGTTCGTCCTGGCCAGTGGTCGTAATGTCACTGTTTTCTTTTCATCGCTGTGGAAAAACACACGCAGGCACACACACACACATCGCCACGGACCTGCCCAGCTGGGTGTTTTGTTATTCACTTCTTCAGCTGATGGAATGGGATTGAATTTCTTATGTGGTTCCCAATGAAGAGAGAAACGCACGTGCTGTTCATTGGGGGGGGGGTGTGTTTGTGTGTGTCTTTGGAGTGTCGCGGGGAGTGGTGGTGGAGTGGGTTAGAGGCACCGCACTGTGATTTACCTCCCCCCCGCCCCCCAGTCACCTGAGCTCGATTCCTGGCCTGGCACAACACCATTGGCTCGGTATCTTGAGCTTGGCCTGGGCCGAAGAACAATACAAACAGATGAATGTGTCACAAGGCAATGCTTTTTACGTTAATCAGTGGAGCTAAAACAAAGAATCGATTAATTGATTCCGAAGCTAACGATAAATTCATCGATCACGTGTGTGAGAATCGATGTTCTCACAATCCAATATGTTGCACTTTATTTGTTTATACAACTCCAGCAGCTACTCGATGCAGCACGATTCACCACCGTGTTTAACAGAGAGCCAAGCCATACATTGAATCCGTAGGCCTGCACGGTGACAACTCGTATTTATATGCTTGCCGTGTAATCATGTTAATGAATTTACATCCTTCATATACATCCATCTTTCCTGTAATCAAGTCGCCCAGACTGCACCCGTTCTTGTCCGATCTTAGAAGCTAAGCAGAGTTGAACCTGGACAGTTATTGGATGGGCAACCAGCATGCACAGCAGGTTGCTATAGGCTGCTGCAGAACTACGTTTTTCCGCAGCATTAAAATCCACTGTTTTACTGTACCTCTATGTTTCCACGTTTATGCCCCCAGTCTTCACCAGTCCGCAATAACCGGCGCAGTAAAGCAGTGGTCAAATAAACCTCCCCTCCCCTCCCAGAAACAGAATATGTATTTATACTGGAGGAATCCGATGAGCTATGAAGCTCTTCTTCACAGATGTCCAAGCCATATGGTGCAGAGAGGACCTTCATCCAGCAGTGGATCGACATAGAGCTGCACAAGTGCTGCTGTTACATACATCTGAATTATAATATTTATGGGATCACTGTGGGGGTAGGTGGGGGTTGGACGGGCGGTGGTGGTCGTGGTGGGTAAACCATTCCACCCACAATAACGACGAGTCACTTGGCAGACGCCAAATTAATAATTCGAGCGTCCAGCAACGAGGACGCTTGCAGGCGGCCGTGACTCAGCTTGGCCCTTGGGCGCAACGGGTGACCTCTGAGGGGTGATAATTGAGGCAGCAGACCTGACCACTCTGATCGTGTTTCAAGGAGTCTCTTTATATATAAAAAAGTCGTGACCGTTCTCTGCCTTTCGAACATTTCTGTTCAAAATGTAAGCGTCTCCCCCAAGTGTTTTAAAATGCTCAAGATGCAACTTGTTTTCGTGTCAGGCAGTGAGCGTGGATGAATCTTTTGAGGATTATTTTTTCAAATCTCATGTTTGTCTTTGACGGTGGTTTCAAACGACTAAAACGTAAAAAATTAACGAGCCGAGGAATTTGGTAATCCCTGTTTATTGAAATATAAAACTTTGATGTCTTTTTTAACTTTGGCGTAAAACCGGTGTTCAGGATCGCAGCCAACAAAAATGTAACACGTGTGTTAAATAATTTAATATTTAAAAGAAAAGCAGTAATCCCTCACTTTGAAACTGCACACTAAATTATGTTTCACAAAATACATTTGAGAAATGTATTATTATGTTAAAAAACATACATTTCTAATGCAAATAGAGGGTCCCTTTTTGAAAACATGACCCAAAGTGAAATGTACAATGCAGCCTATACACTTAATACATTGCATCGTACATTGCAGCTCTCTTTCAATCCACTGCAGGATGACGGGCTCCCTATGCCATGTCGGTTGTGGAGGTTATTCGACCGTACTTCACCATGCCAATCAGTGCGTGGTGGCGGTGGTGGTGGAGACCTGAACCTAGCAACTGACCGCAGCTACCGTCAGGTGATATCCGAATCAATCCTGGACTTCCCCGTAGGTCGACTGCCTTAAACGAGTGCTTGGGCGCTGTACGTAAACGTCAGCGCTGGGGAGACAAAGGCGGCTGGGCATGGCGCTGGGCCCATCATCCTCTGAATGGCGTGCCGGCCTGCACAGCGGCCACTGATGCCAAACAGTTTTAAAAAAGTTTACACGAAGTGCGTGGGACAACGTTGTGTTTCGCTTGTGTGGCGATTTCAGGAGCAGCCGCGAGAATTCATCACAGCGTGGACCCCCACCGGCCTCCGGGGGAGCCTCCTACGCGTTGCGCCCCCCTCTTCGACGGGAGGGCAACCCCTCCGCCCCCCGGCGCCGCCCCCGGGATGGGCCCCGTGGGCCAGGATCGCGGGACTCCCAGCTGCGACGCTCGGGTACGACGCGTCGTCGACGGGTGCCGGGTTCAGTGGCGGCTCGGGACATTTCCACTTAGGCGGCGGGGGTTTTGTGAGTAACCTCAGAAAATCTGGTGTTCTAATTAATAAAAACATCGTCTAAAAACCTTGTTATTGGCCTTCCTGTGAAAGTCATATACCAACGATAGGCATTTATAAACAATACAAAAAAACACAACAAAGCACTAAAATGCTGTCCCCGTGGGCCTCAAGTCCACACTACACAACCCCTTTGACACTGCCAAAAGCCTAGAGCGTAGAGGCCGTGACCTGCTGTATTTGCACAGTGCAACCTTGCCTTGCGACATCGTCTCATCGCAACCATGGGCGCCTTTTTCACCGCCCTGAATGGGTCTCGAACGGCGTGGCTACAATGCGAAGCTAATCGCAGCGAACGAAGGGACATCTCTCACTCGGACGCCTTCACAGCTGCCCCGAGACCTCCCCGAGGCACAAATCAGATTGTGGTGTTGCAGCGGTTTTTCATATGAACAACTTAAAATGTTACCTTCATTAGGCAATTCACGTTGAAAATTTACGTTGGTGGGGTGGTGCCCCAACGCCCGCGCCGAGTGCACGGAACCGTGCCTGGTCGGGTTTTGGAAGGCCCCCCCCCCCCCCCCCCCCGACGCCGTGTGACTGCCGTGCATTGGAATACAGCGGCCGGCGCGGGCCGAGCGCTGAGGTCGCGCTCGCAAAGGTCGACGTACAGCCGTTGCCGTCCCTGTGCTCGCGAACGAAGCTCCGCGCTTGTGGTTGCACGGGCAGCCGTTGTCTCGTCGTCGCTTGGGCAAGCGATGGATTGGGCGGCGGTTGGCCTTTGTTTTGGCGGCTTTGGGGCTAATGTTGCAAAAACAACATTCCCAAAGCTGTGGACATACATACACACATATATATAATGTGACCACTTTTGGTTTCCAACAAAGTGGGTACTTTCTTTAAGAGCCCCAGAGGGATGGTGGGCTGACCTGCTCCCTGGATATGATTTTCAACACTCGCTTCTATGGCATAGCTTCCGGAATGATGCATTGCTTTAGCACGACACAGCTAGATATGCGCAACACTTTTGTTTTAAGAATAATGCTACTAATTGTCTTTTTGAGTGGTTTTTTTTAATAGAAAAGGGAATGTCTGGAAAAAAACGGACTTGCTCCACTACCTCCTGCAGGCAAACTTTCAATGTTACTATTGGAAGCACATCACCGTTTCGCTCTCACTCGAGTGACGATTTTATTAAAATTAACGGCAGTCACAAGGCTGCTATTGGGTGTCTCATGTACATGGTGGCACCATCTCCTGATGATCCACCAACACCTCCCACCTCGCCAGTTTCGGGATCGTAGCATATGCCACTCGAACTCGTCCACATCGATTGAACGTAACCTGTCCAGGTTTTTTTAAAGCTGTGTCCACGCTGCGGTGTGGCACAGGCTTAAGGAAGAACACTAACGTCGCGTACCCACCTTCTCTGATAAACAAAACAAAAATTGTGGCTTCTGGAAAACTGTGTTTAATCCGTAACAGCCCTGTCCAGGACCCTTGCGACTAATAGAAGTAAAAAAATCAATGAGGTTACGTGTTGTACATTTGCTATTCACACCGTTCTCTACAGCACAGATGCTATTTTAGGGGGCTATGTCTCACAGATTGGGTATCGTTTGCCAGTAGGTAGCGGTGTTTCTGTGTGGTTATACAAAATTAAGTTATTTCCTGTCAAATTTTGGAAATTTGGATTGTTGACGATGGCACGCACGGCCTGCTGCTTTCCGAAGAAAGTAAACGGAATCTTTAACGTCCACTGTGCGAAGCAGTCAGCGCGGAGTATTCATGGTTAAGCCACCCGCAGTATGAACCAGGGCGGCCGCTGGGCTCGAACCATGACCCTCCGCAACAAACTCCCGATGCGCCACCGCTGCGCCTCGTCACCACCCGATGAGACGCTAGCTTTCATCTTCTGCTCGCCGCTCAGATTTAAACCGAGAGAGGAATTCCCTTTGCCACTGCTGCTGCAACTGCTGCTGCCACTGCTACCGCCACCTCTGCTGCTGCCGCCGCCGCCACTGCTGCTGCTGCCGCCGCCGCCGCTGCTGCTGCTGCCGCTGCTGCTGCTGCCACTGTTGCTGCTGCTGCTGCCGCCGCCGCTGCAGCCGCCGCCACTGCTGCTGCCACTGCTGCTGCTGCCGCCGCTGCTGCTGCTGCCACTGTTGCTGCTGCCACTGCTGCTGCTGGGCAGCACGACACGGTTTAAGTAAACACGGCACTTGATTGGCAGTGGCAGACTGCGCACCTCCAGGAAGCGTGAAATTGTCAGTCCTGTGGAACACGGGCAAAAGATAACAAATCGCCTTCCGGTGCCACGGGTCCCAATGTTTTTTCAGGCGATCGCTTTTGTTTACAATACCTTTGTCCATATTACTTTTAGATTAAATGTAATACGCAAAAGAAATACAGCATGCATTTTTTGTTACCGCTTTAATGCGTGATATATCAAGACATTTAGTGAAAATTACTTTGACAAAACGGACTTATAGTATTTTATGGACAACATTTCATCGGGAAGTTTTAACGAAGCAGAGGTGTGGTGATTTCACTTATGGTTTGAAGTCGCGGTACAAGGAATTTGTGTTTGTACTCAATGTCAAATGTTCTTCATCCTTCCAGGCACGGTGCCCGGTGTCTCTTGAAAATGTAACTTTTGGTCTCAATGGATGCCCACTTGGTTATATATAAAGGATTTATTATTATTTCATCATTGATCTCACATCTACTGTCTGCTGTTTGGCATTATGTCTGACGTTTTGCTCCCGTGTGCTGGAGGGCTTCTTCAGGAACCTGGTCATAGTTTCTTCAACGAAATGTCCTGAAGTAGCTCTTAGTGCGTGGAGCAAGACGTCGGACATCGTGCAGAAACGGCGTGCGGTACAATCCAAGCACGCTTCGCAGAGCTGCACAACACAACCTGCGACAACCTTCGCACGAGGGATTTTATTATTACCACTCAATATATATGGTGTAAAGATATCTTTCGATTTGCAATGATTTGTGAGCAGCAATTAGTGTGGCGCGAGCATTGCGTGATGAGAGTGGTTCTCGGGAGTGGTCTGGAGCTTGTAACGCACTGCCTGTGACATAGCCACGTTTAGGCCACGTTTAGGCGTTCAACTCGGGATCTGTCATCGCATCATCTGCAGCTCTACCAATCCACTTCTCACGTTCCTCCAGCCTCTATTTAAAACCACTGCAGCCAATCGGAAGGGGCTTATGTGTGTTAAATTATTTATAGATAAATTGTATGATTCAAGCAGGGAGAGAGCATCAGGAATGGCTAACTGTGAAATATTAGTTTTTATATAACTTGATAATTATCATCTGTTATGCTTTATTTTATTTATTTTTTCTACCTACGTGACTTTACCGAAAGAACCAAAGAGTATGGTATGCAGGAGTTCGTGGGTTCGATCCCGACCCTGATGCCTGCTGTATATTTGGAGTTTGCATGTTCTCCTGTGGTCACGTGGATTTTTCTCTGGGTTCTCCGGTTTTTCCCTCCACCTTTAGAAACATGCGTTTAGATTATTTGGCTGCTTTAAATTTCCACGTGATAAGCCACTGTAATTTGTGGCCAGGTCGGGTCTGAACAAGCTCAGTGGGCCTTGCCTGGAAATATAAAAGAATCGTTGTAAATAGTTAAGTCATTTCACCCCCACGACCCGCACAGCGTGGGGAGGCCTTCTTCCAGCAGCTGATTGACACGTACCTGCGATGTATGTTTTGATTCCGTCAAAGAATCTCCACATGTGCTTGCTCAGAAAACAAGTAAGAAACATGCATACAAATGAATTCTGCACTGTGCTTTTTTATATAATTATCTGTATAGAAGCCAATGGTAGCAGCTGTCAAGGCAAAATACTTTGCATTTTTGCACAGTCCTTTTAGCACTGGTTTATGCCATCTTTGATACATCCAGGCCAGATTTCAATCAGCTATGTCCATAATAGCAGAACTTTATGACACTGTTTGGTACGTGTTGGGTCACCTTTACAGACAGACATACAGTCAGACAGAGCTCACCCCCTCAATGCTTTCAGGCTTAGTTGGAAAAGTGCTCAGAAGAGTAATTTAATTACGTGGAAGTCTTCACCCCGAGCGAACGCAATGTGCCATTTCGGTTAATGTGGTTTATCCGGCCCGAGAGTGCACGTGGGTGAATGAAGGCCATGTGGCAGAGTGAGGCCCTTTGGATCTTTGCGCATTTTGCCCTTTGAACTGCATGGCCCCTTTAACCTGGAATGTGTTCCCAGGTGAGTAATTATGGCCTTTCTCGAGTGTTTCCAAGACTAATCTAGTTTTAAGAAGGAAGTAAAGCGATAATAACAATCGCTGCACAGTGTCACGACTGGCATGATGACCTTGCAAAGGGCATTGCAGCTGGCTCATTGAATTTAAATGCAGCCGAACGTTTAATTTCGGGATTTTTGCACTATCTTTCAATGCAGTGGCTGAGAAAACAGCACACATTGTGATTAACCGTGTCAGTGCTCATACAGAAGCTGCTACGAGTTAATTAGTCGACAAACAAATCGGCCTCAATATACCCGATCAATCCCATTGGATCTCTCGTGCTAAGCAGTTTTAACCTGGCTAGGACTGGGACAGGAGACTTCCTGGGAATACCAGACATGGTACGCTAGGGCTGGAAGGTGATGAAGAGATGGCAGTAGAACAATGGATTCTTGTATCTGCCTGCGTGGAGCTTTTGAGTGTTGAGTTTTTTTCTCCCGAGTGCACCAGGGAACAACTTGAATGTATGTACGTTGAACTTCTTTCGCGCCGTACGTAGCCAATCAGACGTCGGTTTTCTCCAACGTGAAGCGAGTAGAGGTATCCGACAGGATATGTGTCTGAAGTTCGTGTTATCCCGTTGTGTCGTTCCTCTCGGCATTCTGTTTTCAACAAAAAAAAAACACTCAAATAAGGAATTGACCAAATATCCCAAAGCGGGGGCACATCTCCTGAGTCTGGAGAATCTGTGAGGCTTACCTTACAAAAAAAATCTTACGACAACGATGATGATGATTATTATTTTGACTGTGTATGCGATCATTTATGGCTGGTCATGTGTTTATCGCAGGAATATGAAGAGAATGGGAACAATATTGTCAAGTCATCTCTGCGGAAGAACGATTTGGTGGACTGGTCTTCTTGTCTAAGGTGCACAATGCAAAACATGAACACGCAAAGTCTCCGAAAGAAAATGTACACAATCCCAACATTGGGCAAACGCATTCCAGCAACGATCCAGACATTTGCACTGTCAGTCTAATTATTTAAATTTCCTTGGATTTATATTTCACTTAATCTTCATTTCAGTGTCTTTGATGTCTACGCTGTTGTGTTTGTCTTGCTCTGAAATGTTTTGATTCAATGTTTGATCTGGTTTTTTTTGTGTGATATACAATTGCATAATTCATAATTCATGGTTGCTTTTGTTTTGGCCCAAGACTGCCTTGAGGCAGACACTTTCTGTCTCAATCGGCTCCCCAAGTGCCATAGTTTATTCTCTTATAGTTCATGATAGTTGATAGCTCTTTATCAGTCCGCTGAAGGGTGAAAAGGCCTCCCCCATACCTTGTCAGTCATGAGGGTCATTTCACCACGCTAAACCATCCCGGTCAGTGCGGGTTGGCCAAGAGGATGTCCAGAACTAATTCATGTCTCACCATGGATGTTAGCCATGGGTGGGAATCGAACTCGGGTCACTGGATTTAGAGCACAGTGCACTAACCGCTGTGCTGCCGCTCCTCACCCCCCCCCCACCCCATTATTAGGTTATGCAGGAATAGATCAGGTGTACGTACGTATGGAGTTTCGCGAGCAATTTCATCCATAAAATAAAAAGCCTATGAACTTCTTCCACGGACCGTACGTTGCCAAGCCGTGCTAATCGGAGGTGCACTTAAATTCCTCAGCAACTCGGACAGCCTTGCATCAAATGTCATCTCGTCCAGTCCATTGCCCTTGCTGCTGTGTAGCCCAGGGGACCCCATTGGCAGCTGTCTCTGTGCGGCACAGGTTCAGCGGAGCACTGGCCTGAAAATGGGCATCATTGCAATGTTATTATTACTTCTAAATATTGCTGCTGTGATATCTAGCCTCGTGCAGTTTTTCTCTCTTCTCTTTTCAATATCTTGCACCCTTTCTCCACCCCTCTCCGACCAACCTGAAGTGACTTTTGCAAAGTGATTCGCGTTCCGAGCGAAGGAGGACCTCTGGGCATTCACATCGTTCACTTTGGGACCAAATTACGGAGGTGAGAGAACGTCACCTTCCTAGAATCTTCGTGCAATGTAAATAGATAATGTTTTGTTTAAGTTTGGCCGTGACAGCCTCCCACACACACACCCCTGAGTCCCAATCTCACGGCGTTGTTTGTTCACTGACACAAGAATGAAAATGGCCTTAGAACCTAGTTTTTTTTATTTGTGAAGATAATAAAACACTGTTTTCATGTTGCACTCGGAATGAAGAGACGGCATCATCAATTGGATGAATTGTTACTGTGTGGAGTCATGGTTCGGCTCGATCAACTTTTCTCGTGTTGAATTTCACACCTCTAGTGGCTGGCGGGGGTCGCGTAAAAAGCCCATTATATACAACATGTACACATACAAATTAAACCACTCTTGCACGCGCACACACACACACATCATTCGATGGACAATGTATCTTGAGCACAGTAATCGACATTTTTTTGTCGCAAACTCGCGTTTTTTTCTTTCTCCGTCTGTCATCGCCACTTTTGACCCCTGACCCCCAGGAGCTTGGGGCTGCTCGTGAGGGGGGTGGATGAGCAGGGGAGAGCGGCCCACCACTGCTGGTTTGAAAAGGGCGACTGCATTGTCACCATCAATGGGAACAACCTCCTTGACAAGACGTTCGACCAGTACGTTATTCCACGGCCGTTCCTCCCAAATTCCCCCAAACGGCCTATAAAGAGAGGTGGTTTCAAGTGGTAAACCTGCATATATGGAGCACTGTGGAGTGGGACGTGGAGGTGATGTCCCAGGGATGAGCAGAGAATGAGAACCAGGAAGGCTGACCTCACACGAGTGGGGAAATGTTAGGAAGAAGGGAAAATTATATGTTACTGCTGTTAGGCACTCCACTGCTGAATGAAGAACTCCGCATACCATGTTGGTTATGGCGTTTGTTTTACCAAGCTTCACCATGCTCAGCAGTGAAGGTGGGCGTGGGGAACCCTGGACCGGTTCAGATATCACTCACCAACGATATTATCCATGGCCAGGCATTAGAACTCGGGACACCGGATTCAGAGCGTAATGTGCAGTAATGCGCAAACCACAATGCTACTGCTTTGCCCCATTAAGACATCAATCAAGTTTTATTTGCAGCTCGGCGTTTTGTGGATGTAATTTGCGTTCAGCTCTTCGATGTGACAGTGATGTTGATGGCTACGATGATGATGATGAGCACCACAATAATGGTGCTGCTGATGATGATAACGCTGATCAGGGTGATGGCTGGTTGCTCCTTGACGATCATTCTTTCTCTGACGATACAGGTCACAGCAGATCTTCATGCAGGCGATGCGGGTCGGGGTGATGGTCATTCACGTGGTGCCTGCACAGCAATTGGAGAGCTACCAAAGAGCCCTGGAGTTGATTGACCCAGAGACGGACACCCCGAACGGCGGCCTTGGATCCATGAGCCCAACATCTCGCTTCTCTCCCATGGATTCTCGCTTTGACTTTGGGTAAGATATACACACCTTCACGACTTTTTGTTCTATTACCGCAAAAGGCCGTCTGCTTGGAGTTTAAGTTGATTTGCTTAACCATGTTAGAACTCAACGAAACCACGATCGATTTATTCACAAGTCACCTCGGGGTCCTTAAAATGACAAAGCAGTAAAGTCAATTGACATTTATTTTTATCGAGGCAATGTGTGGGCCCGATTCATCGTGTTGTGGCGCACGTACACACACCAGTCAACGAAAGCCGAATCGGTTATGAAAAGCATAGGGATAGAAAGATGGGCAACGGGCTCGCTGCCCCAAACCATATGGGGTTTCCACCTTATGGAAAGGTGGAAAATACAAATTAAATATAATACAGCAATGAAGGAAATCGGAGCAGAGACAACTTCATTGCAGGAGAGGAATCACAATGCTGCATGAACGTGAATCGGCATCAAAGTAAAGACGTTTCATGCAGTTTCTTCTTCAAGAGCCTTGTGTCCTCACGACTTGTTGGGTGCGCTCGTTTGCTTCTGCTCTTGCTGCGTCGATGCCATCTCCGAATTCCGGTCTGTCCTGCACCCCTTCTACTCTGATCTGTCTTCACTCCCCCTTGCTCTGCCCTTTGATGCTGCTTGCACAGCTGACGCGTGGTCTGCAAAGACCGTCGAGAACGCTTTTGTTTCTTTTGAAACCGGACAGCACACTATATATATTTATATTTTCAACATCAATGCAACAGTGAACGGAAGCGGAGTTGTAAGCGTCCACAGGCAGAAGCGCACGCGAGGGGGTTCAGATGTCCTCTGGCCGGGGTCTGCAGTGTGACGAGTGAAGAGAAGGAAAGGAGAGAGAGGGAGCAGAATAAGAGGGGGAGTGAATGAGGAGGAAGAAAAGGATGGGAGTCGTGAGATGTTAACTAGCTCACCTGGAAAACAGGAGGTCGTGGGTTCGATTCCAACTCTGATGCCCGTATATTTGGAGTTTGCATGTCTCTCTCCCAGCGGTCACGTGGATTTTTCTCCGGGTCCTCCGGTTTTTCGCTCCACATTTAGAAACACACCTTTCGAGTATTTGGCTGCTATAAATTTCCACACGATAAGCCGCTTCGTTGAGCTAAAATTTGTGATGGCCGGGCCGCTTCTGCAAAAGAGCTACATAGCTCAATGGGGCCTTATCCGGTGAAATAAAAATAGTTCACCTCGGTTTAGAACGACGCGATATAAAATGAAAGTAACACATTTTTCATTATTACCACCCGGGCCTGCCTTGCTTGGAATTGCAGAGTGTCGGGCGGTGGAGGTGGGGCCAAAGCGGGGGCCACCGAGACGTGGGGAGGGGGCGAGCCTCCCGGGTCCCCCAAGGGCCACGCGTCGCCCGGCGGCATCGTGTCCGGCCTGCGCAAGCTGTCGACGCCCACCGGCCTCGGCTGCCTCTCGCGCAAGCTCAGCAAAAAAGCCTCCATCCGGCTCAAGAAGGGTCAGTCCCCATTGCACTTGAAGCAGGCCTTGTAGCGTTGGGTGGAGTTGGAGGGAGGAGGGGAGGGGGTTTGAGCAATCTCCCCCCACCCCCCTTACTTGAACCCCCCCCACCCCCACCACTTCTAAATTCCTTTAATCAAGTAAAAATTCTTGGCCAAAATGTCATTATTGTTGTTTCATTCCGTCTCTGTAATTGAGTGCGTGACTTGTCGAGCAGCTGTGGCATTGCGGGTTTTTTGTTGTCGTTGTAACTTAACGATGTGTCCAACAGCTGCCTTCTCTGCCAAAGTGTGTTTGTGGCTTACCAAATAACCTCCTGAATTATACACTCTAACAGAGAGTGGCTTTCAGTTGAGAGGTTTTAGAAAATGCATGAATTATTGTTGTGATTATTTTGCTCATTGTATATATGTCTTTTTTACTCAATTATGCCCAACGTTTGGTTTTCCGTGACACAGTCTGGGATTTTTCAACTGTGGGTAAGTGTTACGCAGCGATCGGGAACTAGGCTTTCAGCCTATTGTGTAGGCCTTAGCGCTGCTAGCGATTTAGGCTCTGCTTGTCGTGATAACACTGACCTTGTCTTTATGCAGTTGTTGTTAAACAAACTTAGTTCTTTCGGCTTAAAATGTACAAAGCCCTTGTCCCTAGTTACATGTTTTTTTTTCATAAATAGTGAATCCTGTTGAACGTTCACCGCTTTCTGCTTAAATTTGAGATAACACGTGACTTTCAAAGAATATTTGTGATGTTCATGTTGATAATTTCCACTTGAACTTACAGCCTCTTGTCAATCGATTGCCGAATGAAGGCCTCATCATGCACTTTTGGACATGGTGTTTTATTTTACTATACTTCACCATGCTGGTCTGTGTGGCTTGGTGATGGGGGAGGGGGGGAATGCCCAGGACTGGTTCAGATATCACTTAGTTGTGGCCACGAATCGCACTCAAGTGCCGGGGTGCATGGCGCAGTGTGCTCACGACTGTGCTAACACTCGACCCATTCAAATTGATTTAGGTTGTATCACAACAATATTCCTGGTGCAACTTTGATATTATTGTATCTTGTATAACTGAACTCTTTTTATAAGGCATTTAAAGGCGAATGGTTAAATACAAGTAAATATTTAGCAACACGCACAGTTAAAGTGGCAAGAAAAAAATCAATGCACATCCAAAAATCCCCAAAATTTCATAAGCAGGGTCTTTTAATCTTTCTGCCATTACCGATGGCATTGCTGAAATTCTCCGGTTCGTGCGAAGCTCATGAGTGTCGTTTGTGGCAATGAATGCTGTGGTGTTCCCAGGGCCTGAAGGGCTAGGCTTCACCATCGCCACAAAGGAAGGCCCGATCGGCGAGCACAACCCCCTCTACGTGAAGAGCGTCCTCCCCCGAGGAGCCGCCGTGGCGGACGGGCGGATGAAGCCGGGCGATCAGCTGCTGGAGGTCGGTGTGGCCACCTGTGTATGGACGAGAGTTTGTGGCCAGGCATGGTGCTGGCCACACGTATGTATGCATGCTGAACTTCTTTCGCGCTATACGTAGCCAACCGTGCTAATCGGGGGTGTGCGTCATAGCCTCGTGCGTTGTGCTGACTTAAATTTGGCGCTCACTAACAGAGCTTGCCATAAAAAGTCTGTGTAAGGCTACATGGGAGATCTGTGTGTGTGTGTGTGGGGAGCAGGTGATGCAGTGGCTTGTACGCGCACTGACTATTGAACCCGTTGATCGGCGTTCGGTTCTCGACCACAGCCAACATCGTTGTCGAGTGATATATGAACCATATTTGAGGCTTCCCTAGGTCAACTCAGCCTTGAATTAGAAAACTGAATGCGGTGCTTATAAAACATACACACTGGAGAAGCAATTTCGGTGGCCAGGCATGGTGTTGGTCACATCATCCCCTCATTTGTATGTATGTTGAACTTCTTCCGCGCCATACATAGCCAACCATGCTCATCGGAGGTGCAGGGGAACGGGGAACAAACTAAAAAACGAAAAGCAATCGCGGCCTTAACAGATGCTCTCTAACAGCACTCGCCCCTACAGCCTGTACGGTGATCTTTATCACTGCAGATAAGAGGAGTTCTGTGCATTTATTTAACTGTCCACATGCACCAAGGAGATGGGGAGCTATGAAATGAGATTGTACGCCAGCGCTCGTTGAATTGTCACTTTGCAGGACTGTGCGATATCGCAGCGGAGTGATCCTAGGCTGGTTGTGATGATGTGATATTCAATTATGGCGGGTGACGGTACTGAGAATGGCCTGTGGACATGGGACTGGAGACAATGTCAAAACGCACACAACCACTGCCCCAAAAACCTTCAGGCCATGCTTACACCCCCATATGAAAGATGGCGTGCCACCCGATTATGCACAACCCTGCCAAGCTAAACCCTTGCCTCCCACCCCAGTTGCCAGGACATGCTCCCTGGAGAGAAGCTCCCCTCTGCTGTCACATGGTCAGCGAAATCACCGATTCATGTTCTGCAGCCCTTCAAATTCCGAGTACATGGACATGATCATCTAACTTCACCGCATACCTTGTTGGACCGAGTCGTTGAGTTGCAGTGAACCAGTGGTTATGCTGATTAGATGTGCTGTCTAATATGGCTGTTATTCGCAATTGAACCCAAACATTTTAAAATAAAAAAGTAACTTTTTTGGTAAACCGCGCACGGTATGCGCAGATTTCCCAGGCTTAACGACAGCGGAATCTCAATCGTGAAAGCCCAGAGGGAGACATTACGCTCGTTTATGGTAATTGAGAATCTAAACATGACCCAGACGCCTAATGACAAGTGGGCTTTGATAATCCTCTCGGCTTGCTTGCATGCTTATCGCAATGCTCGGATAAAATATGGTTTCATTAATGAAATTGTTAAAGCTCATTAGAAATAAACATTTGTTGTACATCTTGCCATTCATCTTTCAATTCAGTTAATGATTTTACTATACACAGTAGCAAAATTACATTAATGTTGCACAAGTGCATGGAAATGAAAATAATAATGTAACAATATATTGCAGCCCCTTTACAATTTCACCGCTGGATGAAGGCTTCCTCACACCGTGTCGGTCATGGGGTTTGCTTGACCATACTTTACCACTTTGGTCAGTGCAGCTTGGTGCATGTGGGGGGGGGGGTTCCCAAGACTGGGATGGATATTACTCACCAGGTGATGTAAGCTGTTTGCCAGGAATCGAACTGAGGTAGCAGGGTGTTTTAGCGTGGTGTGCTGATCATTGCTCCTCAGCTCCCCACTGCTCTTCCCCCACACACTTACATCTGTCTATGAGACCCTCTGCCTGAGTTCTAAGACTGGTGGAAAGTCCACGTTCCTATGCCAGGGACAATTCTTTCCATCGAGCAACCAATGGTGACTTCCCACCAAGCGGTGCAGCCTCAGTGGAGGGGGGGGGGGCGGGATGATATGCAATTTACTCACCCCAGAGAGGAGAGGATGGTGGTTGCTAATAACAATGATGTTTCTTCTTGGTTCTTTTGGTAAAGTCACGTAGAAGGAAAATAATAAAAATAAAACCATAATCAAATAATTCTCACGACGTTTCGGCCACAACGCAAGCAGCCGGCTGCTTGCTTCTTGGTTCTTTCGGTAAAGTCACGTAGAAGGGAAATAATAAAATAATAAAAATAACACATAATTAAATAATTCTCACGACGTTTCGGCCACAACACGTTAATATTTTATTACCTCCCTTCTACGTGACTTTACCGAAAGAACCAAGAAGATGAATCCCTGCAGTCACGAAGGCTAAGTTGAACCTTGCCAGGATCCTAACTCCTAATCGGGAACCCTTCTTGCTATACCAAGTGCGTTATGATCCAGTCTTTACAGTACATATACAAAAAATGTAAGTAAATTATAAAGTTCAGTGGAACAAACAATTGAAGTGATCCGTGCTTCCTACTGTAGCGTGCCTATTGTCATTGCCGCCGTCTGCGCTCGATTTGCATTGTTGAACGCTTGTCGTCAGGTTTGGTATTTTTAACCGGAGACGTTTTTTTCCTCTCCGGAGCGAGAACTCGCGGCTCGTTAGAAGCGCCCGGCCTCGAAAGGGAGCGGCGTAAACGCAGACCTCGTCCGCGAGACGCAGCGCGAGTGACCACGTGATTATTCTCCCTCTCTCTCTCTCTCCCCATGTCCCCAAAAACACAAAACACGCAGAAACTGTGTCTCTGTGACACTTGACCTCTTGAGGTCACCCGTGCCATTGTTTGTGTTCAGTGAAAGGATGCCTGGCGCGAGAGACGAGCTCCCTCCTATTTTTGTTGTCTTTTTTTCCTTCCCCCGCCGCTTCCCGCTTGTGCTGGACTCACGCCTCCCCCCCCCTGCCGCTCCCTCTGCCCCCCCCTCTGCCCCCCCTCTGCCCCCCCCTCTGCCCCCCCCCCCCCCGCGCTCCCCCGCCCCACCTGGGTGCGTAGGTTAACGGGCAGGAGGTTGCAGGAAAGAGTCAGGAGGAGGTGGTTTCCTTGCTGAGGGCCACGCGACTCGGTGGCGCCGTGACCCTGTCCTTGCGACGGCAAGAGGACGCTTTCCTGCCGCGGCCCATCGTACGTGGCGGCTTGCTCGCCGACTCGCTCACTCAATCACTCGCTCGCTCGCTCACTAATGCGCTTGTGCACTGACTGAACACACTCGCTAAAGTAGTTGTTCACTCCTGAACACACCCGCTAACTCACTCGTGCACTCACTCGCTCACTCACTCGCTCACTAATGCGCTTGTGCACTGACTGAACACACTCACTAAAGTAGTTGTTCACTCCTGAACACACCCACTAACTCACTCGTGCACTCGCTAACACTCACTCACAAACTCGTGCATTCGCTCACTCAGCAACCCATTTGCTCACTCACTCGGTTATTCAAGAATATATTTGGTTAAACACTCACTGACTAACTCACCAAATTGTTGATGCTTTCACTCCATATATTCACTTATACTCAGAATAAACAAAATCTGCTCATGATACCAAGAATGTTCAAACCAGTCCAGACATCGCTTGCTTAAGTTGTAAAGGCCAGTAGGCACATATAAAAATATACACGCATTGTATGCGGGGGTACGGAGCAGGGGAGGGTTTAAATTATTTTGCTTACCAAGTAGCAGCTCCCTTCACTCATTTATCACGTTCTCAGCAACATAATTCACTTGCTGTCTCGCCCACTCCTCCTTCCATTTGTCTTGTGGCACAAGGTGTCTTGCAATGCCCTATAATTTAGATTTATGGCGAGTGTAATTACAAGCAGTGTCATGATGCATGGTACAAAAATAACCCATGACCGGCACAGCATGCGCAGGCCTTCGGCCAGCGTTGCATTGACAAAGGGCTGAACATTAATAATAATGTTTAGTTTTATCGCTGAGGAACCACAGACAAGTCGGAAGGCAGCATCAAGGCGATGAGCCGGCACCACCAATAATTTCCCAAGCTCTACGATCCTCTACATATGATTTTTATTTCAGCCAATGATCGAGCGTTTATACATGGGGGAGAAAGCTATCAGAATCTTTATTTACGCTGGAGGAAGCCGATGAGCTATGAAGCTCTTTCTAAAAAAATTCACAGATGTCCGGTCGGGGCACGGAGGGGAGGGGGGGGTCAGAAAGTTACAACAACAATCCGCGAGCATCCTGAGAAACAACCCACGCGTGTCAGGGGGCAACACACGGTCCGATACAGAAGGGACAGATAATATTAGTCCACACTTGGCTATTTACCATCTCCTGGTACCTCGACGCCTACGGGAAGGAAGTTTCGCAACATCTGTGCTTGCGATCCTCCAACTGTCGCCGCCACGATGCCAGATTAGAGGCGTGCATAGTCACGTCGGAATTCGCTAGGCGCGCGGCCGACACGCATTACAAGCGAGTATAGTCCAGTGTTAAGATTCTGTGTGAAGCAATGGGAGGTTGGGGGGGGAATAGTTGGATTAAGGTCGGTGCGGAGGAGGGTGACTGGAGAGTGAAGGTTTTTTTTATCCCGTAGGAGCTCTGGACGTGTCACATTGGGCATGAAAAGTTCACCGTAATTTGTATTATTGTCAAGGCCGTAAGTTTATAACCATGTGGAAAATGTGTCCTCAGTCAAAATGGAGGAATTCTCAATGCTGGATTTATTAAAAAGTCAATAGGAAAGTCACACGTGGCAATAACTCTCGGTTCAGTCAGTACAGATTAAAACTGTGAGTCACTGTGAGATGTTTTAAAAAGTTGAGTGATTTTAAAAAAATAAAGAACGTGTTGAATAGCATTATAAGCTAATCCTACCCATGCAATTATAATGATTGATTCAAGTTTGAGAAGTTAAGGGCATTTTGCTTAAAATTCATTTCCCTTAAATAGACGATTGGGGTGGAGTGGTGGCACAGTGGTTAGCACGTTGTGCTATGGATCTCTTACCCTGAGTTTGAATCCCGGCCACAGATAAAGCCAGTGGTGAGTGACATCTGAACCGATGTTAGGCTTCCCACTCCTTTCAACTTTCCGCACTAACCACCAGGATCAAGTACGGTCAGACAACCACCATAACAATCACGGCGCAAGGACGCCTTCTCTAGTAGCGTACAGCATTCCCTCGTTATCCACGAGGGATACCTTATGCAGATCTCGTGAATAGCAAATCTTGCCTACGAATTACCTTAAATAAATACTGTAAATAATACAGCTCACCACTTTTCTCTCTCATCACTTTATTTCTCATCACTTTGTTTCTCATCACATTCTCTCTCATCACTTTATTTCTCTCTCTCAATGCAGTCGCGTAGAGTTCCAGATGCGATTCGCGGATAGCCAAAGTCGCGGAGAGCAAGTTTGTGAATAACGAGGGAATACTGCATCGCCGTGGGGCCGTATATGACTTTATTATTAGCTTTAAAAAAAGGATTTACTCAAATAGAGAAAAGGTCTATTTAAGCAGTGTTGCTATGAAAGCGCTCGATACAAGTCAAAACAAGATGGCCGCTAGCACTTTGCGCTATCTCTCGGCATCGGAGAGGACGTGCCGGTAAAATTAAACGCTTCCTGCCACCCTCGGTCACTCCGGGATTCGCCAGGCGCACAGACGCCCTGACAACTCCTTATCACTGTGACCGCTCCGATTTTATTTTAAAAGAGTGAGAGAGCGAACTCCCCCCCCCCGCCTCCCACTGCCCCCCCCCCCTTCTCTTCCCGCTGTGGTTCTCAAAACTCTGTCGCGAAATTCCAGTTGAGCCCGTTAGACAAATCCACTGCGAAGGATTTGTAAATTATGACCCACGTGTTTTCAATCCTGAACGTAGCATTAGAGCCCATTTAGCCGCAGTGTTTACAGTGGCGCGGAATGCCTCGTCTGTTTTGTTTTGGTTCCCATGTCCTTGTTTACAAACATTTTTCGTTCCCTCCCTCAACCTCAAGAGTAGCTTTGCGCTGCGTTGCTGCTCTTGACTCCGTACGTCACTCGTGTTTTCTTGCATCGGAGGACACAGGTGAACGTCCTATAAAGGTCACGGGTCAGCGTACGATTTTACTGGGGTGTAGGTAATGGCAATACTAGAGCAGCACTTCGGCAAAGCTGCAGCACCTGGTGTGGGGGAGGTCAATGGCAGCTGTCGAACGGAGAGGCTGATCATCTACCTTGGGAATGAGGAATTGAGACCTACAAACTGAGCTTCACCAATGTGAATGTTAGAGATGGGATAATTTAATCGACCAAGTGACAAGAAATTGTTATTTGTCATCAATAACTCGGGCCTCTTGAAAAATGGCAGCCGCCCCACATCCTACCTCCTGAAGGCTGGAAACCCCCAACAAGGCACGCCCAGTGTGACGCGGCTGACTGTGCGATGATGTCACCAAGGCCCGAAATGATTGTCCCCTATATTCCTATAATCTCCCGCACCTCCAATGAGCAACTTTGACTTTGTACGGTACGAAAGAAGTTGAACATTCATGCATACAAATGGGAGTACCCGGTAATAACGATGATCTGGAGTTATTTCTGCACGCCACTGCGTCACTGTGAGGACAAAACGAGGCGACATGGATGTGGCATGCCAAAATAATTCCCTGAGCAGCGTTCACGATTTTTCCAGCTGAAATTAAGACCTGCCATTTATCATATCACATATATATAGCACAACAAAGACAAAGATTCCCCACTGTCCGGCCTGCCTTTGTCTCCTTAGTGGCGATGTTTACACATACCAGGTACTAATTTTAGGCTGAGTTCACCTTGGGGAGGCCCAGGACCAGTTTAGATAATTGTGACTAGTGTTGGCCACGAGCGGAAATTTAACTCTGGTCACTGGGTTTGTCGCGCTGCGCACCAACCACTGCACCACCGATCTACATAAAAGGACAAAGATCCCCCGTATAGCCTGAACAGACTGTTGGGGCAAGTGCTGTTAGCGAGCACCTATGAAGGCCGGCAGGCACACGGGGGGGTGGGGTGACCAGCACCACGCCCGGCCGCCTTTGTCTCCCTAGTGCCGATGTTTACACACCGCACCAGGTACTCATTTGAGGCCGAGTCGACTTAGTGGAGGCCCAGGGACGTTTCAGATAATCGTCACCGGTGTTCGTAGCGCAGCGCGCTAGCCGCTTCACTACCGCTCCCCACATCACACACCCCCCCTCCCCCCCCCGCAGAGATGTAACTCATGAACTGCTTAATCTCCTTTGGTCATCTCAGAAAAATGCATCGCGGGGGCTGGTAGTGGGGAGGAGGAGCAGGAGGAGCAGGAGGAAGGGGAGAGGTTATCATCGTTGTCCTTGTCCCCGTCTTGGGATGCAAGTGGCTCACCTCTGCAGCGGTCGCAGCGTGGGAAGGAAATCGGCGACTGTCCGGTGCTGGCGCCACAGGAATGCTGCTGCCCGTAGCCCAGCCCCCCGTTGACCGATAACTCTATCTGTTTGTGCCTATTAATAGGCTCGGCCGCACCTACTTTTATAAATTCATTAATTAAATGCACTCCTTTTTTTGTCTGTTTTAAGGCTGACCGCCGAGCACGTCCGCTAGCTCCGCGCTCGTTGTTTTCGTTGAGCCCTTCCGCGTGCTTTGAGAGTTTTTTGCCCCAGCGTAGCGATGCTATTAACGCGATGCTCGTTTTGTGTGTTCCGGATAATTATCCGTGTCCAGATTGGGGGAGAGACGGCTTTTGTCGGCAGTCTGCTATAATAGTCGACATGTGGAATAGATTCTGGGCCCTACTAGAGTGACGTGGAATTTCAACCTCCTGGTGACGGAGATGAGTTACCGCCACGTGCTCATCCTGAGTAGGGAGACGCTGTGAGTTGTTTCTGAGTCGGCTGCTTATCTCTAGGATCTGCCACTACACACGTGGAACTGGAGTTGCCATATGTCCGGGTTTGACCTCGACAGTCTGGGAATTGGCGTCTGTGTTTTGGGCGGCAGGAGTTGATTTGTACCGAGATCTGGTACCGGTATTTATTGTGCACTTTATTACGGTGTACTGCACAGTTTTGATGGACCTGGCTGACTGAGAGATACGTATGGCTTTTGTCTGTGGAAGAAGGCGGCACTGAACAGAACCTAATGATGTGTAGATACATGCCTGGCAAAAATAAAATGAGACCATCTTAACGAAGCCAATTCAATGAGGGGGAGGCACCTTGACCTCACTTAACCGTGGTGTTTTGATGGGCTCTTTAACTGTAGGGTCTGCCATTTTGTCATCAACATCATGATCATCACTATTTGCATTGATCTCTCCACTGCTGGATGAAAGCCTGCTGTTTAAGACGTGCCACTGAATAGCGGCTGACGACAAACAGATTTTTGCTCCAATATCAAATCTTTCACAGATACAATAATTATCGTGAACATCCCTTTGTCAATCCACTTAACCAAGGCTTCTCCCCCATGTCCTGCTGGTCATAGGGTTTGGTGGACCCCTTGCCCTGCTGGGTCTTGTGTGGGTTGACGGAATAGCACAAGCGTCTCTTTATAATAAATACCGTTTTAAATTGTCCCATATGAAGCCGATGTTAACAACGTGGGAAACAAGTTGGTGGCTGAGGACACGTGTTCTGCAGCTGTGCAAGTGACGGCGCAATGCCGGGTGACCGCATAGACGAGCTCGCCAGAGTGGGGGTTCACAGAGGGATGGCCAAATATTGTCGGCTTGCGAACGCGTCAACACGCACCTTACCGTTATGCAACAACAACAAGAATAATAATCATGCGAAAAATGAGTAGGGCTCGGCTTTACCGTACGACTGCGACGTCTGTCCTGCGGTGGCGTTATAATTATAAACACTATGTCGATGCCAGTAGTACCTTATTAGTGCAGCTAAGATGCAGTCATGGATAAATAGTAGAAATAGTTCCCCAAATTGATGAAAATGTCAGTTAGTCCGAGTACATCGCACACAATCACGATCGTGTGAATATGGGCCGCGTGAAATGATGTCACGGGCCGTCGTGCCTTTGCCGTTGGGCCATCACTCCCCCATCCCACTGCTCTTGTTGCCAGAGCTTGGAGGTGGAGAAGCGAGCAGCTGTGAGGACGACCAGGGGGTGATGGGAGGAGGGGATGGGGGCAGCACAGGACAGGGGCCAGAATCTAGAGACCCCAGAGAGAGAGAGAGAGGGAGAGAGAAGCCGCCCCCGCAAACTCAGGCCTGTGCTTCCTGGCACATAGCAGGGAGCGGCGCTACACGGTCGGCCCTGGCGGTTGAGTCACCTTGGCAATCCGGCCCACGCTTGGGACGTTTGGCCTACGATGTGTGTTCAGAAATAGGACTGTGGGGGCGGCTCATTGAATGTCTTGCACCAGGGCCCCTGCAATCCATGCAATCTCACTGGTCTCCATGCAAACTTATGGGTCAAGGGGGGTCTTTGTTAGTGGAGTAGTTATCAAGTGTGTGCAGACAGTGCAACTGCACCAGGGCCCACAGGCCAGAGGAGCACCTGATGTACATTATAGGCTACAAATGATGGTCTCTTGTAGCACCATTCCAGATGTATAATAAACACTTCACATCTCACTTGTATCCCATCATTACGTCTCAATTTTACGGGAAGTGCTGCCACTCGGGGTGTGTACCCATGTGCCACCACTAGAGGGAACTCTGGAGAGCCACTTTAGAGGATATTTGGCCTACTCTTCCATGTTTTTGTATTATGTTTACCCCTATATATATTTTACAATTTTGCCGTTGCATCACGCCGTCCTTGGCTTTGCCTCTTGGTTCAAACCACCAAGCGACTGCAATCAATAGCTGGACGATATAAACTACTATTTAAACTATTACAAACTATTAACCATTTTTTATATATCAGGTATGGCTCACTAAGCTATATAGCTATTTTTAAGAAGCGTTATGGCCACAAATGATAGCTCAACGAAGTGGCTTATCATCATATGGAAATGTATTGCAGCCAAATACTCTGAACGTATGTTTCTAAATGTGCGTGGGGAAAACCGGAGTACCCAGAGAAAAATCCACGCAACGTGCAAACTCTAATTATACAAGCATCAGGATCAGGATCGAACCCACGACCTCCTGTATTCCAGGCGAGGTAGTTAACATCTCCAAGCCACGGTTATGATTGTGAGAGAGAGACGTGCAAACTCCAATTTTACAGGCATCAGGGTCGGGAACGAACCCACGACCTCCTGTATACCAGGCGAGGTAGTTAACATCTCCAAGCCACGGTTATGATTGTGAGAGAGAGACGTACAGGCATCAGGGTCGGGATCGAACCCACAACCTCCTATTTTCCAGCTAGTTAACATCTCGTCACTGTGACTCTGCCACTGCCACGTGACTGCTACCGAACAACACGCGGCGCGCTGTGTCGATCGCTCAGCAGAAGGCGGGCGGCGACGGCGACGAGGTGGAGGGCCCCGCGGCGGGCACGGGGTCGGCCGCCGCACCTCCCCCCGAAACGCCGAGGAGAATGTTCACCTACGAGATCCCCCTCAACGACTCGGGCTCCGCAGGGCTTGGCATCAGCGTGAAGGGCTCGCGGGAGGACGACACCGACCTCGGCATCTTCGTCAAGTCCATCATCTTCGGCGGAGCCGCCTCCAAGGTGCCAAATTTGGGCGGTGCTGCGGACGAAGAGGCAGTAAGGGGGGAGCGGTTGATGACGATTGTGTAAATGTGTTTTTTTTGGTTCGCTGTGATGGTGTTTATGAACGTGATGGTGATTATGAAGATGATGGTGGTAAGGATGACTGCTGATTTAGATTGTTGGTTCTCTTGTGATGATGATGATGACAGCAAACGTATGTATGTTGAACTTCTTTCGCACCATACGTAGCCAACCAACTAATAGGAGGTGTGGGGAAGGACAAAACAATAATTTTGATTGGGTGATGATGATGATGTTGATTGTGATTTTGATGATAATGATTGTGCATGTTTGATGATAATGACAGGTAAAATAGCGGTTGTGATGGGATAATGATGACAGTGGTGATGGAATTGTCATTTTGGTTTCAACGAATGTGGTGATTCCAGGACTGCACCTTTACCTCGTACAGGGAGATTCGTAGTCGCCGTCATCATTATCCAACGTCGACAAGGATGTTTCATTTCGATTTAAAGCTTTCGTGACTGCAGGGATTCATCTTCTTGGTTCTTTCGGTAAAGTCACGTCGAAGGGAAATAATAAAATAATAAAAATAAAAAATAAAAAATAATTCTCACGACGTTTCGGCCACAACGCTAAAATAAAACATAATAAAATAATTCTCACGACGTTTCGGCCACAACGGCTGCTTGCGTTGTGGCCGAAACGTCGTGAGAATTATTTTATTATGTTTTATTTTTATTCTTTTATTAACAACGGCTGCTTGCGTTGTGGCCGAAACGTCGTGAGAATTATTTTATAATGTTTTATTTTTATTATTTTATTATTTCCCTTCTACGTGACTTTACCGAAAGAACCAAGAAGAGGATGTTTCAATTTTTTTTAAACCTCAATTACGACGACGAAGGTCACGTGGCGGGTCTCACTGCCCCCCACAGGACGGGCGGCTGCGCGTGAACGATCAGCTGGTGGCGGTGAACGGCCAGTCGCTGTTGGGCCGCACAAACTCCGAGGCCATGGAGGTCCTGCGGCGCTCCATGTCCACCGACGGGAACGTGCGGGGAATGATCCAGATCGTGGTGGCTCGCCGTGCCGTCCGCTTCAGCCAGGTGCGCCGTCGGGTAGAACCTGAGGGGCAACGTGACATCGTTCCTTTTTCTTCCCCCCCCCTTCTCCTCTCTCCCCTTCTTCCATGCACTGCACAACCGAGTCACACCGGGGTGGCGGGGGGGGGCGGGTCGCTGGGCATGCTAAGCTGGCCTGGCATGGCGCAGGTCAGGAGGTGATAGTTTTGTCCAGAAGCAGAGCTGTGCCGCTGACGTTGCACGCAGCGAACGAGCCGAGACGCACGTCCGTGTAGATGCGCCTCGACGTCGTGTGCGACGTGGCGATTATCCGCACCGGCCCAGGGCCTCCCCCCCGAGTTGACTCGGCCTCAAATGAGTACTTGTTGCGGGATTATAAACATCGCCACTGGAGAAACAAAGGCGTCAGGCCGGGTGTGGTGGTGGCCACTTGTGTCGTGCCGGCCTTCATGGATGCTTGCTAACAGCACCTGCCCCAACAGTCTGTTAAGGCTATACAGGGGAGACATTTGTGTTTGTTTGACGCAGTCCACTGTGTCGGTGAACTAACTGATGATGCCAAGCCAGATTTAGATGTTTGATTCAGCCTCGGCAAAGCAAATAGCCAGCGGAACCTACCCCCCCCCCCTCCCTCCACATACCATGAGGGTCCCATGCTGGCTTGGCTCAGACATGCCAGTGGAAAAGGGGTATTGGTGTTGGGACAGGCTACGGTCTGAAAATGGAAATGTGAATATTCGCTCGTGCTTGTTTCTTCCCTCTGTCTGCCCTCCTCAGCCGATCGTCCCTCAGGGCTCCTCCAAGGCAGTTGCACCTGGACACGTGGATCAGACTCACTCGGACTACAACTCCCTCCTTTATCACACGATCGGAGCCCACCAATCGGGGCTGAAGAATGGCATTCTCGGTAAGAGGGCGTTTGTATGATTTTTATCTGTCAGTCGCGTGCGTGTTGAAACCGGCCGTTGGTTTTCTGTACGTCCTGCGCAAAGGCCGCTGCGTTCAGAGCGCAGTTCGCTAAAGGCTGCACCACCGCTGGTGCCTTGTACATAACTCACTGCAGGTTGAGATGAGAATAACGGCACGCAGACACGTGTACAAACCCATCCGTTCGACAATGAACCAGGCAACAAGCTCGTAAGCAGTGTGATCGTAGAGAAAACAATTAAATGGGCAGCCCGTAACAATAATGATAATAATGTACAAGTACATCTGGTATTCACACTGCTCTTACAGCGCAAGGCTACCTCGATGGTGATGTGATTCACATATGAGTGTCGTCTACTTGCAGGGGGGGCGATAATTGCCGGCAAAACGTAATACTCTAATTGTAAATGTTGTGGGTTTGCTCTGCAATGCACGGGTGTGCTGAACTAGTAACGAATTGACATGTTTTGATCACGTGACAAACCTTACTATAACTGGCTTTGTCGGGTGGTGGCGGATTTAACGACACATATTTACGTAATTTAACCGTCAAAACAAACTTATATTATGGATAATATTGGTCGCCAAGGCCTACGTGTTAAACTGAGGGGGCGATTTGTTAATCATGGAGCACAATGAGCTGGCTAGGATTCCTTACAAACAAAGCTTGTCGGACAATAGACCGGTTGGCCATCCTAAGACGCGGTGGAGAGCCGTGCTCGGGAAATGATTTGCACAGGGCCTGGAATATCCGTACACGGGACCGCAACCGGAAGAGACCGTATGAACAGCGAAGAGCAGTGATGTTGACGTTGTGGTCACAGTACGGATGATGATGATGATGATCGTGCACCGTTACCGTGCTTTTTGTTACGCGCTATGCACAATGTTGACGACATTCACGGTAACGATGATGCGCCTCTGATTAGCACGGTTGGCTACATATGGTGCAAAATAAGTTCAACATGGATACACATTGCTTATGATCACAGTCATGATGATGGATTGTGAAGACGGCATGCTGGTGGCAATGTTCACGATGTCGTTCATGACTACAGTAACAAAAGCTGTAAAGATGCCGAGAAAACCGGTTGAACGTCGTTGAGCGGGCAAGACGAGAACCTGATGTTGAGATCGATCGATCGATCGAAAGAATTGGTTTATCTTCTTGGTTCTTTCGGTAAAGTCACGTAGAATGGAAATAATAAAATAATAAAAATAAAACATAATAAAATAATTCTCACGACGTTTCGGCCACAACGCAAGCAGCCGTCCTCAGGTGAAGAACAGGTCTGTCGGAAAGACAGAGTCTGAATGACACGTCCTGGGCTTGGAGCGTCTATTTAAGCTTAGAGTCGCGGCATCTCTTCATAAAGGTGAAAGACTCGATTAGCTGAGCCTTCTTATCCCGGAGTTTGTTGAAAGATCTTAAAGAATTGGTTTAATTGACCGTTCCTACCATCCATGTTTAATATAGAATCAAGTTGCAAGGTTATTCCATTTAACCAGGTGAGAACTCGAGAGACCAGGATGGAGCCCCGCTTCGCGGAGTGAACGACGAGAGTAAAACAAACGATGTGCAGCACAACTGCGTCTCGTGACGAATCGAAAAGATTGCTCGAGCACGAACGACATCAATTAAAGCGTTGCTCCGTGTGGTTTTTTTTTGTTGGGGACGGGGGGGGGACAGGAGGGTGGGGGACGTTACCCAGGGACCGAGAATTAGCGGACAGCCCGCCACCCCCTCTCCCGCCACGGCGAACGCCGCTCCTCAACCACAGCTCCTGGACGGACGGCGGATCGGGGCCACGGGGCACGCAGTGGCCTCCTGCCGTCACGAGGTAGGCGTGATCCACTGTTATTCCCCCTTCCCTGTAGTCCGTCATCTCTTCATTGTCATAATTATCTTAGTATCATCATCATCATTCAATGCCATCATCATTGTCATGGTCATCGTGACCATCATGGCCATCATCATCATCACCACCACCATCATGAGAGTTACCCAAGTGCAGTGGTGCCTGTTCGCAATCCAGAATATTGGAGGCAGGGTTGGCGAATCACTCGTTGAGGATGACGATGGTGACGATGTGCCCGCAGCGTGGGCTGGTGCCACGATTCTGAGGATGAGCCTGGGTGGTCGAGCGTCCAGGGGCACGGGAGAGGCCTCGGGGACGACGGCCCCGCTGACGGCATCAGGCACAGGAAGTCGCGCAGCATGGACATCAGTGAGTGCACGTGTGTGTGTACGTGTGTAGGTGTGTGTGTACGTGTGTACGTGTGTGTGTGTGTACGTGTGTAGGTGTGTGTACGTGTGTAGGTGTGTGTGTGTGTACGTGTGTACGTGTGTAGGTGTGTGTGTGTGTGTACGTGTGTGCGTGTGTGCGTGTGTAGGTGTGTGCGTGTGCACGTGGGGAGCGGTAGTGTAGTGGTTAGCGCGCTGCGCTAGGCACCCGGCGACCCGAGTTCGATTCCCGCTCACGGCCAACATCAGTGACGATTATCTGAACCGGTCCTGGGCCTCTCCTAGGTCGACTTAACCTCAAATGAGTACGTGGTGCGGTGTGTAAAAACGTCACCACTAAGGAGACAAAGGTGGCTGGGCGTGGTGCTGCCCCTCATAGGTGCTGCTGCTCGCGAACGCCACTTGCCCCGACAGTCCGTGTGGGTTAGCTGGGGGACCTTTGTCTTTGTAAGTGTGTGTCATTATGGAGAGAGGTAGTTCAGCAGTTGGCGCACTGCGTTACGAACCCGGCGAACCGAGTTCGATTCTCAGTTACGACCAATGACAGCGATGAATATTTGAATTGGGGCTGGGCCTCCCCGAGGTCGACTCAGCCTGAAGAGAGTAACCATCATTGTGTCACCATCAGCACTGGGGCGACCTATACGGCCAGGCATGGTGCTAGTCACCCCATCCCCCTTGTGTCCCAATGCAGCCTCAATGGGTGCTCCCTCACAGCACTTGCCCCAACAGACTGTTCAAGGCTATATGGGGGGTAAATTTGTCTTTATATGTGTGTAGCCCCGTATTGCCATGATGCATAACATCAGGGGAGATTGGCATCCATACTAGATGGGGGATTCGCTCGCTTGAATTGGCCTGAAAGTGAGCATTTCATGCGATGGTGCAGTTCACAGCAGCACGGGAGAGACAAAGGCAGGTTTGGTGCAGTGCTGGCCACACCACTCTCTCATTTGCCATGCTGGCCTTCGTCGGATCGATCGCTATCACACAGAACCAACAACAACAACAAATCAATCTCAGTTTCTGCTAAAAGCGCAGTGGTCGCTTGTGTTCAAAGTCAATTCGCAAACTAAAGGTTGATCCGCTCTCTCCGAGGATGAATGCAAGCACGAAACATACATATCTACACACACACTCACACACACGTGTGTACATATATACACATGTTCCGTGAATAATAGAACACGGAGCTGAGCACGTTGTCAAAAACCGCACCCCGTTTCTTTTCGCAGTCGCCGACGAAAACGACCGCGGCCGCTCGTCGCAGCAGAGGGCAGGTAAAGCGGTGCGAGCGCGCAAACCTCGCTCCACGCTCGCGCTTCAAGAGCCCCGCCGCGCGGCGATGATTCCCAAGCCGGCCACGCGCTGGCTCGGCGTCGCCAGGCGACCCTCGTGAAGGTCAAGCGGCCTTTAAACCAGCCGGCATCGGCGACCGTTAATTTGGCCCGCCCGGAGTTGTCATTTTATTTGGCCGCTGTCTCTTGCTTCAAAGCGCGTGTGGGGGGGGTAAGGGCTTGGTGGTGGGGCGGGGTGGGGGGGAGCACTTTGTCACCACCAGTGCCGTCTCGCCTTCTGTGTCTCCGAGCCCAGAGGGGTTCTTTTATTCCCCCGGCTCGCGTGGCCTCTGCCCTCGCTCGCTCCCGCAATCAAACGAGGCCTTGAAATGAAACGATGGCTAAACGAGAGGGGGGACCCCCTAGCGGCGCTCGTGGCCTGCGGGGAAGAGGGACGAGAGGTCACGTGCCCCCTGCCCCCTCCCCCTTGCCCCCCTCGTAGGCCGTGAGCCAATGGTGGGTTTTGTGGTACCACCTGGGGTGGCAAATGCGACCAATATCCGCCATGAGCAGCGTCGACAATGGGCAGAATCCACCATGGCCAGAAAACAGAAATGTATCTTATTTGGGTCTTTCGGTAAAGTCACATAGAACAAAAAAAGTTTACAACAAAAAAACTACGACGTTTCGATCGCAACGTAAGCAATCGTCATCAGGATCGAAACATCTTTTTTTTTGGTTATTTTTTTTGGTTTAAAAGACACCTCATTCATTATATGTAGACGTTTCATATTAAATGTTTTTTACATTCCTGAATGGTCTATAAATAATATAATATGGTTCCGTTTAAAAACAATGGGTATTTCGTTATCTCACAAAGCTACCACAAGGATCTTGCTATCATAATAATTTGTGATCTCGACCTAAAATTCTCGAATAAAATCGAGGGTTGCACCTGCCACCCCAGGTGGTACCGGTGTAGGCCAGCGGCCAAGACAGTCGTGTGGTGACGGGTGGGTGTCTGCCACTTATTAGATCCCGCTGCTGTCCATGTGTGTGCATTTAAGGTTTTTAGAAGAGGGTTTTTTTTTTCGTTGAATGCCCCAGGCTCCAGCGGAGCTGAGTTTTAACGTTCACCAAGCAAACGTCAGCCACCAGAGAGAGAGACGGCCACCAGAATAAACATCCGTTATTTGTTGAGTGCAACACCTTGATTGCCCCGGGTAGGAATGGTTCTCGGGGTTGGCTCATAATCAGCACCGATTAAATATTTGGGAGATTTTTATATTAATTTAAATAAACAAATATATGGTTGTAACTGATTTCCGCATGCGTGTGGCGTGAGTTAAGTTGTTTAAGGGGGGTGCGTGGCTTGCTCGGGGGGGGAGGGGGGGGGGACACATAATGGTTTTGCCGGAGTTGGCAAGTTGATGATCTCATGCCCATCGCCAGTAACCGCGCTCATAAATACCCATCATCAAATTAGTTTTTCTAATCTCATTTGTTTCGGCCCAGCTGCGAGAGCAACGGTTGCGTAATTTCTTGCGATTTTTGAAGTAACTCTTTTGAGAGGTTAACGTTTGGCAGCAGCAATCTCGTGGTTGTTGGAAGGGAGACGCTGTTCTCCGATAACAACGCACCGCTTTGCTTTGGACCCAAGGAGTTCCACGCAAAAAAAAAAACACGGCGCCGATTATAGCACACATTTTACGTTGTTGACGATCACTGCCAATAAGTTGAAATCAACACTGAACTGATTGCTATGCGGATTATTCAAGATAAGTGAATCGTTTGTTATCAAAAGAAGTGGCTGGGTAACTCGGGATTGAGCACTGAATCCCAGCAGACACTCAAAATCAGACCAGGTTCTCAAGTGTAGTAAGGTGATTGTTGCAAATCCAGTCATCAATCACTGCAAGTAAAGACCCTATTAAATATGGTATTTCACTTAATTTGGTTAATTCCCAGTAATGAAACTATTCCGAACTGGGAATTAGGCTGTCACCTGAATGGGTCTCAGAAGTAGTTCTGTGAAAGCTCCTTCCACAAGCCGGGCTAATGCGCCATGAGAGTTCCGAGAGGACGAGTCGTTTCACCACATGGTGCCGATAGCGCAATTGGAATGAAAGACGTTAGGAAAATAAAAAAAGTCGCCAATCAAAAACGTAACAAAAAAAATTAAGTCACTCGTGTATCGTTACTCCTTCAGGCTGGAACACGAGGAGTGTAGGCCCTTCGCTCGGCCTGGTCATGTCCAGCTCGCTCGAGAGCCTTCAGGCCGCGGTGGCCGCGGCGTCGGGAGCCAACGATGGCGGCGGCGGCGAGCGCCATCACGACGGCGACTTCTACTACGACGACGACGACGACGATGACGACTACGACGGAGTCGACGGTGGTGACGACATGGGCGGCCACGGCGTCTTCTCGCCGGGACGCCCACGATCCGGCCTTGGCCGCGGGCGAGCTTGCAACGCCAGCTTCCGGGCCGCCATCGACAAGTCGTACGAGGAGGGCGGCGGCGGCGGCGGCGGCGGCGGTGGTGCGGGGACGGGCGCCAGCGACGCAGAGTCGTGGGTCACCGAGTCGCGCAGCGCCGGCTCCAGCCGGCACGGGCGCGGGGAGGGAGAGGTCAGCGACCCCGACACGTGTAAGTGTCGCATCGGCAAACGGACAGAAAGAATTCGCCGCGCGCGCTAACTTTCCTCGTAAACTAAGAAATAAAAAGGCTTCACGGCTTGCTGAGTGAACATACAGGCTAGCAAGCGAACTAATTAACAAGCTGATCAGCAAATTTTTGACGAGACAACTAATTAACCTACGAATAAACTAACAAGTTAATTAAACTCGCTCCAAAGCTTAGAATACTAAGCAAATTAATGTAATGGCCTTATGAATGAACATATGAAAAACAAAGATAACTAATACACTTAGATTTTTTTTAACTAACAGGTTAATTACCAAACTAATTAACGTGTTAGTTTGTAATTCTTTGAGTGGCTCAAATAATTAGCCAACATGGCAAAACACAAACTTACAAACTGATAAATACAAAAAATAACGGCTCACAATGTTCAACTTGCCAACTAACCCTTGCAACAAGTATACCGTAAATAAAATGAGCTTGGAGTGGTGGCCTTGGGCCGCCAGTCTTGAGAGAGACTTTCTGAGTGTTCCAGACGCCGAAAATGATTCAATTGTGACTGTCTGGAGGACAAAGTGCGTATCTCCACACGTTTTTCACACTGAAAACGAAACGAAACAATGTTTTATTTGACCAGGTAAGGCCGCCGCTGAGCTGTTTCGCTCTTTTTCAGAAGTGACCTGGCCACAAATGATAGCGCGACGAAGTGGCTTATCGTGTGGAAATTTATAGCAGCCAAATACTAGTGTTTATTTGAAATGTGGAGGGAAAAACCGGAGGACCCGGAGAAAAATCCACGTGACCACGGGGAGAGAGAGGCATCAGGGTAGGGATCGATCCCCACGACCTCCTGTATACAGGCGAGGTAGTCAACATCCGGGCTGAGGGAGTCTAGTAAACCGCTTCATTTTGGTCTTCTTGGTTTCCAGGTGCAGGTGGCTCTGCTCGGCACTCTTGTTGTTCCTCAGCAGTGGTTGTTTTGTCTCCCCCCTTGACCTCTACGATGCTGCGACGTGTCCGCATTTGCCCCGCGCTCCGTTTTGTAGTTTTTTGACTGAACGTGTCGTGTCAAGGGGGGGGCGGGTGGGGGGGGAGAGAGTTCGTCGTTAGCGGTGATATTTAAACAACGACAACAACAACAACAACAAAATAACATGAATCCAAAGGAAGACTTGACTTGCTGCTGTGTGCAGGAAGAGTGTTGCCTTGTGATCACGGTGGCTTGGGGGGGGGGGGATGCAGTGTAAACAGCTCATGACGGCGGGGGCCCCCGCGCTTCAAGTGGGCCGGTTCCCCCAGGGCCTTCTGTTTCACGTTAACATTTTAAACTTCCTGCCTGTTTAGACGCAGCTGTGAAAGCATATGAACGCTAAGGATTTGATTTGGGTCGCGGGCAGGAGTGGATAAAAAAAAAATTATCCCCACCCGGGTCATGTTGCGAATTCGGTTTGCGCAAAATTGGTTCGGACGCGTGCGATGCCTGTTTAGATTGTCATCTCTGAACACGAATGTTTTGAGTTCTTTGAACGTCAAATGTTTGGAGTTCTTCGAACGTTGTTTTTGGCTTCGGTTGACATTCGTCTGATTGCTTTGTGATGGTAATTAGCAAAAGCTTTGATAACAGTTTCTGTAATGTGTCAGTGGATAGTGTTAGTTTTTTTACCGGGAGAGAGACGCTGCTAGATTTGGTCGCGTTAATAGAGCCCGCTTGTGGTGGTTAGCGCACTGCTCGCTGGACCTGGTGACCTATTCTTGTCCACGGCTAACGCCATCGGGGAGTGATGTCTGAACTCAGAATCAGAATATGTATTTATGCTGGAGGAATCCGATGAACTATAAAGCTCTTCTTCGCATGGAGAAATATGGTCAAACAACCCCGATGACCGCCACGGCATGGTGAAAAATTTCATTCTGCAGTGGATTTATAAAAGGGTAGCACTTGAAAAAAGATGTACAGTATATGTTTATCCAAAACTGCAGGGATTACTGCTAAGAATGTGGCCTCAAACAGCAGCAAACAAAGTCTGGATGATGCTGCTGCGGCAGATGCGGAGCCGCGTGGCTTACAGTGTGTGCGCGGTACGCACCAAAACAGGCGTGCATGAAGAATATGAATTGCTCATCAGTTTTTGGGTTCGGATATATAAACAAAAACTTAGTAAAGTAAAATAAGATCACGATAGACGACCCAGACACACCTTACCGAGATGAAACCCCCTCGTCCCAATTCAGACCGATAACCGCGAGCCCCAATCACCGCTGCCCGAGGTCTAATTATTCCACCATTGTAACCTCCTTTGCCAGTAGCAAAATATGATAAATGTTTTTTTTTACCCTTTTATCTGGCAACAAAACTGACACCTCTTTTTTACAAGGAGTCATGTTTGCATTGACCACAATACCTGCGGTCGGAATGCAAACAAAAAACACAACTCTGATAATGTATGCACTGTCCTTGAAATTGATTGGTCCACACCCGAGACAGCTTTTCTTAGAGCCTAGTCTCACGTGGTGTTGGACCAGATGACGCCAAAAGGCGCACAACTCAAAGACAATGCACCATCAGAGTATGAGAGCTCGGGGTAAGCATTTACACCATTGGAACTTCTTTTGCCAGTAGCAAAATATGATAATTGTTTTTTTTACCCTTTTATCTGGCAACAAAACTGACACCTTTTTTTACAAGGAGTCATGTTTATTATTCTCTTTGCTGTTGGTGGAATTTCCCGAGAGCCGTCACCGCCTGACGCTGACGGGCTCTGCTGTGAGACTGATAACAGCGGCTCCCGCCTCTCTGCGTCGCGCCGTGCAGTGGAGGAGGAGACGGTGGACAGCCCTCGCTGGCGCCCGCCGAAGGCCCTCACCAACCGCCTCCAGTCGCTCTCGCAACCGGGATCCCCCCGGGGACGGCACAACGGCCGCGGCACGGCAGGAAAGGAGAAGAAGAGCAAGCCGGAGAAGGAGAGGGAGCGCGGCAAGGACAGGGACAAGGAGAAGAAAGAGGGCATTATGAAGGGACTGGGAGTTATGTTCAGGTAGAGTACATGACAGCCGTGTCACGATTCACCCACCCCACAGAGATTCGGAGGTCACCGTTGGATTCCCCCGGGTTGATTATTTTTCTTGTCCCATTTTTAGCATCGTGCCGTGTACTGTTTATCGTTTTTCTACGTGCGCTCTGTCCGTCCCGACTGTCCAAGGGTTGCCCATAATGTGTAAACTCAACCGAGAACAAAATGAACGATTTAAAAATACGCAAACTTTTTTTTGTTTGCCCAGACACCCACACGTCGGCTTCCGTGCCACTAATAAAAAACTTACGAAGACAAACACAGTTTGGAAATCGTTACAGAATGCCATGCATATGCATACACTTCTTTGTGTCGTTTGAATCGCGCGTTGTGCAAGTTACATCTGTGCTTGATGTGTATCGCAGGTTTGGGAAGAGCAAAAAAGAAGAGAAAGCGGTGAAGGTGGAGAGGAAGGGATCGAGGAGAGATGACAGCATCCTCACCGACGAGGAGATCAACATAATGAGGAGGGAGCAGGAGAGGTGGGACTCACGTCACTCGCATGTTCGCTCGCACACTCTCTCACTTCCTCGCGATCTCTCTGATTCCCTTTACTCTCCCTAACCATCTTTCCCTCTCAATCTGTCTCCCTTTCCATCCCATTCTTCCTCCCTGTCCCACCCTCTCCATCCTACCTACTCTTTCCCACTTCCTCTCACTCTGTCTCTACCCCCCGACTTCGTCTCACTCTCTCCATCCCTCCAATTCCTCTCTCCATCCCTTCCTCCATCCCTCCTCCTCCTCCTTCCTCCTCCTTCCTCCTTCACTCTCTCTCTCCATCCTTGATGCTCCCTCTCTTTGCATCTCCATCCTTTCCACTGCTCTCCGTCTGCGCTTCCTCTGGGAAGCCGAGAGCATCGTAGCTGCCAGGATTAAATGACTCCCGAGTCCCCAAGGCCTTTGGTGACCGGGCGTGTGGCCCTGTGCCTTTTAAGCAGCGAGGAAACGGTGGGGAACTCTCCTGGGGGGAGGTGGGGGGGGAGAGCGTTTTATGTGACCGTGCGCTAGCTAGGATTACGTCCAGGTAAGCCTTTGTGTTTCATGTGGGAGGAAACCAGAGTGCCCGGAGAAAACACACGCGTATTGAGAGGAGAAGAACGCTTCTTGGATCACAGATGGCCTGTCTGGCCTGCCAAAACTGTTAATGAGACCCAGAGTAAAATTCCAGATGCGGCCCCCTCTCATTCTGAAGCCAAGGTCAAAGATCAAACTGCCCTTTGCTCCCTTCCTGTCTGCGTCCCTATAGCATATCAGCAACCTTCTTATGATTTTACCCTTTCTGGTAATAAGAGGTGTTAATATCTTATTGGTTCCTCCATTCCTCCTTAATAATAAATAATAAAAAGACAAATATTCTTTATTATTTTATTATTTCCCTTCTACGTGATTTTACCGAAAGAACCAAGAAGATGAATCGCTGCAGTCACGAAAGCTTTAAATCGAGGTGTTAAGATATTGAAAAAAACAAATATAAATGTTTTGCAAGGAATCATGTTCGCATTAACCCACACACAGTGCTTGTGGTGAACATGCAAACAAACATGCTCTGATAATATACTGTATGCATTTTTTCAAAACTGATTTGCCTACACTGGAGACAGCCTTCTTTAGGGTCTCGTCTCACCAGTGTCAGACCAGATAACGCCAAAGACAATGCACTATCAGAGCATTTATAGCTTGGGGTGAGCAGCTACAAAATGGGACCGTTTTTGCCACTATCTTAGTATAAAAAAATAAGAAAGGTCCTATTTTTTAGCAACCTTCTTGCTGTCCTGACTCCTGGCAAAGACGACCTCCTCGCCCGGCAGGTGCGTGTCTGTTTGGCAAGTTTAGATGTTTATGCTTGTTTAAAAAAAAAAATGTTGTTACTCGTGGCTTGCTACATTCACCACAGGGAGTTGATTGCTGAACAAAATTATGACCCCAAATCGTGAGAGTTCATAGAATTTTTAGGGACATTTGATGGGTAATGGGGTGGGGGCAGGATATGCCTTTGGGGGGGGGGGAGTAAGTGGGCGGGGAGTGCGGAGGGGTACGGGAATCGTTGCAATCCCAACGTCTTTGTGCATAATTCGGATCGTGGCTCCCATCTGTGCGCAATCCTTCAACCCCGTCACGCATGGTGCGCGCACCGTCCGTCCGTCGGGCGCAGGATCCAGGCGAAGCATCGCGAGCTGCGCGAGCAGCAGGCGCGCGACCGCGAGCTCAAGCTGCAGCGCGAGCGCGACAGCCTCGGCGCGGCAAGCCGCCGCGGCCCCGAGTCCCGCCACCGTCCGTCTTCCCCACCCGAGTCCCGCGGCAATGCCGCCACCGCCTCCATCGCATCCGAGCCGCTGCCATCCCTTCCCGCCGGCGGCGGCGCCGCGGCACTGCTGGAGGTGGAGGACGACGACCTGGACCCCGCGTACGCCAGAGTGTCGCACTTCCTGGTGGCGGAGGACCGCGGGGCGACGGCGGCTGAACGCGCCGCCTCCTCGGCCCCGGCTGCCACCGCCGCCCCGGTCGCCGCTACCCAGAATGCCCTGGGTGTCGTGGCGGACGCGGACATCGACGCGCTGTACGCGAAGGTGGACAAGACGCGGAGGTTGTCGGCGCCGCGATCTGCCGGGTAGGTTTGGACGATGCGGAAGTTTTAGTTTGTTGCCAGTCGCGCGTCATCGTCGTCGTCGTCTTCGTCAGCAGCTGTGATGAATACACTGCTGGATGAAGGCATCCAAGAGGCCGTCACCATCTCTAACGGCCTTGCGAAGTAGTAATCTGCTGAGCACCCACGAACGAGCTGATTTTATTGATGCATCTCCACACTGGATGTAATCTTGGGCTTCTTCCTTCATTTGTTTCTTCATTAGTTCCTTTATTGGCTTTCGTTTCTTCCTTCGTTTGGCTGCCTCTCAGTCATTGGTCTCGTCCACCGGTCATCACCTCTTCCTTACCTATTCATTCATTACCTCTTCATTATGTTGTCACTACTACCCTCCCTGTCACGACTCATCATTATTATTATTATTATTGCATGCGTCTGGCTGAACTGTTTCAACGAGTGTTTTATACGTTCTATTGCACTTTATGGAAAGCTCATTTTGGCAGCAGATTGTGGTTGACTCGGACACCACCACAACATCATCATCATATTTGACATCTTTATAAGGATTTCTGATGGTTTAGTAGAATGAGCAATCGCCCAGTGAGGCTGTCCAACTTTTGCAGAGGATGCCATTGGCAGTTATCCTTTGATTAGGATGCGTCTGTGCCATAGGCACCTGAAGAGGGTGTGCTCATTTCTACCACTGGCTCGGCGTGGATGCCGGGAAACGAGGAGTGCCCGGTGCTCGTCTGTCACTGGGGTGGCTCTGATTGCTCATTTCCCTCTTCGCTTTGTGACTCTTATCGTTGGCAAGCGCCGGGCTCGTCTTGACCGCAAGTCGCACGGGTTTTTGTTACGCTTGGCTCCGCAGGAATTTTTTTGTTGAGATTTTCTAAGAGAGAGACGTTCCAGAGACACGTTTCTTTTTAAACTCTTGGAAGACCTCCGCGGAGTTCCAGCAACAAGTTGTAAATTTTTAGCGGACAATTTATAAGCGAAGGTGAAAGGACACGTGCATTGAATAAACAAACAGGGCAGGATTGGCTTCCTGTATTTCGTGCAGGCGCGGGTGGCGGCGGGGGTGGCCTGCAACAATGGCGACTTGCGGGCGGGCGGGCGGGCGGGCGGGCGGGTGCACGCGAACCGGCCCTTGAAAAACACCGGCTCGCTTCGCAACGACAACAAATACGGGCACTCGATTGCCGCTTTTGAAACCGGTTTTTGTTTCAAGCGGGGAACGAGTGGGCGGCAGTGTGTTGTTGTTGTTTTTCTTCTTCTGCCACGTTTCGGTCGGTGACGTTCGCTCCTCTCCCTGAACGTGCCGTCGGGTTGTTTCATGCATGCGTGCGCCGCGTTCTGCCGGCATCAAAAGAGCTTTCGAGGAACTGATTTTCAGTGGCGGGGGATTAAAAAAATGTGTCAGTGGTGAGTGAAATCTGAACTGGTCCTGGGTGCGCACCCGCTTCACTAACCCGCACTGACTGACAAGGTGAGGTATGGTCAAACAACCTCCTTGACTGACAGGGTGGACTGCTAAAGGGCCGTATGATTTATCAATGCATACATTCTCAATGTAAATACAAAATACGGGTTTCCCTCGCTTCGTGCCGACCGCGTAACCACTTCTGAGTAAATTGAAACCGCATGTTGTAGCGAATTTTGGGTACATATGTGAAATCGCATGAAGCAAGGAAAACCCGTACGTAATTAAGTACAATGTGACTCTACGCGCGATAATGTTTTAGAAATGGCACGCGTCGTAGTTCGCTACACAGAAATGTCAGCGTGCCCCTCTCTCGCCTCCCCCGCCAACCACCACCAGCGGTAGCGGCGGCTCTCGTCCCCCCTCGAGCAGCGAGGAGCGCGTCGCTCAGCTGCGGCACGAGTTCCAGAAGCTGCGCGCCGACGAGGCACGGACGACGGACGTCGGCTCGGCCGACGGGATGACCGGACCGGTAAATCCCACACAGTTCCCCCCCGCCCGCACCTCCGATTTGGCACGGCTGGCTACGTGTGGTGCGAAAAGAGGTTCTGCCTTTACACAGCCTGCTCGTAGGTTCCTGCATTGCACCACCAGGATGGCACCACCAGGATGGCCACCACTGAATTATTCATCATCCTTCATCATCTGCCATGATCCATCCTGGATTAAAGTTATATTCTCGTACAGTAAAACCTTAGATTGCGAGCATAAATAGTTCCGGAAACGTGTTTGCAATCCAAAGCACTCGTATATCATTTGTGATCACGTGACGCTCGGCAGACAAAGCGTATACACGTACTACTCGTATTGCAAGGCCTCGCTCGTTTATCAAATTAATATTTATTTAAATAGTTTGCTCGTCTTGCAAAACACTCGCAGACCAAGTTACTCGCAATCCAAGGTATTCTCGTATATGGCAATATTATGTTCAGGAGCTAAGTGCCAACCAATGTCGAGGTCTGTGAGCCACGAGGGGCTTCAGGAGAGGGTTTGTGTAATTTAGCTTTTCCTCCTCCGTTGAAGGGGTGCAGACCAGAGTGGTTTACGTCTTGGTCCACAGTTTGGGTGGCATGGCCACAAGTGCACAGTGGCTCATGTCTTTAAACGATCAGTTCGTGAAGGACGTGCATATCGGCCTGTTGATGTTCATACGCGGTTGGTGGTGACACCCGTCCGTATCTCCGAGGAAAATCAAAGCAGGGAAGTGCGGTGTTGCTGTGTGCGCACGCTACACAGTCCTATACAGCCCTATATAGCCCTACACAGCCCTACACAGCCCTACACAGCCCTATACAGCCCTATACAGCCCTATACAGCCCTACACAGTCCTATAGTCATGCACAGCCCTACAAGTCCTACACAGCGCTACACAGCACACACACACACTGCCCCCCCCCCCCCCCACTTGAGCTGCGTAGTAGATTGGCACGATTAACTCAATTAGCACGGCCAACCAGGCATGGCCCTTGCTGCACCCCCCACAGACCTGCCAGGCAGATTATCCGGGAGGGGGGGGGGGGACCCCCTTTACTTGCACAGCGAGGGTCTCTAATTAAAATCCAGTGCATGGATGAGATCTAAAAAAGAAAAAGCAACGTAATTAAGTATAAATACACCTACGAAGGAGTGCTTCGTGTCGAGAGGCAATTTTGCGAAGTGAAGGCTGGCTCTTTGGCAGCTCTGGTTTTTGTTAAAAGCCGGCAAAGTGCAGTGCAGAGGGAACCTGGTAAAACACTTTTTTTTTTTTTTTACCCCGGAGTTGATATTTTAGGAGCACGTGCAAGCACTTTGCGCACCGACTTGAGTTTCAGTTTAGCGACTAAAAAAAGCGGATTCTGGCCCTTCTCTGTGTTCTTTTGTCTGGGGGGATGCTCGCTGGGTCCAGGTCATGGCATTCTTTTAATTAGTTTCTCATTAGCATCTATTGCCCCTCGGTGTTATCCCGATGGTGCTGTCGGTGTCCTGAAGAACTCGCGCAGCGCAACGTGACAGAGAATGGCCCGCGGAAGTTGATATTGCAGAGCTACCTCGGAGATCCCTCCACGTGACTTCTAGTCCACACAGTCGGGCACAACACTTTGCCACCCGGCCTGCGACGGAGAGTAACATTCATCGCGTGACTGTAAAACCGATATTTTGTTTAATTATCCTAGCTGGTGTTCAGTCATATTATGTGCAGAAGTCGGTGAGAGGCCCGTGATCATCAACTGGTCTACACTTGAGAATCTGGTTAAATCACAGGAGGCCGAAACCTGGATTCCAAACCCAGGATCTGAGTGGCGTGAGCCCAGGGCTCTGACTTCCGAGCCGTTCGCCCCACCTGCCTTGTGGTTTTTGTATAAATCACGAGGGTGGCTGCCTCTGCTTCCCAAGCTCAGTTGCTGTGCGTGCCCCCTGGGACCCGTTGCAGTTTTGCGATTTGACAGAGACTCCCCTTTCTCAGCGAGGAGTTCACGCGGCTGCCCTCTCGCCGCCGTCTGCCATCGCCTCCTCATACCCCTTTACCCCCCTTCGCTCCCACTCTCGTTTTTTAATCATTTCAAGAGGAAAAAAACCCCACTTTTTTTGCAATCTACATCCTTCGTTTTAACTTTCTGATGCTCGGGGCGTTTACTACGAGGGCCGTTGATGTTTTATTATTATTATATAGGGTCATAATTCACAGCCCTTTGTCAATCCACTGCTGGATGAAGGTCTTCCCATGCTGCGTCATTCCATAGCGTGCAGGGGTCAGGAGTATTCCGATGTCACTCGCTGCAAATGTTCGAAGCTATGGTAGGGCATTTAACTCGAGTTTGCCGCGTTCATAGCAAACTTGGTTCATATCGCAGAGCTGAATTCTGTACTAATAGTGGTGGCAAGTATTTAGTGTTACCAGTTTTTGTGTATGGCTAATAAGAGTGGTTTGCATGATAACAAACTTATTAAATAGGGTCATTGTATCGTTCACTTTTGTTGGTGAAACTCAAGTTTGGTCATCTCAGGTAGTACCAACAAGTTAAATATTTGGTCTGGGCCCTTAACCCGTGTATCAACCACTGTGTTCATGTGTGTCCCCCTCCTAGGACATCTGACATTTTTATTCGACCCTCCGTAAGGGAAGGGTTCCCCCATCCCCGTGGTAGCGTTAACGCCGGGCACGTGTTTCTGTCCCGTCGGTACCGACCCCTCCTAGTTTCCACCCCACCCTGCGACCCGTGAGGTAGAGGTCGCAACCGGGTACCCGATACCCGTACCCTACCCGATACCCGGCCGGGTACGGGTAGCCGGGTATCGGGTAGGGTACGGGTACCCGTTTGCGACCCTGGTGCGGCCGGGTACGGGTACGGGTAAGGAATCAAAACCCGTTTGCGACCTCTGCCGTGAGGACGCGTGGCCGATGTCCGCGTGTGTGCCCACCCAGGTTCCGGGGCCCACGGAGCACTGGAGCGGCCGCCACTCGGTGTCCGTCGAGATGCAGCAGCAGCAGCGCAGGCGGCAGGAGGAGCGCGAGGGGCTGCTCTCGCCCACGCGGCGGCGGTACAACTCCATGCCGCGGTGAGGAGTCGCGGCTTTGTTTGTCCTCTCGCAGAGTCTTATCGCTGCCAAGTTTTCGCCATAGGGGGTGGGGGAGGTGACCAGAAACAGGGAAGATTTCTTCACAATTCTGGCAAATCGCCTGATGAAGCTGGTTGTGATCGCCAGTAAACGTGAACTCGAATTATAAATATTGTGGGTATACTCTCAGACACACCGGTGTGCTGAAGTAGCAACTAATTGGCACGTTTTGTTCACATCCCAAACCTTACCAATTGCCCGTTGACGGGTGGTGGCGGGTTAACGACACATTTATAGTTATTTAAGCGATCTAACCCACAAAAACAACTTTATTGTGAATAACGGTGAAAGCCTACGATGTGTTAAACTGAGGCGACGATTACTCCGTAGATTCCAGTCGAATAGTTTGCGGCTTTATTTATTTATTGTTTGGACCACCACGCCGGCACACAATGGCCTCCTCTCGCGAATGACGCTGGAGGGTTCGCCAACGTCCACTTGCGAAGCGGACGGCACGCAACTCTTCGGTGACTGCTTCGACAGCAGTCACCGGTTCGGCAGCCGCTGGATTCGAACTATCAACATCTGCAACGAGCGGCGGGAATGTACTTACGGCTCGGCTGCCCCGGAGACTTTTGACATCTGCGTCATATTCTCGTATTTTTAAACCATTACCTCAGGTTGAAAGCATTTGTGCGCATTAGTTCTGTCCATCTATAACGGTGGGGGGGGGGGGCAGGGGTGAAAGGGGTGGGGGGAGGTGCTATGGTAACTCTCTGAAAGATAATTCAATATGAATGTAACTGCAGCATGAGGTTGTGTTGCTATTAGAAACTTATCCTATTGGAACCGGGCAAACTGATTAAAGATTTGCCTAAAACTTAAAAATAGAAACCAGAGAAAATAGGAATAGGCGAATGCATTTTTTATATTATGCAAATGTAGTTTGCCTGTTGCTGTCCATACCAGATATTAAATATTTAAAAAGACAAAATCATGATGGAAAGTATCACATGATCCATGCGCATCCATGATTTTTCCTAACTTGCCAAAGTAGCCAGCTTTTTTGTCTTACTTAAAATGAGCCTTTAGTTTTCTATTTATTTACGAAATATTAAGTAACTGCTCCATACCCCTTCTTTTTTGGCCATAAACCATTTCTACTTGATCAAATGTAAATATCCGTGCCACAAAGTGGCCCATAGATGTCAGTACAGCAATTAGGTCATCACCTGCTTCTGAGAGTTTGAGTTTTATTCATTTGTATGGGTTAGGGTTTTCTCCAAGTGCTGTGTTTTCCTTCCACGTATAAAAATACTTAATTACGAATTGGCCGCTCCATCGACGTGGGACACTGCTGAAAAAACACATCGTAACAAAGTAGTACATTCCTGGGTAAAAAAAAAATGGCTATTGTTACACCGCGCATGATCAAGACGTGCAGATGGTGGCCACCACGTTGAGCTGTGGTGCTTATGAACGTCGGAGAATCTGTGTGTAATCTCTTGGGTCGACGGCGATAATTCACCCGACGGCGATTATGGTACGCTGTGAAAACACGCGACCATGGTTGATGGCGTCGCTGACGCAATGAAACGTGCCGTGGGGGGAATGAATTGGAATATTTATCTATACTGGAGGGATCCGATGAGATATTAAGCTCTTTTTCACAGATGTCCAGTGGGGGCAGGTCTGAAAGTTATAGCAACAAATAGTTCAAAAACACAATAGGAGTGCAAAGTATTGGAAAGCTAAGAAAAAATATATACCTTACCTATATACTTCACCAGGTAAGGTCCACTGGGCTGTTTTCTTTTTCAAAAGCGACCTGGCCACAAATGATAGCTCAACGAAGTGGCCTATCATCATGTCGAAATTTATAACAGCAGCCAAATCATCTAAATTATCTAAACGCATGGCGAGGGACCAGCGCCCTTGTTTGCTTTGCCGCTTGCAGCTGTCGCGTACATTTTTGCCGATTTCTTTAGTTAAATATAATAAATTATGGGGGTAAAAGTAAAAAAACAAAAACCACCTCGCCCGGCATCCCGTGAGGTCTCCTGCTGCTGCTCGGCAGCTTGGAAGCCGCCCGCGTGTGGAAAAACTCCGAATTGCCCCTCCTGGTTTTGCATCCTGCTTGCTGAAGCTCCCCCGGGCGTCATTAGACAAATTTTCGGACACTAATCATCGGGTTAGCAATGGTGAACTGAAGTAAAAAAAAAAAATGATATACAATAAAAAAAAATAAAGGAACCCGGGGAAGGGTTTTTGTTTTCCTTGGAGAAAGCGTATTGGAAAATTAGCGCTGGAGCGGCAATCCAGCCGCCGACGTGATAATACGGTATATTATTATTAAAGGCATGTATCTTTTAACGCTCTTCAACTTGATAGGTGAAATCGGTTATGCTCTGTTCATCCGTGCGTAATGGGAAGGGTGCACGATGACTCTTGTAGGTATGGTCCATTGTGTACAAGTCCGGAGTATTCAAAGTTGTGTTGCTATTTGGGACTTACCCTCCTGAAAGCTGGCAAATATTTTATGAAAGAGTTGCCCAAAAATGTGACGACCGATCCAGTGCTAAAGGCCACTTTGCAAATATTGCAGAGGTATTTTAATCTGACTGCCCCCCTGGCTTCCGTATTGTGAATAAAATTATTCTGAAGACAAACGCGTATTCTTGTCTTACCAAGATAACCTCAATACTCGTCTTCAAGAGGGTCACGTTTATCACATTTTGACCAATTCCTTCTTTCGCGTGTGCACGTACGAGGGAAGAGCACTCGCAAAACAAACCGGTATGTCCAGTTTAGGTCAGCAACCTGCTTCCTGCAGGTTGCCAACTCGCAGTCCCATGAAATGTGGGTGTCTGCCGCACACAGTGACACATGCCACGATCGCAGACACGCCACCCACAACCCTTCCTCCGCTACCCCTCCCGTCAAGGTTGAGAGCCAGGATCCATTTTGCCGCCGATGCCGTCGCCAACTTTTCCTCCCCTCTCCCGACACTTTTCTTCTCCCCCCCCCCCCCACCACCTCCACGCTTCAGGCTCGCGAAGAAGTCTCCTCCGCGGAGCCAATCGGGGCCTCCCGGCAGCGCGGGTTGGGCCTCCCGGGGCGCGGACGACGCGTCGGCGTGGAACGGCCACACTGGGCGGCCGGCCCACCCCAGCTCGTGCCACAGCCTGGAGGAGGAGGAGGGGGGGGCGGCGGTGTTCGAGTTCCCTTGCCCCGGGCGGCGGGCGCACAGCCCCCTGCGCAGGGACGTGCCGCCCACGTTTGGCGGCGGCGGCGTCGGCACGCCGACCGACGCGCCGGACTACGCGGCCGAGATGCAGAGACTCGCGGGCCCGGCCGCCGCCCGTCCGAACCGCGTCTGAAGCCACGGGGCGCGCTTCGTGCGTTGCATTGTGGCGCGAGCTAGCCGGGTGCGCTGCGGACAAACGTGAAGCGACGGACGCTGGCGGTCGTGGGAGATGCGTAAACAAGCACGCGGATTACACTGGAGTAGGAGTGGCAGGCGACAGCGTGGCCTCTTATAGTTGGATGCTATTTTATTTAAATTCTCCCCCCACGTTTTCTAGTGGCAAGACGGCTAATGTGTTTTATATATATTGTGCATTTGCAGGGCCATTTTTATGTATTCTGTAAAACACTGCATTTCGTGGTGTTAAACTGTGGATTGTAATTGGTAATGGTGTAGAGCAAGTGGGACATGTTCTCAAGGTGTTCTGTGCCCCTGAGCCACTTGTTGAGAAACGAAGGACTGTGAAGGCCTCACGCAGGAACGTTTTAGCCAATCGCAACTGTGTTTTTGTGATCATATGGGTTCGATCAACCAATCATTGATTGCTTTAATAAAAAAGTAACGTGTCTAGTTTTTCTGAGCCTTTCCAACATTTAATAATTCAGCAATAATAATAAAAAAATATTTTCTCATGCTCACGATACATGCATCGAATTGTGCATGTGAAAACCGACTGCTGGATTTTGAACTAGATTTGGAGGTGCTGCGGTGGAGTAATGGTTTGTACATCAGACTTGCATGAGTGGACATCTGTGAAACAGAGCTTTATAGCTCTTCGGATTCCTCTAGTATAAATACACATTCTGATTCTGCATTGCAGAGGTCACCAGTTCAGTTTGCAAGTTTTATAATAATTAAAAAAACGTCCCTCTCGTTGTACGGGTACACCGCCGTCGACCGGGATTGTTCCTTGTGGTGGGGTACGCTTTGGGAAGTCCAACCTCTTCCAAGCCATCTGCCCTGCATTAGAAGAGTAGGCCAAAGGATCCTCGAGAGAGAGAGCTCCAAAAGGAGGCCATTCCACCAGCATTTTAGGGCTGCTCCTTTACCTTAAATTCATACGAATAAAGTGAGCAACACTCTGCAGTCTGAAAACAATCAGAACAAAATTGGAAGCTGTGCCGATAAGACGGCAAAAACGAAGATCGAACAAAAACTACTAATATTTTCCGAAATGAATTCGTGGAGACCCCTGAATTCATGGAACCGCCGGTGGTGGGATGATTTGTTACGTGCGTCTAAGTGCTTGTCAACACTTTCGATACATTTCGGAGAACCCGTGTCATCGTGAATTTTGATGCGTGCGCGGTTGGCCACGTCACCATCCCAAGGCATCGTTTGTGTGGCCCGTGGTAGTTCTCCTGTCTTAGTCTCCCACCGGTGGCGTCTTATAAAAGCACCTTAAAGACTTCTAAATTCAAATTCCATGGTCCACTACCTGTCCCCATTCCTTATTCGTTCCGAAGGTAGGAAATGTAATCTCCCTTAACGGGTGATCACGTACGTTCCGGTAATGTTTTAAATTTAAACGTCTGTAAAACACAGATGTTAAAGTGTAACAGATGCCTCGTGTTCTCAATAAATTAATAACGCTTGATCTCGAAGTATGTTAACTTCACAATGACGGTCCATTGGGATCAATCCGAATGGATGTTTCTGGCACGGCTTAAATTTTCAGAGGCATGCGGTTTTTATCATTTGACTACCCTAAACTGAATTTATGATAATTCAGTATTCGAGTGGATAGCTGCTCATGCGTGCAAATATATCATGGGTGGTGTAAACATTCAACATGCCCAGTAATTCACTTGAAATGTTGCAGTCAAGAGTCTGCATTTGATTCAATATGTTTTTAAATCCTTTATATTAAGTTCACTTGCTTGCTTGCGCGCTTACGACCGTGCAAATCTTTCAGTCGTTTTTTAACCCACTTCCCGTGATCCAATCGAGCTGACATTTTGCACAGACTCGTTGTGCGTGACAATTAATGTTCGTGAAAAAAAATTCCAAAATTTTACACTGTTTAGGGAAAACTAATTAAATATTTAATTACCAATTGCTTAATACTGGCAAACAATCATCTGACCCATAGGTGGCAGCCAACTCAAGCCAGAGGACGAGAGGACTCTAGCCGCCACGCATATAAAGGATTTACAGTGAAAAACTTTGTTTTTACGGGTTAATTTTTTTGTTACATTGCCGTGAATAGTAGCGGCCTCGAGTGGCTGCAGAGGGTGATGTGACTAATCGAAATCATTAGTTGAAGGATCTGTCCATGCATCGATTCATCGTCCCACTCGTTCTGTCCAGGACAGGTAATGACTTTTCAACCTCTCAAAGGAAAACCACAATGCCGATTTAACCTTAGCACACAGTCTCTGGAATTTTAATTTATCACAAACTGCCCTTGTTCTCCCGAAATTTAAATCCTCCATCTATGAAAGCACACGTGCGTTAAACTCCGATTTCAGCAACTGTGGACGGGCACCTGTGGATTAGAAACAGACTTCGTGGCAGCGTATACTTTGAAGTCTCTGCATATTTTTAGATTGCGTGTCTGTCGCTTAAAACCCCTGGCCCCTTTTTTTTTTACCTAAGATGGTGTAAACACAACCAGCTTTACGTTTTTTTTTATCTCTTTAAAGAAAATGGGAAGAGAAAAAGTGGAACTGCAACAGTTTAAAAGGAATGTTGTCTTGCCGGGCCAATGATAAGCGTTTAATGTTGTGTTCCGTGTAACCCGTTGCGCATTTCGGGTTTGACGAGGATGTGAACACGTCGGACGAGTGGAAATTTCCTAGGGAGAAAGCGGTTCTCCTCTGGAGTGGATGCGGTGAATTGCTCCGACTGGAAAAGCCATAGGGTGAGAGTTATGCTATCCGAGACTGGATTTCCCATTACATGTTTCCATACCCTGCTCTGTTTACCACCACTCTGTAACGTTTCCCTTAACCCACAAATCTCCAAAAAGGGCATCATATTACGTTGTGTGTGTGTGTATACATGACCAATTTCTCTCTCACACCGTACGTAGCCAACACCGTGCTAATCGTCAACATGTCCAATAGTTTCGCCTTCTCAATGTGGCCCGCACCTCAAGGACGCTGCCCGCATGTCATTTAATCACCGCCGAGCGGTGATGCAGTCCAACAGGCAGGGGAGAGGGCAGCGCAGCGCACTGTCGTGAGGCCTGAACTTGAACTCAACAGGGGCAGCTGACAGCACAGATGCCTGTGGGGGTGGGGGGGCAGCCTAGAGGGGTAGCAGCCACAGGAGGATGAGCAAATCATCGCACTGATCGAAGGGCGAGTTGGGGTCGCGACTTTTGATCGAGATCTTTGGTAGCGGCGACGACTTCTGCAGCGGTTGGAGTCGATTCGTTGAAACTGGAACGTTATTAACAAGTATTTGGGTAAATCTTGACTTAAAGCTTTCGTGACTGCAGGAAATCTTATTCTTTTGGGTCTTTCGGTAAAGTCACGTAGATTCGTTCAAAGAAAATAACAAAAAAATAACAAAAAACTACGACGTTTCATCATCATTCGTGGCGCGTTCCTGATGCCGACCGCTTGTGTTGCGATCGAAACGTCGCAGTTTTTTGTTATTTTATTTGAACCTATCTACGTGACTTTACCGGAAGACCCAAAGAATACGTATTCGGGTACTTGTAGGGCTTCGTAAACCGTTCTTTGGTTGGTGGGCAAAGAATGTCAAGCAACGCAACGGCGAGCCTGAAAATGTTGCGTGTAGTCGTGCGCATCTTGCAAACGTTCTACAAATTTGTAGTAAGCTGGATGCCACTGTCAAAACTTGGGCTCGAGGAGCGAACGAGAGACGGGGAGAGAAAAAAAATCGAGAAACAATATACAAACGATGTGGCCACAATTTTTTTGCCGAACGAATCCCAACAACAACAAAAATTTGCGTGTCACGAAAACACCGCGTCGATTTCTTTCAGCTCCTGCTCTCGGTCAAATCCACAGTTTGCTTCTGTCGAACTTAAATACTTGGGACGTGGGTTTACCAGCCGGCCCGTGAGGTGAAAGACAAATGCGTATTCGATTACGACACGGGGGAGGGAGGGCTTCTGCGCGGCTGGTCTCTTCTCGTCTCGTTCTCTGCTCCCCCCTCTTAACATTCGTGGCGCGTTCGTGAGCGTGGCGGCACATTTGTCCGTTCGTCCACAGCGTCTCTCAGCAAAAGGTGTGATGCACCGTAAAAAAAGAAACAACACGGAACGAATTTGCACGTTCCCCTACTTCGTAAATGCCAATCGGTGGAGCGGACTCTCTCCCGAAGAGTTGACTACGTACGGCGTGGAAGAAGTTCCAACATTACAAACGCAATCAAATTCCTTGAGTTTCACAATTTGTGTGTTTCGTACATTGTAGGAAAGTTGATGATAACGAGTGATGGGATTCATCTTCTTGGTTCTTTCGGTAAAGTCACGTAGAAGGAAGGTAATAACATAATAAAAATAAAACAATAAAATAATTCTCACGACGTTTCGGCCACAACGCAAGCAGCCGTCCTCAGGTGAAGACCAGGTCTGTCGGGGAGACGGACCTGGTCTTCACCTGTCTCCCCGACAGACCTGGTCTTCATCTGTCTCCCCGACAGACCTGGTCTTCACCTGAGGACGGCTGCTTGCGTTGTGGCCGAAACGTCGTGAGAATTATTTTATTATGTTTTATTTTTATTATTTTATTACCTCCCTTCTACGTGACTTTACCGAAAGAACCAAGAAGATGAATCCCTGCAGTCACAAAAGCTTTAGAGTGATGCAATGTAAATCGCGTCGTCGCAGTGTCGATTGTTGGAACATGGAAACGTGCCGTGCGTGGCGTGTGGCATGCGCAGGGGAATTGGGAACACGAGCGCTGATGTCACCGAAGGCAGTGCTCACCAACCACAGCACGGCAGTGAATGAGGTCGCGAGCTTCCTTTTGTGCAGTTTCCAACACACGGGAAGCTTAATTGGGCCATTCCCTCCCCCCCCCGATAATTAATTGCTGTCCGTTAATTGCGTTTAACGAATGTTGTCCAAGCTGCGGTGGGCTGACATCCAGCACCGTGAATATGGGTGAATCTTAATCGCTATTAATTGCTGCTCAGCCGTTACCACACTCACGGTGCAATTACTACGACAATGGCGATAATGATTCACATTTTAAACCCAGTGTGACTGTGGAGCGACAACGTTAGTCTCGGCTTCAATCTTTCCGTCAATGTGTTCATATTAATGATGGAAATTACCAGCTCTCATGCCACCTGGATTCATAGTCTGCTTTAGCTGTGTCTCGCAAGGTTACGTTTTCCACAGTGTGTGAATTATGGGTGTGATTATGTATCGATTACTATCGATTATTTAGCTCCTGGCACGTGCATCGAAGGAAGACACGTGTGTAAGAATATGTACTTTTCGAGTCGTACACACAGGTGTATGAAGGTTAAAATGTTTACTTCACCGCTCCAGTCACTAGAGGCGCTACCATTCACCGAAATAAAGCAATCAATTCTTGAGAGAGTCACAAACACTGGGTGACGATTCACAGGTTGTTGTTTTACTCATAGTGTAGATTACGACGCGAGTTTGATTCTCGGAACTCAAAAAAACCCACAAACATCTCTGTACCAAGGTACTAATAATAATGAGATAGGGTCAATCCAGTTCTCATGTTCCACCGCTTCCTGTCCTCTAGAAATGAGTAGTCATTGCGTTCACGTGCATCCGGTTCACATGACACGTCGATATTGCACACGGAATGCAGAAGCCGTGTAGTGCGCCTTGTGATGAACAAGAATCATGCTTGTGAATAATAATGCCGACTGCAAAGGGGAACTATCGTTTTGCCAAAAAAAGTTGTTTCCCTTAAACCAGTGGTTCTTAACTTTTACTGCAGCCTTGCACCCCTTTGGTTCTAAATCTTTAAAATGTATAATGTTAATAAATAAATCCATAGGGTTTGAAACAAAATAGTTGTCCTTAAGTGCCCGTGCTTAATTTGTGTTTCGATGATTTACCTTCGAAATTTTTTTTGGCCATGTGTCGCACCCCCAGAAAGGGCATCTGGCATCCCAAGGGGGTGGCGTGCACCCCAGGTTAAGAACCACTGCCTTAACACCCCAACGCGTGACCTAAAATATTCCACGGCGCGCGCTCGGCGTTTGAACCACTTCGTGCACGGTGACGTGTTCATCGCAATAATTGAGTCTCGTTTGGGGTCAACGGTGCCGGCTGTCACGTGTTGTACACGTGGGCATGGGAACATCAACGGCTGGGCAAGCAAAATGCCCTCCCCCCCACTCTTCATCTTTTTGGAACGGATGTGCCAGCCACATGCCCTGCTTTCTCAATTACAAGCACAGCAGTCTTGAGCCTGCTTGGATTTTTGTTGGATGACCACCGGGGTTTGTTGTCACGTGTTGTAGGCGTGTGGCTGTGTGGTGGCCACGAGTGAGCAGTGTTGAGTGTCACCCCGTTCCCCTCATGTGCGTGGTGGGTTTTCTCCGGGTTCTCCGCTTTCCTCCAACGTGAAACCAAACACTCATTCACGGAATTGACCAAACATCCCAATGCAAGAAGGACCCTTTAAAAACAGGTCCTTGAGACTTAAGTGAGGCTTTCCTGTCAACATAATTGTTACCATTATTATTGGCTGATCATGTTCATGACACGGACCACCACGGATTCATGCAGTCCCCCAAAACTTAAATTGTTCTCGCATCACCTGACACCAACGCCTGGCTGCCACGGTACCCGTTATAACTCGCCGTGCAGTTCTTTACGATTCCATGAATTGTCGTGGTTCGATTAACGAATTCTGTTTTGTGTTATTTTTATCATCGTGATGAAAACGGCACCTCTGGTGGCTGCGGGGGGTTCATGCGACCCAATTTTCAGCGTGTACGGATCGATAAACGAGATCAAACTTCACGCACGCGATTCAGATGCACGCGACTTTAATTGATTGAATCAACTGCGTTGTTGCGTGCCCAAAGTTCACGCAGAAATGTCACACTTGCCAAGCCTACCAACTTAAGCTGCCTACCGGTTTACAAAACGAATCTCACCGTTTTGTAAAAGTTTTTTGAGAAACATAAAAACCCACAACAAAATTTCGATGCAATTGCGGCTTTGCAAATCGGTATGCGCCCAAAGGGTTGAAGAATCGATGACCTGCTGAAATCCATAGGAGTGACCTGCGTGCAAGACGAACGTTAATTATGTATTTCAGAATATTTAGAATGAAGGAATCCGATGAGCTATAAAGCTCTTTTGCACAGACATCCAGTCGTGGCGGAAAATAACGTTGCAACAACAAACAGTACAAAAAAATGACAGTAGTGCAACATACAGAAAAGCTAAACAAATCATCCAAACACATGCAAACAAAACTAAACCACCCCCATCCTACCAGGCAAAAAGCCCACTGAGGTAGGAACTTTTTTTTGCAGAAGCAACCTGGCCACAAATGGATAAGCTCAACAACGTAGCCCCAACCTTGTTACTTTTGCAGGAACCTCCACACCGATGCCCACGTGGTGTGTGACTCAAGGGTAACATTCGCAGTCGTTTTGAAACCATGGCACTGGGATTTCGGACTCGGCATGGAACGATTCTTTCAAAACCCGCCAACCTCACAGTTAGATTAATCTTCACAAATAACAAGGGTTACGATCGAATTCAATAATTCGTTGTAGAAACGAGATTTAACCGTGTCATTCGGATTTTGGTCTTTTTTTTCTCTCTCGTTCGTCCAGTTTTGTTCACCTCCAATAGCTTACGGTTTGACATTACGATATAATTTGCATATAATTCGCACCTTTTTCAATCTACGACGTGCAGTGTCGGCCATGGTTGTTGTTGTTTTGACCATACTTCACCGTGCCCGTAAGTATGGTGAAGGGGCGGGGAAGGCCGGACCGGTTTAGAGATTTCACCTGTCTCTTGATGTTGCCTGTTGCCAGGAATTGAACTCAACTTTCCTGGACTCTGCGCACAACGCAACTCGGCTCCCCCCCAATTTCATTTTTAGGGCGTTTGATTTACAGCAACACTCAGAGTCGGACTCACGAGGGTTCTTTCTTTGAGTTTTTAGTTTAAGATGTTTTAGCCAATTCATAACGAGTGTGTTTATACAGGTGGGGTGGGGAGGGGGGAACTGAGTACCCGGAGACCCCCCCCCCCCCCCCAAAAAAAAGAAAACGCGAGGGGAGGGGGGGAGATACAATACTTATCGATTGTAGAGCGTTAAGCGACGCTCACGAATCCGGTGAAACTTTGTGACTAACTGCGACCACGAGAATCTGTTCCGAAAGATGCCTAATCGACGCGTCTTTACGCACGTGCGCGCATGCTGCTAGCGGCATGCGCTGAGCTACGGTTTTAGGTGCGGCGCAAATGTCCGTCGCGAAGGGACGCGTGAAAGTAGTCGTCCTTTCACGGGGAGAGCTCGACGCTTGAGCCGTCGTGACTGACGGTGGAGGAGAGCGGTGAATGTTGGCATTCGGGGGGGACTTTTATATCGTGTCAAAGAGCATTGCATTTTTTATTTCCCAGTCGGCGAAGCTGTCGTGAGTTGACGTTGCACACAAGCTTGTGCCTTTTTAATTAGATTTTTGTTTTCGGCGGGGGACGGGGAAATTTGTACAAAGATTTTTGTAACCGTTTAAAAAAAAACAGCTCAGTAATCAAAAGTATCGTGATGGCACGTGACGAAGTGTTCTGTCATTCTTTATTTCTGTGAATATCATTTAGTACGTACAAATTACTTTTATGGGCACAGCTAATGTATAGGTGGTGTGCTAAGCTAACGTAACGTGCAATTTGTCGCAACTTTATGTGTCCATAGCAATTTCATAAAGACTTTTTTTTCCTCCAATTATGAAAATGAATGTTATTACGCAATTATTACAATTTGTAGCCCTTTTTCGATACACCACCGAATGAAGGCCCTGTCAGTCGTGAGTGTTGTTTTGACCATACGTCACCGCACTGGGCAGTAGTGTGGGTTAGCGAAGGGGTGGTGGGGTTAGTGGGGGTGACCCCGACCGGTCTGGCGATCGCTCACCACTGCTGCTTCATCTCCGGGAAATTAAACACAGCTTTGCAGGGTTCCATGTGCAGTGCACTCATCACTGCGCCACCCCTCCTACAAAGTAGTATTATTATTTTGTATCGAACATTAAGGGGTGCTGGCCTAATCGCACTGGAGTTGCAATCCAGAGTTCGACGGGTTCGATCTTTTGGCGCGGCAGTCAAAACAATTGCCACGTTTCTTCATAACCTCGCAACCTCTGTCCGCCCGGCAGCTGTAACCGGGCAACACCGCAGGAGGTTGATCAGCAAGACGCGTGTGATGGATTAAAGTGTGGCTGCTCCAAACTCTTCACACACGTCTAGCCAGCTTGGAAGAGTAGGCCAAACTACCCTCGGGGGGGGGGGGGGGAGTACTAAACTTTCCCTTTCGTGGGTGGACCTTCAATCACAGGGGCCTGCACCTTAACCTTCATACAACATTACATTTCTAAAGCGGTGAAAATGAACTTTATCGAATGCACGAATCCACAGAAGCCCTCTGGCTCCTATCAGGGCAAGGCGCTGATGCTTCTGTGTGCGTCAATACGATGCAAAAGAGTTGGAGCTGCGCACAGCATCTGAAACCAGATAAATGTGAGAATACATTGCGTAGCTGTGGGTCACGGTGTAGTGAACTGAAACTGTTCGTATCAGACACTGGGAACCCATAACGCGACTACAACCACCAATTAGTGAAAACGTTTGAATCATATTTATTTAAGGGAAGACTTCTACCACTTAATGTTTCCTTAACCTCCCTACACTTCGTTATATATATATTTTTAAACTACAGTACGGACAGAGGCATGTTGCTTTTGATACAATGAAGAAGAAAAAAAACCCTCTGTAGTTAAACTTTTAAGAAAACGATAAGTACAAAAAAAATCAACGGATCTAGTCAGCTTTTTACAGAAATAATGTTCACGTCGCAAACGACGGTGGTGCGGAATGCATCCCGAATTTTCTCGGCTCATTTTATTTTTTCCCCATTTGTTAGATTTGGCACTTTCTTGGGTGGTCATTGGTGGAAATTCCACGTGGCTGTAGCAGGGGACGAAGCTGTCCATTGGGACAAGCGTTGTTCGCGTTTAGGCCACCACATGCCAGGGAGTCGCTGTGTGTGATTGTATAAACAGCTCTACATGTACATTATTAGCCTCATGGGTATTGTGTGTGTGTCGCCACAGATGACATGCGTTGCTCATCTTTAATAAAAACTGTGACGGCCAATTTGCCAAGGTGTTTGTATCCGCACTCTACCCTAAACAAGTATGATGTACATAACAAGGCGAAATTTTAAATCAATAATAATAAAAACATCTTTGTAGATAATACGGTTCTTATGTTTGCATGCGTTTTTGATTTACACGGCTTCAACATTGTGGTATGTGTGTGTAGGCTGTGGGGAGCGGTCTTGTTGCGGTTAGCGCTCCGAACCCGGCGACCCGAGTTCAATACCCGCTCACGGACAAGACCAGATTATCTGAACCGGTCCTGGGCCCCCCTTAGGTCGACTCAGCCTTTAATGAGTACCTGGTGCAGTGTGTAAACATCAGCATTGGGGAGACAAAGGTGGTCGGGCGTGGTGATGGCCACCCACCTCCTCGTGTACCGTTCCGGCCTTCATAGGTGCTCACTAACAGCACTTGCCCCAACAGTCAGTTAGAGGCTACAAGGGAGATATTTATCTTTGTACATCAACGTGTCCTTAGCGTGGTACCAGCATTGTGGTGTCTGCTGTTGTGACTGTGTGCGTGCACGTGTCTCGACATAACGGGTCACGTTTCTTCTTCTTTATCAACATTTCTCTCGTTCACATTTTGATTCCGTAATTCTCAAACTTGACAATCGTTCAGCACCTATCCTAGGTACAGTATTCGTTTTGTGTTGCCTCGTTGTCCGGTCACGTCCCTTCAACGATTCGTTTTCCTTTGTTGAGCGAACTTGTACGTGACTTTTCTTTTCCGCGTATTTGTATTGAGTTCAACTTTGCAGCCTACTTTGTGAGTCGTATAGAGAGTTCGGACCCTTCGTTTGCAATCGGTGAAGACTGCGTGGAGAGATGAATGTTTAGGATTACAGCACACAGAGAGGGACGAAAATAACGCATGGGTTACAGAACAAAGGCAGCTTACAGCAGACATCATCACGATGACTGTTCGTGACAGTGAAGTGGGCTTGGGCAGGAACATCGCTAGACGAGATGAAGGCCCGCGGATGAGACTGGTGCAGGCAGAACGGCAGCCAAAGAGAAATGCGCCCGAGATAACGACGAAGACGAAGAGTTGGAGCGACGAGAGGAGCAGGAGCGACGTGGATCGTGGAATCGCAGGACCTTGAAGCAAAGTTTCGATAGATTAGGGGGTGATGACGATGATGATGATGGTGGTGGTGTTTATGTGTGTACACGCGCGCTACGTAGTCCATGCGAGTTGTGCACTTGTGACGGGGAAGTTGCCAGTGATGGATGCTCGCAACTCGTGTCGGTGAAGATCCCAGCTTCCGTCCCTTGCCGTGACATCCTCTCCCCGCTTAGGAAGCGCCTACGTCAGCTGCCCGTGTCCGTTCGTGAGGGTGGGAGAGGCTGGAGAGAGCGTGGGAGAGAGTGGGAGACGCGGTGAGAGGCTAGGATATGCGGGGAGAGGGTGCAAGATGATGGGGAAAGGGGAGCGCGTTGGAGAATCGCAGTTTGAGCGTTAAAGAGAAAGGGGGGTGAGAGAGGGAGAGAGGGGGACAGATTTGTAGAGAATGGGAGAGTGAAATGGAGAGTGTGAGATTTGGGAGCGTATGAAGGAAGAGCAAAGGGAGACGGCGGGAGAGGCACAGAGCGATAGAGAGAGACACACAGAGATTGGAAGTGTGTGAGAGATAGGGAAAGATAGAGAGTGCGATTAGTAGGGAAGGGATGAGACGGGGAGTTTGTGGAGGAGGCAGAGTAAAGAAGGGGCAGACATTGGGAGAGGGTGGGAGACGGGGATACAGACGGAGAGCGTGGAAAAATGAGGGAGCGTTTGGAAAGGAAGACGAAAGGGAGACGCGCAGAGGGAGAGATGCAGATGGGAGGACGTTGAGACAGCGATGGGGGAGAATAACATCAGGAGGGATCAAAGTGGCTCCGAAAGTAGCAAGGATGTAGGCAGGGAGGGGAAGAGGAGGGGAGAAGGGGCAGGGAGAGCGGCTGATGAAAAGGGAGGAGGGAGCCGATCTTGGGGACGGGGGCGGGGGGGGTCTGGGAATCGAGCACGAGAGTGGGTTGAGGTTGTGGGGTGGAGCGGTGCTGGTGGGGGTGGAGTGTGGGTTGGAGTACGGGGGGGGGGGGGGCACTGAGGAGCCCCTAACGCAGCCGGGCGGATAGAGGCAGTGTCTGTGGAGTCGGCGAGCAGAGAGCAGCAGCAGCAGGGAGTCGCAGCCGCCTCGGGTGTTAGAGGGGGAACATCTCTGCTACTCCGCACACCGATAGCTCCCAGGTGCATCATCATCAGCAGCAGCAGCTACGATGAGGCCTCTCGCTTGGCTCGCTGCGCTTCTGTGCGCGCTTCTCGCAAGAATAGTGAGTGCTGGTAAGTGCCCGGTTCGTCTTATCTCAGGAATTCCCCAATCTCCGCATTCGGTGCTACGGAATAAGAATTCGCGTTTAGTCCTCTTCGGAGATAATGTTAAATTGACAGACGTGCGCATAACGGTAACCTTTCGCGGGGCTTTATTTGACAGCGCTAGTAGTTGAATGCTGCGTGGTCGATGATCCCTGTTCGCCGAGGTGTCTCGGCTCACGGAGTGGACCGCGTGAGAAGGCTGCTGGCGTTTTACACTCCACGCCATTCAGTGCCCCCTGGCCAACAAGTTTGATGCGCGGTGCACTCAGTTTCGTGAACAATTATCCTCATTGATGTTACTTCTACTCTGGTAAACTTTCAGTTGGTTCATACTCTTAGTTCTTTCGGTAAAATCACGTAGGTAAAAAATGAAATAAAAATTAAGAAAATAAAACAATGAAAATCACGACGTTTCGGAGGCAACAACAAAGGTTAGATTTTCATTGTTTATTTTTATTAATTTTTATTTCATTTTTTACCTACGTGACTTTACCGAAAGAACTAAGAGTATGAATCCTTGCAGTCACGAAAGCTTCAAATCTAGAATTTTCAGTTGGTTGGCTGTCATGGCCTTTGATGTGAGTAATTCGTTCAGCATGATTCAATAACTGATCGATTTCGCCAGCACTAACAGATCTGTAGGGTTATCAGAGAAGGCTTACACAAAGGCACATTTATGCACTCGCTGTGTATGTGTATAACGGTGCAGAAAAAAAATCAGGATATACAGAAATAAGGTTCGTTAACAATTCTAATTTACAGCCCTTTGTCAATCCACTGCTGGATGAAGGCTTCCGCAAGCCGTGTCAGTCATTCGGGTTGTTCGACCATACTTCACCATGCTGCTCAGTGTAAAAGCCTGGTTAAAGGGGTACCCTCCCAGGGCTGCTTCAGATATCGCTCGCCACTGATGTTAGCCGTGCCTGGGAATCTCAGGTTGCAGGGTTTGTAGCGCAGTGCGCTCACCGCTGTACCGCCACTCAACCTCTTCCTCCGTGTTAAACAGCTTGCGTTTATCACATGGTTGCATATGACAATTAGTATGATTATATGAACCATGCTGTTTATTCATAATAGAGGTCTTCTGGGTTAGATCGCTGTTTATATACAAGAGAAAGCTTCACTGAGTCTCAATAATCTTTTTCACGAGAGGGTCCAACATTCAACGGGTGTTCGGCGTGTGCGAGAAAACCAGAGAGCTCCAAATGCATACGAGGAGGTAACAATGTGAAGCTCCGCACAGATGGATTTAATAATCCATTGCCATCCCCTGGTCACCTTGCAGTCTAAGCTAGAACAACCACTTGGTACAACACCCTGGTGTTCTAGCCAGCCAGGCTACCACCCAAGTACGTAACCAGGATCGACCCTGCTTAGCCTCTCCAGCCCTGACTAGAGCGGATTTATCGACGGGACCTTTTTTTGCCAGTATCCAACAGGTCCCATCGATATGACTGCTCGGCCCGAGCTATCAGTGTTGCGATGCTTGTATTGCCCTTGTACTGGTCCCCTTTTGGCGTCCTCTGGTCTAACACTGGTAGTGAGACAAGGCCATAAAGAAGGTCGTCTCTGGTGTAGACCAATCAGTTTTAAAGACAACGCATGCATTATTATCGGAGCATGTTTGTGTCCGTGTTTTGCCACAAGTGCGTGTGGTTAATGCAGACTTGATACCTTGCAAAAGGTATACATTTGGTGCTTGAACATCTGAACACCTCCTGTTTAACCTATTCTTATTTTAACATCACCAATAGCTGATTTTGTTCGTAAGCCGTAGCCCTCGTAGTGAGCACGGTGTGGTGTCTGATACAGCAGAGTGCGATTCTCATACCGCACCTCCGATTAGCGCCGTTGGTTACGTACGGTGCGAACGAAAGTTTAACATACATTCTTTATTTGAAGCTTTCGTGACTGCAGGAATCCATACTCTTTGGTTCTTTCGGTAAAATCACGTAGGTATAAACTTTGAACATACATAGTACGTGCATACGTCTGAGTGTGTTGTGTTGGCAAGAGCGAATGCAGTTCAGCGAGGATCTGTTTTAGCAATTGAAGTTTCATGCCTGCGGTGGTTCCTTCTGAACCACTTCCACCGCAGATGCCTTTCCTCCAATAAAACCGGGCAGAGTTGGCAGCCCGAGAGAGAACGGGTCTGTTACCGCGCGGAGCCAGATTCGTTCTTAATCGCTTTGTCATTGTGCTTTTTTTATTTAACCCGGCGAGAGGCAAATTGATGTTCAGTCTTGAGGTGGCCAGACCGGGCAGGGTTTAGGTGCATTGAGCGACGATTTCTGCCGTACGCGATGATAAAATGTCTCCAGGTATAGCGAGTTGATGGGTTCAGTTTGGTATCTAATGGTCGCACATAAAAAAGCGTAATGAAAATAGTTGTAATTTTTGTATTACAGTATTTGAGCTCTGAGAATTTTAAGAAGATTATGTTTCAAATATAAATGTGGACTGATGTTGAATGTCTCTGTCGCAGGGAATTATGGCATAGTGCCCTTTGAGGTGTGGATACAAATCTCAGAAGTGGTTCTATGATATTTCCTTCCGCGGGATGTTTTGTAATGCGGGTTGTGATGCACTGCTCTGCTACAGTTCCGCACTTGCGTCTCATGGCGTGATGCGGATAGGATTGGGAAACATGAACAGAAATGAAACAACACGAAATGCAATTCCGACTTGGCTTTGGCTCTTTTGGATATGTAGAGAATGTAAATATTTGAACGCGAAGTGACAGCAAGCAGCCTCTTATTTCACAAGACCTTTCAAGTACAGCAAGGAGATCGAAGTCGTCGTGGTTTGAACTTTCCCCATCGTTTCCTTCCCCGCCATGAGTGGATGGGAAGTTGGCTGAGTGAGTCGGTGGGTGGGTGGATGAGTGGGTGAGTGAGTGGGCGAGTGAGTGGGTGGGTGAGTGGGTTGGTGGGTGAGTCGGTGAGTGGGTGGGTTGATGAGTGGGTGGGTTGATGAGTGGGTGGATTGATGAGTGAGTGGGTTGGTGGATGAGTGGGTGGGTGAGTGGATGAGTGGATGAGTCAGTGGGTAAGTGGGTGGGTGAGTGGGCGGGTGAGTGGATGAGTGGGTGAGTGGATGAGTTAGTGGGTGAGTGGGTGGGTGAGGGTGAGTGGGTGGGTGGGTGGGTGAGTGTGTGGATGGGTGAGTGTGTGGATGGGTGAGTGGGTGGGTGAGTGGATGAGTGGGTGAGTGGATGAGTCCGTGGGTAAGTGGGTGGGTGAGTGGGCGGGTGAGTGGATGAGTGGGTGAGTGGATGAGTTAGTGGGTGAGTGGGTGGGTGGGTGAGTGTGTGGATGGGTGAGTGGGTGGGTGGGTGAGTGAGTGGGAAGGCGGGTGAGTGGGTGGGTAGGCGGGTGAGTGGGTGGGTAGGCGGGTGAGTTGGTGGGTGAGTAAGTGTTTGCATGAGTGAGTCGGTGAGTGAGTGGGTGGGTGAGTGGTTGAGATGCAGTGGATATGGAGCCTATCGAAGTGAGGAGGGGGGTGCAGGAATGGCGTGGGCAGTATTGTACACAGCTCTCTCGCTACGCCCCTCGAGGGTTCTGTTCCCTCTTAAGCTCAGAGCGACGCTGGGGATATTTCACACTGCCGACGATGATGACTTCCATTTCCGTGCTAATGCTGAAACATACGTACGTTTCAGCTTATTGTCACGAGTTGCTCATATTCCTAGCTACCCTATACGTATTTAAGACATATATCTGAGTTTGTATTTTTAGGGTGAGACAAACACTCCACTTGTAAAAGTCATACGAGTTTAGCATCCCGCGTATCAGACAATGGCCGGCAGAATTGATGCTTCGCGAAACATCCTTCAAAGTGGCTTTGTTACGCTCGACACTTTCCCATATGCGCTGCAACGCGACTGCTTGCCATGCGACGGTTGAACTCATATTTGTAATTTTCAGAGCCTGAAATTTAGCAAAAAAAAAACATAGTACGAAACCAAATTTACTATTGGGTGCGTGTGTTCTTGCGTGCGCGGTCTTTAGCGACTGTGCTGAGGACAGTTTCACTCGCTGCATTTGAGAACCTCGCTTTAAGCAAAGACACCACCTTGCTTCGAACCCATGAGCGCATCGGGTGCCGTACCGATGTCTTGAGCCCCGTGAGCCACGCGGCCCACCACCTCCCGTGTCATTGTCTCGTGGCTGTTTGTAAGTGGCTTTTCGAGCTTCGACACGTGCTCTGTGATTCAGTGGCAGCTTTTTATTTTTAAAACCAGATCTCTGCAAATTGTATAGCGCTCACTTGGATCAAAAGTGAACGGCAGTCATTTCACAGATCTCAGTCAATTTTATTGGCAGTCGCTTCATTTAACAGAACTCCGGAACGGCAAATTGCACTCTCCTTAATTATTAGACATCCATGAAATTTGATGGTGTATAGAACATCAGTGAAAGTGATTACACTATTTAAAAAAAAATATATTATGATTACAATTGTGACTTCATTAAGATTTCTTTCATCGACATATCTCGATGAAGTTAATGGAGAAAGGCCAAACCATGTCACTCACAGCACGTGTGTCCGTGCATGTATTTCTACATGTGTGTTTATTTGTGCATGTGTGTATGTATGATTGTCTGCGTACATGTGTTTACGTGCACATGTTCGCGTGTGTGCATGGTTATGCTTGTGCGTGTGGCCGTGGGGAGCGGTAGTGGAATTGTTAACGCGCTGCGCTAACAACGCAGCGAGCCGAGCTCAAGACCAACACCGGTGACGATTATCTACATGGATCCTGGGCCTCCTCTAGGTCGACTCAGCCTCAACAATTACAATCTCAGTGACCTGGGTTTCATTTCTATCCAAAAGCAACAACGATTATTTGAACCGGCCCTGGGCCTCCCCTAGGTCGACTCAGCATCAAATGAGTACCAGGTGCTGTGTGTAAAAACATCGGCACTCGGGTGACAAAGGCGGCCGGGCGTGGTTCTGGCCTTCCACTCCTCGTGTGCCGTTCTGGCCTTAATAGGTTCTGCTCGCTAACAGCACTTGCCCCAGCAGTCTGTCAAGGCTATACGGGGGATCTTTGTCGTCTTTGTTTTGGCCGACTCTGGGATGCTGTGTGATTGTGTCTGTGTTGGTAAATAAATATGTCCCCCTGTATAGAACGATGCTTCATACATCCTGCCGCACAGTGCGTTTCGGTTTTGATATTTTACTCAACATTAACCCAACACATTTCTAGATTCGGAGTTTTCATGACTGCAAGGATCCATACTCTTTGGTTCTTTCGGTAAAGTAACGTAGGTGAAAATAACTAAATTAAATAACCAACACAATTTGACGTTTTACTGGGATTGGCGCACGGTCACTGTGACCAGTTTATAAGATATGCGATGTTTCGTCCGCGTTATTTCATGTAAATAGTTGTTCATGTTGGCGTCTATAGATGCTTATCGCATTAAGACGCTAAGTGTACATTATTATTGTTATCTTGTGTATAATGGTGTGGGGAGCGGTATTGTTGTGGTTAGTGTATGACACTACGAACCCGGCGACCTGAGTTCGAGTCTTGCTCGCAGCCAACATCGGTGGCGAATATCTGAACCGGTCCAGGCCTCCCCTAGATCGACTCAGCCTTTAAATGAGTACCTGGTGCGGTGCGTAATCATCAGCATTGGGGAGACAAAGGTGGTCGAAAGTGGCGTTTGCCACCCACCCTCTCGTATGCCGTGTCTACCTTAATAGGTGCTCTCTAACAGCACTTGGCCCAACAATCTGTTAAGGCTATATGGGGGATCTTTGCCTTTTTCGTGCGGTTAGCGTGCTGCGATACGAACTCGGCGACTCACGGCCAACACCAATGACAGATATCTGAACCGGTTCTGGGCCTCCCCTAGGTCGACTCAGCCTCAAACGAGTACCTGGTGCGTCTTGTAAACATCAACACTATGGAGCGGCCGGGCGTGGTGCTGGCCACCCACCCCCTCGTGTGCCGTGTCGGCCTTCATAGGTGCTCGCTAACAGCACTTGCCCCAGCAGTCTGTTGGCGGTGACATGGCCCAGCGGTCGCACATTCATCGCTTGTTGCCGAGGTTCGTGGTTTGCATCCAGCGGCCGTCCTGGTTAATACTGCGGATTACCATTTTTTAAAATTAATACTGTGTTGTGGAAACAAAAACTGCTTTCTGTGTTTAGTTTGTTGTCCTTCCCAGGCACCTCCGATTAGCACGGTTGGCTACGTACGGTGCGAAAGAAGTTCAACACACACATAAATGATCCCGTGACGCCATTCGCAAAAGTATGGCGATGAAGTGCCGGCAACACGCGGTACAAATTTGCCGAAATTAACAAATTACATCGCAAATTACTCAATTGAAATCGACGAGCAACATCTCCCCCGACGGTGGCAAACTTGGACAGCACCCTCCTGAAAAGAGCCAAGAGACTGGGTGATGCTTTCCTGGGTGAAAAAGCGTAACACTTTTTTTGTTTGATTGAAGGCTTTACGGAGGGGTGGGGAGATAATTTATGTCTTCGTGTGCGTGTGCAGAGGGGGGCAGCGACTGCGGCGGGGTTGTGGTGGTGAGCTTGCCGGGGTATCTGACCTCGCCCGGCTATCCCGACGATTACCCCCCGCACCAGACATGCTCCTGGCAACTACGCGCCCCCAGACCCGAGCAGAAGCTGCTCATTAACTTCAACCCACACTTCGACATGGAGAAGAACAACTGTCGGTACGGCGACGCGCGGCGACGGGTAAATTCAGGGTCAATGTCACTCGAGGTCTTAAGGTTTAGTGCATGTCAAAAGGCGACTCTCTCAAGTCGGGGTTAATTCAGTTCACCGTCACTGGAGTTTGACGGGTGATGCGGGTTTTGGTCATTCTGCTTTCGAGCGAACACGGTCCATGATTGTGGATTTGGAATAATTCCAGGTCGTGACGATTCTGTTTTGCGTTAACGTAGGTCGTGGTCACTCGTTTAGGATGAAATCATTGCAACGCTCCTTTTGGTCATTGTACTTGGAATTAAGTCACGGGTCAAAGTGACACAGTTTGCAGCCTTATCTACGTGGCACCATCGGGCCGTGCTCAGACAGCTGTGTTTAACCTTGGGTGGTTGTACCGCAACACAGGGAAGGAAACGCCGTTAGAGGCTCACACAGAGAACGGTGCCCCCCTGCGAGACATCCTCGCGGTCTTGCCATTGACACTTTATAAACATTCCTGCCTTTATTCTATACGTGTGTGTGTGCGTGGGCGGGTGCGCGTGGGTGTGTTCGGGGCACACTAGGAGGTCAAAAATAAAGTGGAGGGGAAGTGTGGTGGTGGGGAGGGACACGGTTAGGGTGTGGATGTCACGGGAGGAATTGACGAGATAGTAGTTTTTAATTGTTTTGTTTCTTTTTCATGTATTTTTTTTATATAGAGAGCAGCCAACAGGGAAGAGAAAAATACACAATGGTCTGAATTTTCACAAAAATGCTTTTGAAATGCCTCACCACAAAAAAATAAACTACGAAGATGCCGTTTCACTTAAACCGGATAGACGGCGCTCCAGATTTTAGCGATTCTGGTGGCGAGCGTGATGATGGTGATTGCGTGACGATGGTGATTGCAATGATAACGATGGTGGTTAAGACCACTCTTGGACAATGGTGATGACAATGACCACTCTGATAATGATTCTTAGTGCGGTAGTAATAATACAAGCAAAAGGGGCACAATCAGTCCTCCCATCATGCCTACCATGCCACGTGACATCACCGCCCTGCTTGTGTAGTGCAACCCAGCCGAGCGACTTTTTGCGCGTGCCACAGATTCGACTACGTGCAGGTGTGGGACGATGGCGTCGAGAAGTCCGGCGACGACTCGGGCAAGTTCTGTGGCACCGTGGCTCCAGCGCCCATCCTGTCCAGCGGCCCGACGCTGCACGTCAAATTCGTGTCCGACTACACCACCCAGGGGGCTGGCTTCTCGCTCCGATACGAGCTCTACAAACCGGGTGAGCCTCACCTGGCACCCGGTGAAACATCTCAGGCGATATCCGACTGCGGCGTAGGAGTTCGCGGTTGTGCTGGAGAGCTTTCTTTCTCTCGCGCGAGCGAGCGAGCGAGCGTGTTCTAGGGTTCATACTCACGTAGGTAAAAAATTAATAAATGAAAAACTTAATTATTTTTTACCTACGTGACTTTACCTAAAAAACCAAAGAGTATGAATCCTTGCAGTCACGAAAACTTCAAATCTAGGGTTGTTTCCGAGTGCTGTCAGGCACGACGATGTCCGACGGTACAACTGTGTGGGCTGCCACCTGTTCCGAGGTGTCTGCGAAAGTAGGCCAACTACCCTCTGGAGCAGTGTTCTTCACTAATTTTCAGAGTTGGGTGGGAGGGGGTGTCAGGGGCACTTTTGCCGATAAGACATCACGAGTGTGAGGGCCGCCACACGTTTGAAACCACTGGGGTTTGGCAGCAGCGCGGTAGTGGGGGTGTTGTCACGTGTTGTGTTTTGTCGGAGGGCCGCACATCAAGGGGCCGCACTAAAGGCCACCAGAGGCCGCCAGTGGGCCGCGGGCCTTGCCATGAAGAGCTCCTTCTGGCAGAGGGCACTTGTGCCAGCAGTGGTGCGAGCAAACACGTTGCAGGGCTGCACCTTTACCTTTATATAAAAAAATCTGTTCGAAGCAGCCACTGGATCCTATTGCGTAGAGCAGTGTGTGCGAGCTTATATGTATATTTCGATTGTGATGGTGCAGAATACGTTTGGGGCCATACATTATGTACGGCGTTTGTCCAGCGTGGAAGAGTGTCAATTACTCATTTGGGATTGCACATGGCGATCATCGCCCCCGACAGGCAGACGAATGATCATCGTTTGGATCAGCTACCACTGAGAGTTCCATCTCCAATGTGTTCTGAGACGCCGCGGCGTGGAGGAGGAGCATTGAATCACAAACGAAACATCTCAGCACGTGTGGCAGTAACACCGCGGCCTTAAAAGGAAAACTATATAATGGGCGACGTTTTGGGAAATGGACCTTTTTCATAGTGTCTAGGCAAAGAGAGGTAAAGTTGATAAGAGTTGGAGACAACATTTTATATTTTGTGTTATATATATCACAATCGGGTCAATCAGAATAATCCACTTGGTGATGCATTCCTGTGTCTCAGTTCTCATTTACGGTACCACCGAGTAATTTTGTTGACGTCAAAACAATTCTCGCCGTCATCGTCGTCATCTTTGATCGTCGCGGGGTCAAGGCGCGGACTGCTCACAACTCACTGTCGTCGTTATTTTAAATATTAAATTAGAAAAACAATTTTTTATGTGAGTTTAACACGAAGGCGTTTGCGACCAATATCATCCAAAATACAGTTTAGATCGCGTAAATATATTATCTTTACCATGGAGCCTCATACAGTGTTTTGGGGGTTAGATCGAGTAAATATAATTACGTGTAAATATTAATGGATATTTTTATGTTACCAGGCAAGGCTCGCTGAGCTAAATATCTATTGGCCACAAATGATAGCTCAACAAAGTGGCTTATCATCACGTGGTAATGTATAGCAGCCGAATACTCTAAATGCACGATGTTCACTCTAAATGTGGAGGGAAAAACCGAAGTTACCCCGGAGAAAAATCCACGCGACCACGGAGAGAGACACGCAGAATGCAAATATACAGCAGGCGCCAGGCTCGGCATCGAAGCCGCAGCCTCCTGTACACCAGGCGAGGTAGTTAACATCTCATAGCCACGGTGATGACGGTCATAGAGACACGCAAACTGCAAATTTACAGCAGCAGGCGTCAGGCTCGGCATCGACGCCGCGGCCTCCTGTACACCAGGCGAGGTAGTTAACATCTCCTCGCCCCGTCATCTCTGACCGTCGCGCGACTCTCGTGTGGGTTGTCAAGGCGTGGACTGCTCGAGGAACTTCACGGCACCGAGCGGCCGCATCGCGTCCCCCGGGCACCCCCTGGGCTACCCGCCGAACGCGGCGTGCGTGTTCGTCGTCTCGCCGCCCCCGCCGCACGCTTACATCCTCCTCACCTTCCGCACCTTCCACCTGGAGGCCGACCCGGACGACGGCTCGGCCAGCGAGGGCTCGGCCTGCAAGTACGACCACGTCGAGGTGTGGGACGGGCTGCCCACAGGTACGTGCATCGTCAAGCCGGGGGCCCGTGTGCGGTGAGGCGTGGTGCGGTGTGCGGTTACGGGCAGCGGTGGTGCAGCGGTTAGCACGCTATGCTGCGCTACGAACCCGGAGACCCGAGTTCGATTCCCGCTCACGGCCAACACCGGTGACGATCATCTGAACCGGTACCTAGGCCTCCCCTAGGTCGACTCAGCCTCAAATGAGTACCTTGTGCGGTGTGTCAAAATGATCGCCGGGCGTGGTGCTGGCCACCCGGCCCGCTTCGTGTACTGTGCCGGTCTTCATAGGTGCTCGCTAACAGCACTCGCCCCAACAGGGTGATCTTTGTCGTGGTGTGTGTGACAATGTGTGTCGTGTGTATTGTGCAGTGTACGCTGTCGCGTGTGATAGTAAACCATGAAAGCTGTGGATCTTGCAGAAAAAGTGGTCCTACACGTTTTTGTAGAGTTTGCTCAACACTCTGATTTGTAAATAACACCCAAAATACGAATGTAGTGTATATCATCAGAGGGGCACCCAGGAGATGGGGCTACGAAGGTAACTACCCCCCGCCCCCTCCGACATGTTTGAGATTTTCATAAATGTCAATTGCAAATAAACAAGGTAATCAAAACAGAAATGAATATAATAATTCCCCCCCCCCCTCCAAATTGTTTCAGTTGGGCGTGGCACAATTAAATAAATATAATCAACAGTTGTGAAATTGTAAAACGATGGGGTTATGCATACTCTTTGGTTCTTTCGGTAAAGTCACGTAGGTATAAAATAAAAAAAAATACGTAACTTTACCAAAAGAACCAAAGAGTATGGATTCCTGCAGTCACGAAAGCTTCAAATCAAGATTGATGGGTTATGAATGGGTTCATCACAGTTCGTCAATCAACGGGCCGCGTGTGGCGGTACTCGCACCTCTACGAAGACGACTGACCGGCGTGGAAGAGTAGGCCAAATTACCCTCTAGAGGGGAGGCTCTCGATATTGCCCCTCTTATGAAGGCCCCTTCTGTCAGCTGCGGTGTGAGCAAGCGATCACACAGCAACATTTTCAAAAGGAAAACAAAGTTAAATAAAAATTATTTTTACAAGGCTAACAAACAAATTAAATTCAGCATTCACGAATGAAACAACTTTTCACTTCAATCTCTGGAGGCCCTCCAGCTGGCGGAGGCCCCTGGGCTGCAGCCCCTAAAGCCCCCACGCCTTAATCGGGCCCTGCTTACACACACAGACTTTCATTTTATTTTACCAGGTAGGGCCCACTGAGCGACATAGCTCTTTTTCAGAAGCGACCTGGCCACGAACGATAGCTCAACGGAGTGGCTTGTCATCTAGATTTGAAGCTTTCGTGACTGCAAGGATTCATACTGACTTTACCGAAAAAACTAAGAGTATGGCTTGTCATCGTCACGTGGAACACGTGAAGCAGCCGAACGCTCTAAACGCGACGTTGTTTCATTTGTACGAGCTCGCGAAAAAAAAGTGTCACGTCTCCTTCTCTCGTCGCAGTGGGCCTCCTGATCGTGCGCCTGTGCGGGAGCAAGGTCCCGGACCCCGTCGTCGCCGTCACGGGCACCATGACGCTCGTCTTCCACTCCGACAACGCCATCGCCAAGGACGGCTTCTCGGCCTCGTACACCGTGCTGCCGAGCCGGCCCGCCGAGTGTGAGAACCTCGCCGATTCTTCGTCTGCGCAGCGCCAACCCCTCGCCGCCCAGATTTTTTGCAGAATCCATTGCTGAGAGGAAAAGCTGTGTGCGGTGCTGCCCGGCTGACCTGTTGGGCGCTAGAGCATCAACTTTGGCCTTTAATAAGAGAGCGTCCTTCATTCATGCCAGTCCGTCAGTATCTGCTCGATATGGGGCCATCCATTTAGTACGTACGCATGGAGGGGGGGTTTACCCAAATGCGTACTCTTGCATATGGGGGGTCTACTGACAATGTGCGTACGAAATAGGAAACGGGGAGGGGGGGTGAAGACTCGATAATAATTTGTCTACATTGGACTTCAAATGAGCCACAGTTCAGTTTCTTCAGCTGTCAGACCAAGTAATACCGAAAGAAGTAGGCCTGTGGGAGAGGTGTCACTTGTATGTCACCGTACCCCTGACTGCGAGCCATCACGCAGCTCAGCAAAATAAGTAGCCAAGGTACGCAACTTCATTCTTTAATACAGCTGGCGGTGGACTGTTTGCTTAAACATGTTCATATTATTAATTCTTGATCATTTCTGCGTGGGCTAAATACCGGCCGTTCTATAGAATTCGGGGGGTGGGGGGAGTGCATCAAACGTTCTGAAAACGCTTTTCACCAGGTTCGCCGTAATTTCCCCCATAACTAAAAATGCACAATGTACAATAACTGGGAATCGCCAAACATCCCAGTATAGCAGGATCCTAAAAATAATGATTGGACTCAGCGTGGCTTTTCTGAGTAAAACACCATGGTAACGAGATGTGAACTAACTCGCCTGGTATCCAGGAGGTCGTTGGTTCGACCCCGACATTGATGCCTGTATAATAAGAGTTTGCATGTTCTCTTTCCCCGTGGTCACGTGGATTTTTGTCCGGGTCATCCGGTTTTACCCTCCACATTTAGACAAAGATGCATTTACAGTATTTGGCTGCTGTACATTTCCACGCGATAAGCCACATCATTGAGCTATCATTTGTGGCCGGGTCGCTTCTGAAAACGAGCTATATAGCTCAGTGGGCCTTACCTGGTTAGTCAAAAAAAACAACACATTACATCGTGCGTCACGTGCCGCCGTGCGCGCAGCGTTCCCGTGCTTCGCGCCGCTGGGCATGGAGTCTGGCACGATCCCGGACGCGCGCGTCTCGGCGTCGTCCTCGTACCACACGGGCACGTGGCTGCCCCAGCAGGGCCGGCTCCACCACCCGCTCAACGCCTGGACACCGGCGGTGGACTCCAACCGCGAGTGGATTCAGGTCGGCACATCTCCGCGCAAAAAATAACTCTCGCTCCAGTCCGCTCGAGACTCTTCCGTGGTGGAACGCTCAAGTGTGCAAGTGGGTCGGTGCGGCACCTCACCATGCGGTGATTCCCGCGCAGTGATTGGACCGGAGCGGGGTGTTCCTAAACTGGTGGCACACCAAAAGATGCGGCTCAACTGAGATGTAGAGAAATGCTGGCGACTGGGATGAATGAAGATGTTCTTTTCTCCCCGTTGCCGCGTGGATTTTTCTCCGGCTACTCCGGTTTTTCCCTCCACATTTACAAATATGCGTTTATCAGTATTTGGCTGCTAGAAATTTCCACGCGATAAGCCACTTTGTTGAGCTATCATTTGTGGCCGGGTCGCTTCTGAAAAAGAGCTACATAGCTCAGTGGGCCATACCTGGTAAAATAAAACAACAATAGTTTCAGGTGGTAGTTATGTTTGTAACATCGTTCAAATCAACTTTAAAGTTCACAATGCAAGGTAGCAACAATGTCTAGTTTTAAAACATACTTCACTGTTCTGGTTATTGTGGGTTGGTGAAGGGGGTGGAAGCCCAGTGTTGGTTCAGATATCATTTGTCACTGATGTCCGCAGTGGCTGGGAATCAATTTCTCAATGCACATATCATAGAGCTCTAACGAATTGTTGCCACTGCTCCTCCCTACTTTCCACTGTTAGAAATGTTTTCAAACTCCACTGGAATGGTTGCCCTCACTGAATCCGTGTCCTCCCTCTCGCCCGGACAGGTCGACCTTGGCAGCCTGAAGATCGTGACGGCTATTGCCACGCAGGGCGCCACCTCGATTAATTCGCGCCGCGTGTACTACGTCACCTCCTACCGAGTCTACGTGGGAGTCACAGGCAGCGACTGGTCGCCTGTCCGCGAGGAACGCCAGCTCAAGGTAAGGAGTCGAGGCTAACAAACTACCCGGTTTAGCTTGGACGGTCCCCCTGTTTCTAACTAGAACTATTTTTTATTTTACCAAGTAAAGTCCACTGGGCGATATAGCTCTTTTTCAGAAGCGACGTGGCCACAAATGATAGTTCGATGAAGTGGCTTATCAAGTGGAAATGTATAGCTGCAGCCAAATACTCTAAATACATTGATTCTAAATGTGGAGGGAAAAACCGGGGGACCCGAAGAAAAATCCACGTGACCACGGGGAGAGAGACATGAAAACTGCAAATATACAGGTGTCTGGGTCAGGATCGAAGCCACGACATCTTGTATACCAGGCGAGGTAGTTAACATCTCGCCACCGCGGCACCCCAGGGAAGCTGTCCCAGTATTTCTGAGAATTCATATTTTGTTATGGATTCATACTTGACTCATGGTCAGACCTGGGATATTCGTTCAGTTAAGTAATGGACTACTCTCCCAGTTATCGGTTTGATTATTCAAATAATTGGATGACATTTAAATAGTTGGGAAGTCTCGCCCTCGATTTCCACCGTGTCCCGCTGGGCAGGAGGTGATGCGCGGGGCTTGGTGACATCGTTGATGTCTATCGGCCGGGTTACACTGGGCGTGGCTTTTAGCGGGTTTCCTGCCTTCGAGAGAGGCAAGATGTCAGGGTGGCCATCGCGTTTAATGGGACCCGAGTATTTGACCACAAAAAAAGTACGTTGTTGATGCCAATTTTTCAGACGACTAATTCACTCAATGACGAATTGTCCCAGCTCTACTCATGGTGTGAGCAAGACGCGGTGCTACCTGAACCGTGGGTGTGCTGGTTCTGGGGTGGTGTGGCCGGGACCATGCCCTGCCACCTTTGTCTCCCCGGCCCCGACGTGGCCCAGGACTCGTTTAGATGTCACTCGCCGCACGTGGTCGCCGCGGCTGGGGATTGATCCCAGGTGGTTGGGTTTGTAGCACAGCGCATTAACCCCGCTGCCGCTGCTGTTGCTCTACACGTGCCGCTGCGCGCAACACACACACACACATGCAGCAGTTTGTAGGAAACACGGACGAGAGCACAGTGGTGCAGAACAAGCTTCCGGGCCGTGTGGTGACTCGCTTTGTGCGGGTCAAACCACAGACGTGGGAGAACGGCATCGCCATGCGCCTCGAGTTATATGGCTGCTCCATCTCCGGTGAGACTCGCACCAGCTGCCACCACTCAGCCAGGCGCGGCCTCGCCGGCCTTGGCAATAATAGGACGAGAGCGCTGATAAAGTGGCAATCGAGCGGCTCGCCAGATTCCCAGAAGGCTGTGCGCAGGTTCGTGATCCCAGAGGAATGGTGATTATGTTGATGGTGACGACGACGATGATACTCTGTGGTTCTTTCGGTAAAGTCACGTAGGTATAAAATCAGGTGGGAAAGCGAAAGTTTTTCTTGCTGTGGTTTTCACACCTGATGATGATTGCTTGTGTTGCAATCGAAACATCGTGATAATTTTATTGCTTTATTTGTATTATTTTATTACTTTTCTTCTATGTAACTTCACCGAAAGAACCAAGAATATGAATCCCTGCAGTCCCGAAAGAAGCTTTAAATCGAAATAGAATAACGATGCTTTGTTAACTGTGATAATGGTACAATGACGATGCGTTTTGGAGGGGAGGGGGGGGGGATATAAAAAAATGCCAAGAATTGTTCAGATTGTTGGCCAACGCAGGGAATATCTGTCAAAAGGCGCGCGTGGGCGCGGTGGCTTTAACCTCCGACTCGGCATCTTTATACTTGAATCTGAGGATGTTGGGGGGGGGGGGGCTCTCAGGTCGCTTCTTGCCCACCCCCCCTCCCCCACGCTCTGAGGAGTTTGAGTAAACACTCGCTTATCTCGGGAAGCAGGAGACAGCCGATTGCTTCCCTACGGACAGCTCCAGCTATTGTGTTTAGTCTGTCGTAGACTCAGCTTTTTCTTGCCTCAGATATTTGCGCACCCACCGACCCACCCGACTCACGCACGCGCCCACCCACTCACCCAGAAGGCGCCCACAGGCTGATTGCGAGCGATGGGCAGTGGCCAGCGCCAGCTGTGGTTGCCACATGTGCCTACGTGACCAACATTGACTTAACAGGATCAGTCTGTGACTGTCGGGCTCAGGGGGATCAAAATTCCCATATCTGAGTCAGAGCTCATCTTCTTGGTTCTTTCGGTAAAGTCACGTAGAAGGGAAGTAATAAAATAATAAAAATAAAACATAATAAAATAAAAAAATTCCCATATCTGAGTCAGAGCTGTTGAGTACCTTCGTTGGAAACCCAAGCGGCCACCAGAGTTTATCTTGTTGTCCATCTGTGTAAATGACCACTCTTGGGCCAATCTCCCACCGAGTTTAATTTCAGTTTTTCAGTTTAATTTATTAGGATTTACCCTGTGAGCCATTAGGCTTTTATTTAGGTTCAACCGCAACAAACTATAAAATTACAAGATACACCTAAAATTAATTGTACACAAATCTAAACATCACATACGTAAACAATAAAATCCTACAGAAAAAGCACAACCCGTCCATGCTGCGTACAGAAAGTGCAAAAAATTCCATTTCGATGTTTGATCCCAATAACAATCATAATACAATACAGATGAAAATCTTAAGTATAAATCCATACCAAATAAAAAAAATCGGGCCAAACCAAGCCCCTCTAAAACTTACTAAAACAATGCTATCTTAACAACGTAACAGTTTTCCCAACAAAAATGATTAAAAGTTTACAAAAGCGACACACACAACACACATAACTAAACCCAGCATCCTTCGCTCGCTGCATAAGTCAATCCATATTCAATTCCTTCCTTATATTAATCGTTCTTGTCCAGTAAATGGCCTCTGATCTCTTTGATTTCTTCTCGCCATCTCTCCCCTTCTGCTCTCTTCCTCTGCTTCTGTTCCCTCCTCTCGGTCTCCACTGCGGAGCGAGTTTTTGTCCCCCGTCAGCTGTTCTCATGACTCATTCTGCCTCTTTCCACTTGAATTTTGTCGCATCGTCGGTGACCGCCGCTCTCCTCCTTATGTATTCATTCCTTAGCGGGCCTCTTCCACTTACTTCTGACATCCGTATTTTCCAAATGCACGTATCCCTCGATTTACAAAAGGGATGCGTTCTTCAAAAAACCGCTCGCAAAATGAAGTTTCGTAAATCGGAATGACTTTGCTCAGTCATTCCAACTCTACTCAACCTACAACTATACCACCTATATCACTTGTCACAATAAAAAAAAAATCATAAATAACACGAGAATTAAAACGATTGAATAATAAGTAATTTAAAGCAACAATAACGAACCCTCCAAGGGAACTGGCCAAATAAATCAGCATCATCTCGGAATGCCTGGAAAGGCGATGTGGAAGGCGTTGCTGTGGCACCGCAGGGACACCGTGACGCTGTCGCGATGATGAACGCAGCCTTCCGGGTGGCTTCTCGTTTGATGATCCTCGTGGTGCGTGGCCGTAGTGAAATTTTGTTAAGCGGAAATTGGATTTCGTTAATCGAAGCGTCCTCCTGATGACGATCGCTTGTGTTGTGATCGAAACGTCGTAGTTTTTTGTTATTTTCCTCGAGCCTATCTACGTGACTTTACCGAAAGGCCCAAGGAATATGAATTCCTGCAGTCACGAAAGCTTTAAGTCAAGATTTGTCCATAGTTTGTCAATTTGCGTTTACACGAAATTTCGTTGAAACCGAACGTTCGTAAATCTATGAACACCTGTATATCTTTGTCAAGTTCGCAGATTTTTTAGGTTTTGTTTCTTAGTTAACAGCCTCGTCTGTTGCCCATTATCTTAAGCTGGAAAAATGCGCATATTGCATTTGTTGTTGTCTTCTTAACACATGTAGGATAATCCTCCATTGAGTTGTTAAAAGAGAAATAAATCTGCCTCTGAATGGCGCGATGTTACCTCTCTTGCCTTTTATGCAGGAGTTCGTGGGTTCGAACCTGGACCCTTAGACTTGTATATTTAGAGTTTGCGTGCTCTCCCCGTGGTCCCGTGGCAGGCGTCAGGGTCGGGATCGAAGCCACGGCCTCCTGTATAGCAGGCGAGGTGGTTAATATCTCGCCACCGTGATGAGATGTGTATATTTAGGTTGTGAGTAGAGTGGGAACGAGTGTCTGAAACACATCACAATTTTTTTTTCGAACGTTACAACTTTCGGCCGATGGCTCGTTGGTGATGCTGTGCCTCGCACCCTTCCCCGGCAGACTACCCGTGCTCCGAGAAGCTGGGCATGATGTCGGGGCGTCTCCGCGACGAGCAGATCACGGCGTCGGCGTCGCGCGACGACTCGCACTGGGGGCCGGCCGCCGCACGCCTCATGGCCCCCCTCTTCGGCTGGGCCCCCCCGGTCAAAGGCACCGGCCACTGGCTTCAGGTTCGCCCCCCTTGAAGTGCAAAAAAACAAAGATTCCCCTGTATTGCCTCGAACAGGCTGTTGGGGAAAGTGCTGTTAGTGAGCACATTTGAAGGCAGGCACGGCACACGAGGGCGTGTGTGGGCAGAGGCATGCCCGGCCGCATTTGTCTCCCCAGTGGCAACGTTTAAACATCGCACCAGGTACTCATGTAAGGCTGAGTCGACCTAGGGGAGGCCCAGGACCGATTCAGATAATCGTCACCGGTGTTGGCCGTGAGCGGGAATCGAACTCGGGTGGCTGGGTTCGTAGTGCAGCGTAGTGCTAACCACTACACTACAAGAACTACCCCTCCCCCGCCGCCCCCTTCCTCCGTCCCCAACCACCAGTGTTGACAAATAAAGTGTAAGGCCATCAAACTAACCTCGTGAAGCTGGTAGATGTCACTGGATTGGGCTTCTTAATTCGTTAAAGGTGTCATTTAATAATGTACCAAGTCTTAAACACAGCAAACTGATACAGGAGCCTCAATGCACTGCTTGGATCATGTAGCCAGACACATTTAGCAAATATGAAATGCAATAGATTGATACGGCATACTTAATACAGGTAGGAACAACAGGTTCCACACTGCCCACCAGGGATTATTTGTCTGTCGTGCATAGCCACACCCTCGATTTGTATTTCATAGAGCGCTTCGGGCGGGCTCAGCACCACGTGACGTGCCGCCCCACGAAGCTTGCGCCGCGTGACACTGATCACATGAAGGCGCTGTCCAACCAAGTTCCTACCTGCCCACTCCAAAGGAACGTGTTATACATCTGTAATTGCTCCTGTATCTGCATAATTTCGCCTGCAGTGAAAGCCACAGCAGCGGCAGCAACGTCGCCAATTTGACAGCACCGACCGCGCTGCACGTGACTTAGCCAGCTCAGGGCCTCCCTGCCCTCTCCCCTAAAGTGAACCCAGCCATAAAAAGCAGCAATAGCCACTTGCCTATTTAAACAAAAATTCCGTGTTTTTTTTTATATACCGCGAGAAACTTTGAGATGTCATAAAGATTAGAAAACCCGCCATCTCGCGATCCAAACAATGTCCAGAGGTGGGACAAAGTCATTGTTATGCAAGTCCAAGTCGAGTCTCAAGTCATCAAATTCATGACTCGAGTCTGACTCGAGTCCAAGTCACATGACTCGAGTCCACACCTCAGAGGTGGGACAAAGTCATTGTTATGCAAGTCCAAGTCGAGTCTCAAGTCATCAAATTCATGACTCGAGTCTGACTCGAGTCCAAGTCACATGACTCGAGTCCACACCTCTGACAATGTCTATTGTGTGCCTTGTCGTTACTGTCGGTCCGAAAGAATAAAAATAACGGTTACAAATCGAAGAACAAAAGGAAGAGTTTAAAAGTAAGGTTGAAAAGTGAACAAAAATGGGGCGAGAGGGACAAATGGTTAGGGGTTGGAGCGCACTTCAAGGCAAGTAGGAGCAGGACAAAGTGCGTTTGTAAAACTAAATTCGGTATTGAAAAACAAAATACCATACCAATTTTAATGGAGCATGCAGGCGACGAGTAGCCGCAGAGAAAGGTACACTGGATGTGCTGAGTACGTCAATATTTATCATCTTACCAAGGCGCTATATATAGCGCCTTGGTGTACAACGAATTAACAACGGTGCATATTAATGTAATGAGGTGAATGAAATAGACGAGAGGAAGCAATGGAGGCCAATCTTTGATGTGTGATTTCGGTGGAAGTGAAATTGATGATAGTAAATGATGATGAATGAATTGAATGAATGGGGTTAATGAGTAATAGCCATACGGGTCACTACGGGACTGGAGCTGCAGACACACGACAAGCAGATACAGCCCCTGCCATCGGAATCATTCTCTTCTGCCACCGTTTTGTAAGCTATGTTCAAGTACCTTGAGTTAAAGCACTCTATAAATCAGATTGCATTATGTATACTAGATGTGGTGGGCCGGGTGCATAAATATTTTTATCGGTCGGTGACACTGACAATCCCAGCTGAAATTAAGCTCAGTCCCCCCCCCCCCACCACTCCATCGTCGCCATCATCGCAGGTCGACCTGGGCCAGGTGGTCGCGCTGAGTGGGCTGGTGGTGCAGGGCGCGAAGGGCCCGCTCGCGTCTTCGGCCGACGCGCGGCTCTTCGTGCGCAAGTTCCGCCTCGAGTACAGCGGCGACGACGGCCACAGCTGGGACCCCATCACCAGGGACGGCGCCAGCGGCAGCAGCAAGGTGCGTGAGCGCCGAGGCCTGGCGTCAACGCGCTGCCATCGCGATTCGTGGGTTTATTCACGTGCCAAAAAAGACATCCTCATCACGATTGCTGAGCACAGGGGCCCCCAAAGCCCTGGGAACGGCAAGCGGCGAGCAACAAGACCGGGAAACAGGGAAGACTTCTTCACAATTCTGGCAAATCGCCTGACGAAGCTGCCTGTGATTACCAGCGACAAAACGTCCCACTCAATTGTAAATGTTGTGGGTTTGCCCACCGACACACGGGTGTGCTGAGGTAGTAACTAACTGTCACGTTTTGTTTACGTGACAAACCTTACTAATTGGCTTTGTCGGGTGGTGGTGGCTTCACGACATTTATATTTACGCAATCTAACCCAAAAACCTTTATTTTTAATAATCTTGATTTGAAGCTTTCGTGACTGCAGGAATCCATACTCTTTGGTTCTTTCGGTGAAGTCACGTGGGTAGAAAATGAAATAAATCACGACGTTTCGGGCGCAACACAAGCGTCCATCATCAGGCGGGAAAGCGAAGGGCCCGCCTGATGATGGACGCTTGTGTTGCGCCCGAAACGTCGTGATTTATTTCATTTTATACCTACGTGACTTTACCGAAAAAAACAAAGAGTATTCATAATATTGCTTGTGAAAGCCAACGTGTTAAAGCACTTTTCAAGCTCTGATAGATGAGTTCGCACGTTTCTTGAATTAAGGAGGGTTCCAAGAATTTGGGAAAAGAGGCGATGGGAGGGAATTCCAAAGTTGAGCGGCGTGAGGGAATAAGCGGAAAGAGAAGTGTTGTGAGTGGCAGTGTGTTGAGTGGGTGAGTGAGTGAGTGAATGAAGAAGTGGGTGAGTGTGTTATTAAATCCTTTATATTAAGTTAATTTGCTTGCTTGCTTGCGTGCTTACGACCGTGCAAATCTTTCGGTCGTTTTTTAACCCACTTCCCGTGATCCAATCGAGCTGACATTTTGCACACAGACTCGTTGTGCGTGACAATTTATTTTCGTGAAAATTTGTTTCCAAAATTTTCCACTTTTAAGGAAAAAATTTATTTCATATTTAATTTAAAATACCAATGTGATAAAAATGAAACTCTTACTCAAGAAAAACAGAAATGAATAATAAAATAAAACCAATGCCACGCATATAAAGGATTTATAGTGGAAAACTTTGTTTTTACGGGTTAATTTTTTTTTATCTGAAGTACGGTGGTTGAACAAAGTGTGGATGGAACAAAATCGTCAGCCTTGTAGACCGAGTCCTCAACATGTGGGAAGAATCGACCAGTGACGTTCACGGGAAAGGTCACCATGGTAATAGCGATAGAAGAGCAATCAGGAGGCGACTGATGGCAAGTTTGAGAGTCACTTGAGTGTGGTTGGTAGAATATCTAAAAGCGATATATGTTAACAAAAAAAATCCATACTAACAAACAGTAGCATTCAAACAAAACGAAAACAACCGCCGTGTTATTTTTCATACAATCACAGCGGCGGACGAATTTATTTGTTTGAATAATTTTATTGAAAACCCAGCAAACTTGAGTTGGCGACACGAGCACACAATGGAACGTTCTCACGAATGACATCACCTCGTGGACAACTCCCACTTAACAATAGACGGGCGATCTTAAATAACGGACAAAAAAATAGCGGGCGACTCACACCCCCGAAGCCCTCACGAAACCGCCAGGTCAACGACGAGGGACCTGGCCCTCTGCGGCTTACTCCACATGGGAGTGACAGCAGAGGAAATGTGACTATAGCGTGGGCCCCTTCTTCAAAAGGGGGATACTAAAAGCCTTGGGGTCAGGTGCGAGCGGGAGAGAGGGCTTCTTGAAATGGTGAGGGCGTGAGCTGCTGAGGTCCGGTCGCTTCCTTCCTCCCGTTCCTGCAGGAATTCTCAGGGCTTCCCGCCAACCACAGGAAGCCGATGGGAAACCGGGCGGTCAGTTGTGTTCGTCCTCCAAAACGCGGCATCAGATTCCCTTTTTAGGGAAAAAAGAGAGAGCTGGATAAACACACCAACGCGCACTGAGCAGCGGAGTGAAATGCGATCAAATGAACCCGAAGATGAGTAAAAAGGCGTGGCCCTGCATTTGGCTTCTCACGCCACTACTGGCGAAAAGGCCCGTCATTTAGAGTGAACTCCTTGGGCATTTGGTCTACTTTTCCACGTTGACCAAATGTCCTTGAAGCGGTGGGTGCACCCATGCTTTACCCTACCACACCAAACTTGCCGGTGGACCCGTTTAAGCTGCTGAGTTGACATAAGTAAGGGGGGGGGGGGGGAAGGGGCTTTGAGCAGCTTGTTCGTTCAGGGTTTCAGCGCAATCGTCCTCGCTGCGTTTCGACATTGTGGAGTAGCACTGATTTCGGATTGATTGGTACCCCAGTCGCGGAGTTAAGTACACCCCTGGACAAAAATAGTGTCCTAGAAATAAAATATTTAATTGCCTTGGCCATTTTGTATTACTGTGTTAGGTACGCCGGGGTACCGCCATAAGGATAATATCTGCTTCTGTGGGCCATTCTCTGAGAGCTTGAAAATGGATGCTTAACCTCCATGTCATGATGGTGATAGCATAGTCAGGATACGTACGGTGCGAAAAAAGTTCAACATCCATACCTGCGTAAAAAATTGGGAAAATATCTTTTACAAAAACAAACCCCGAGACGGGCAAAGCTAGGACACATCCTACACATGGACAGTGTCCTCTTTCCGAAAACGCATCTGCAGCCACGAAGTAGATCCCCGAACGAGCCGACTCGACGCCGCAATCACCAAAGACGCCGGCGCCATTTTCAAATCGGCCATCTTGATGGCGCGCAGTGTTGATGGTTAGAAGGAGAAATGTAAAACTTTATTTCAATGAATCGGTGGTTATCAAACTGCTGCCATTGCATTTCAATGTATCTTTAGCAAGGAATTCTCAACAGATAAAAAAATGTAGATTGTAATGGCGGGTAATATGAGTGCTCAGGTTGTTACACTGGTGCACGAATAATAGCCGGCTCTTGCCGATAGTGTCACAGGATTTTTTATGTTTAAGTTACAGCAGATGTCAGGCAATCCTTGTTCCGCCATGAGGTCTGGTGGTGCAAGCCAGACTTTATGAAAGCAGCCACCCTCTCCGTGGATGTTTACACGATTGGACATTTAAGTGGTGTTGCGTTACGTTTCTACTGTGTTTAAAGAGCTCGCTGCGGTCACTGTAGCAGTTCAATCGGTGTTCACACTCAAAATGAGGATGAAATAGCTCGTAACACAAAAAGCAAGTGTAGTTTGACGTGTTGTGCATTAAATGAGCGATGAAGCGGAAAATCTTATTTTCCACGCCGACAATGAAAGTATTTTTTTTAAACAATCTGCGTACAAATCCACTCATGAGACGGTCTGCATCAGATAGTCGCATTTGGCAGATTTTTCAAATCGGGGGCCTCATTACTTTCCCACGATCTGAAGAAGAACGGCAGTCCGCAAGGGAGAGAGAGAATAGGAAAAAATAATCGCGTAATCCCACTCGTTCAATTTCGCTGATGTGTTTTTTTTGTTTGTTTCGCATTTGTCGCTTGCGTCTTTGCCACCGGCAGCAGTTTGACGGGAACTCCAACTGGGACATGCCGGAGGTGCGAAGGTTCCCGGTGGTGACGGCACAATACGTGCGCCTCTATCCCGAGCGCTGGGGAGCCGGAGGAGGAGGCCTCCGGCTCGAGCTGCTGGGATGCACCTTGCCCGGTAAGACGGCCTGCCGAATCTTAAACCAAGTCACCATAGTCGTAATAGTATTTCCGTTTATACTGGTAGGAACCTCCTGGTTACACCAGCCTACAGGGGATTATTGTGTCTGTCCGACCGTCGTGCAGGGAGGGGCTGGGTGGGGAGGGAGGGGCTGGGTGGGGAGGGTGGGGAGGGGCTGGGTGAGGAGGGGAGGGTGGGGAGGGGCTGGGTGGGGAGGGGAGGGTGGGGAGGGGCTGGGTGGGGAGGGGAGGGTGGGGAGGGGCTGGGTGGGGAGGATTAAGGTCAATCAAATTTTTTGTAGCGTTACGTAATTCTTGTCCTTTTGCAACATTACGTTATTTTTGTTTTATAGATACAGTAGAGGTTTCATTAGTTTAACTAAGGGTAGTGTTTGGGTAGATATTGGATGAAATTAAAGAATCGTAGGAAGTGCAGAGCGAATGTACAGCAGGTTGCGATAGAAAACAGACGATAGCGCGATAAAGTACCGAGAGAAAACGAACTCGAAATTGGGTAGGGAAGGCAAAACTACTTCCGCCTATGGGATTTTATCGTTGATTTGGGGGGGAAATTGTAAAATTCGGGTTACGGATCATTCTCGGGAACCTAACCCTTCCGTAACCTGGGGACTGCCTGTACATTAACAAGCGGCATGGGGAAAGAGACCAGGCTCCTACCACGTTAGAAAACGGTCTCGTTCGCTGCAACCATTCCCCTGAAGGAACGATTTTCGTAAAATCGTACCCATTGAAAAGAATACACGTATCACGCATTTACGAATGCAATTAAATGATTAATTAATTGTTACATGACCGGTTTTTATCAGGTAGATTTGTTGTGTGCCGGGCAATGCCCACAGCAGTGGTTAGTTAGCGCGCTGTGCTGTGAACTTCACGTGCATCACCTAACACCGCTGACCAGCGTGGTGAAGTATGGTCAAACAACCACCACGAGCTACCATAAGAGCACACGGAGGCTTTTATCCAGCAGTGGATTTGCAGCCGTCTAAGGGCCACCCATTTAGTACGTACGCATGGAGGGGGGAAGTGGGGGGGGGGGGTTAACCCAAATACGTAGCTTGCGTATGGGGGGTCTACTGACAATGTACGCATAGGAAACGGGGGGGGGGGGGTGAAGCCTCGATAATAAATTGTCTACATTGGCCTTCAAATGTTGGCTTAAACACGTTAATATTATTAATCCTTGCTCGTTTCTGTGTGGATTAAATATCGGCCGTTCTATTTGATTGGGGTGGGGGGGTAAAAAGTCCACGTGCGTACAGGGAGGGGGGGAGGGGTCAAGTTTTGACAGATTTTTGCGTGCCTACTAAATGGATGGCCCCCGATGTGATGACCCTGTCACTCTTACGCCCTCTGCTGGTGCAGTCTTGGGTGACTTTTTTTTCATTGCAGTAGTTGGATTAACTCAGGGGTCGGCAACCAAAATAACAAGAAGAGCCATTTCTTTCCAATTCGGTACAAAATTCAGTATTTCAAGAGCCGCAATGCATCTGAGTACATACGTACTCATCGTCAAGAAGCAGCCCGTAAAGAGCCGCATGCGGCTCCAGAGCCGTAGGTTGCCGACCCCTGGATTAACTTCATGATAATACGTCGACACATCGCCGCAGGTTTTAAACATTCATAGCGTAATAGGATCAACAAGCAGATAACAAAAAAATAGATCACACACGTATCCAATGTAGATTTTTTTTAGCGGTTTATTGGAATCTAATTTGTACGGTACCACATTGGTTGTCATGGTCGTTGCGTTGTTTCTTACGCTCACAATGCATTCACAGAATCACGCATGTTAGAATCAGTTATTTACTACGTGTGAAAATTCTATGCAATGTATATGCAAATGTTATGTTTATAATAATCAAAAAAATGTAAAGCGATTCCCCGCTCAGTGAGCATTGAGGCGGTGTTTATCTCCAGTTTGCAGCCCTGAACCAGCGTTGAACATTCTCCATTCCTATGACAGGGGCGAGTCTATCCATAGACCCATCACTGTGGACGTTCCAAAAAAGTGGTACTTATTTTTATCAAACCAAAGGAATGGTTGGTTAAGTCAAACCCCATCCTGGATTAGGATTTGCAGCCTACCATTGAGCTACCCGGCCGGGTATTTATGATTTTGCAGAGAATAAAACTGCGCAAATGAATCACACAAGAATAAGTCAACAAAGGAGACACTAAAAACTAATGAAAAATAATCACTTTTTAAATTAAATCGTAACCCCCGATTCGTGGCAATTCATCCCTTCATTAACGTCATCGGCGACGGCTGTCTTAGATATAAAATATCCTTGCCAAGGAGTCAAAACCCTGCGGTGGCTGCACATGGGGGGGTCACCAACTCATTCCCCTGGAAGCCCCGGGGTCTCTGGAAGCCTCCGATTGCCGAGTGGCCCTGTTGTCGGAGCACGTGGCTCCCAAATGGCAGGTTGCGAGACAAAATCCTGGTCAGGGAGGTCAACTCAGTCCTTCCTCTCTCTGGGGTCGCTCGAATCCGTGCCACTCTGTGGGAATTTGGCAGTGATTGTCCCATGGATTTACTGAGCATGGTGGTGCCACCTGTGATGCAGTGCTCTTGTGGGCAAGGGTTGGTGGATCAAATAGAGATATGTGAGATTACCAAACTCGCCAGGTTGTGTATGGTGGCTCAGGGAATGGCAGCAAAGAAAATTAGTTGTTTAACTAATCTGTGCAGAACTTTGAGTGTGATAGCCTCATATGTGCGTGGTTTCTCTGGATATTCCAGTTTACTCCCAAGTGGAGAACACTATTGGCCAAACATCCCAGTGAAAAAGAGGTTTGAGAGTCGGTGAGGATGTCTTCGATAAATGGACGTTATGTTTATGATCGTTATCATAACTGATACCTGTCATAGAAATGTGGAATATCCATAAACCCGCTCATTGTGACAAACGGAAAAGAACTTGATCCTACACAGCCACCTGCCCGCCGTACCTTTCTTCATTATTGACAACTTGCAGCTCAGCACACGGCAGATGCCTGCGCAGCGCGACTCACGACCTCCTCTTGATACCAAGATCCAGGATGGTCACGTCTACGCGCCGCTTCTGGGTGGCAGCCCCAACAGTCTGGGACGATATCCCTCTGCACATTCGCAGCATCACCTCAATCGCCTCCTTCAAGAGAGACTTAAAGACTCACCTCTATAACCACGCTTTCGAGCGACTCTGAGCTTGGCTCCGTGCCTCTGAGATGCGGCCGTTACGTCCGCAAATTTGCGCGCGTTATAAATTGCATTATTATTATTACAAGGGTTAGTTCATGTTTGGTGGAAATTGACTTGGTGTGTCTTCACTGACTGTACCAGATGGATCCCCCCCACCTCTAAATATGACATGTTATTGGTGATCTTATAAGGTTAATAAATAAAGCCTCAGCAAATGTTGCATTTGTTCTCTGGGCCCTGCAATCAATGGAAAACCTTGTTGTGCAATTGGCTCATTATGACCATAATCTGATTCGCAAAAGCAGTGTTCACTTTCAAAATCTATTTTCTTTTCTTCTACACATCGTACTTTAGGCATCATATAATGTAATGATACATTTGCATTCAGAACTCACGCAGAGCAGTGCGCCCACCCCATGTTTTAAAAAAAAACAGCCCAGAAGGAGATATCACAGATCCTTTGAAGTGAACTCTCATGCACCCACTGTTCTACACAAGCATGTTTTTTACATGGTAATCAAATGTCTGCGGATGCAATTTCCACAGATCTACTTGTGAAACACCTTTCAAGTTGCCTTGTTATTTTATATGTTCTGGATGCAAATTCCGACACGATCTGCTACAATACCGGAGCTCATAGCACGATAGTCAAATATGTTGCCAACGTATGCGCAGAACCAGACTTAACACGATTGGGTTTTTTCTCTATTCCAGCCATTGGTGACAGCTCTGAGACCGGCATGTCACAACACTTGATAAACCTGTTTAACCACAGGCAGCTGAGCTTAGCTGAGCTTAGCTGCCTGGTTTCGAACCCAGGATTTCAGCGGTGCCACCTCAGTGCTCTGACTCTTGAGCCACGAGGTCACCTTGAGAACCCAGTTTCAGCACACACGGGGCTAAAACCCAGATTTGAACCCATCTAATCTCTGCAGTGCCGACCCAAGATTTCCCCATCCGACCGACCGCTCCAGGCAAAGCCGTGACCTTTTTCCCGTCCATTGTGCACCGACACCAGGCTGGGTTGAGCCGCCCACGCGCCGAAACGTCTCGTCCAGTGAGGGTCCCGCGGGCCCCCCGTGCCCCCGTGGCGTGTGGCCGCACGGTTGCTCCGGGGAGGACGTCTTGTCGGAGCATAGCTCCGGGGAGCGAGGAGCGTCACCGACGACACTCGAGCCGGGACCACAGGCGACATCACCCCCCGGCAGCACCGCCGGTGAGGGCATGAGTTGTCGCGTGTCAGCACAAGAACTCTGCTTTCATAAGCTCTCAAAGCCAGAGCCGGATTATGTTTAATGGGAGCCTAGGGCTTTTATAGTATTGGTGGGGAGCCCAGTTTGTTTATTCAATTTCTCCCCCTTGATTGTTTTACCACCACCCATGCCCGATGCCAAGCACTCCGTTGTGATTCACCTTGTTTAATTCAGTTCGGGTGTTTAAATGCAAAATAGGAATTGTAAACCCGAGTCAAAGCGGAAAAATAACAGAACTGTTTTAATTTCGGCACCTTACAACAGCCGCCACCGTTCGCCACCAAGCGGTGGTGATGTCACCTCGGCGTTTGTACCAAGCTAGGTGCACCTTGAGGCAACATAACCGGTAATAACACACAGTGATTAAACTTGAGGATGTATCATAGTGCTGCTGAATTGCATATCATCCATTGCAAAGTACCACAAATGTAGATTTTATTTTTTTAGAAGAGCACTGCAAAATGCAGCCTCTAAAGCTCCTCCTGCTCATCGCACTGTGGCAGCGGCGTAGCCATGGAGGGTGCACGCGGTGCGATTAAACTTGGGGCCTTGGGCCAGCGGGGCCCAGCTGCCGGACTTACAAGAGGGGAGGGGAGGGCAGTGGGGGCGGAATTTGGACAGGGAGTACCGCACAGAGAGTCACCCTTCGATACATTTATGATTTTTCGGGTTCAACCTTAATGCCTGAGGCTCAGTGAGTCATACAAAGGCTGATTCAGCAATAATGCCCGAGGCTCACATCGTCATACCGAGACACCATTGAGATGATTTTGGGTTCAACCTTAATTCCCAGTACTTGATAGTGGCATGGTGGCATAAAAAAACCCTCAGTATCCATTACTGGCTGGCTAAGTGGATAGATACTTAAATCGCCACACGGCGCTGACCGCTCCAGCGTGCCTGCCCTTTGCCCCTACACCGCCCGCTTGCTCACCGCAGATCTCGCGAGAGTGCCAGAATTTCGAACCGGCACAGCGGACAAGTGGAGCACATCCTCATCGCCACGCCGGCTCCCGGCGCCAACAACGCCACCGTCGTCGTCATCGCCGCCGCCGCCGCCCACCGCGACGCCGGACCCCAAGTCGTCGTACACCAGCCTGGACCTGGTGCTCATCAGCATAATCGGCATCAGCTCACTGGGCATCGTGCTGGGCGCCGTGTGCGTGGGCCTGCTGGCGTTCTGCACGAGCCCGTGCCAGGCGGGGAGGTCGTCGCCGTCGCCGCCGCCGCCAAACGGCACGATCACCAAGCCGAGGCTGCCCGCCGGCGAGGGCATGGGAGGGTTGGAGCTGTGTGACGGTGCGGCCAACGGGGTGAGGGGCAAGGTTGGCCGTCAGAGCTCTTCCTCCGAGGCGTGACCGCTGGGGATAATCGACGCTCCCCCCGCGGTGTGGAGCTTACGCTGCTGCTGCTGCCGTGGACTTAATGGAAGGTGTGTGGCAGGTGGCTCTCATGCGAGCGCAGCGGAGGCGGCAGTGGCTGCGGCACGATTTGACCCCGTCGATTTGAACGGCGCTTGCTCGAGGAATTCTTCACAAGTGACCCTAAGAACTGAACCTCGGCATTGTCCGAAGTTGCGCAAATCTCACAGCGATGGGGGTGGGTTAAACCCATCGCTTTTCCTCAAGCATCTCCCGAACTGTTTGTGTGTCTCCAGCATTTTTTATGGAGGCTGAAGTGTCCTCAATTGGTGTTCGAAGCTTTTCCTACTTTTGCATCAAGCAGGATTGTTTGGCCCATTAGGTTCAAATGGCTGATGGAAGGAAAAGGACATGGTGTATATTCAAAGCCACCTCAATTTTATGAAGGCATTGCCACCTGTTGTTCGGAGCACCTTATCGAATTAGACGGCCATAATGCCTCCAAGGTTCATAGAGCAAAACTAAAACCACGTGCCGTTTTATCGTCTAGAACATGTGACAAAAACGTACGCAATTGGATTTTACCGTGACAGGAGATGGTCGTCGACCATAGACCTTGGTTTGTTTGTCAGGGGATGTGTGACATCACGCCGCGTGTCTGAAGAAGAAAGGGGAAGACTTTGGGTGGATTTGTGAACACTGTAGAAAATGGAGCGCAACCGTTTGCAGAGATAACATCACGAGAATCCTAAAAATATTTCACTCCACAAATCCATATGTTGAAGCCCTTAATTACATTTCTATTCCAAAAAAATGCTGTCAATGTGGAAAATTACGGTTTTCCATAAATACAGGAAGGAAAATTTCAAAGTCTTGCTCTACAGAATGACAGAATTTTTTTTTACAAAACTAGCACTGCCCGCGTATTTACGTGGGACACAGGGCTGGAGTACAGGGTGGGGGGCGGGGGGGGCAGAGGGGGGGCTGGGGGGGAAACGGAACGGGTGCTGAGGGGAGGCGTGATGTCAGCACGACTCACGGGCATCCCGTAATGCTGCGGGATGTGGGTGACGTCGTTACGCTGATGTTCGCTATTTCGTCACCTGCACGCCAGCCAGCCAGGCAGGCAGGCAGCCAGCAAAACTTTTTTCGAATATAGTATTATACAGGTGGGACTTTTCTGTACAACATACAGTCATCCCTTAAACTAGACCAAAAGGTCTCGGATTACTGCCTTTCATGAGACTGCAAATTAAATTATAGTTGACTGGGTGTGAAATAATGCCTCAATTCCCTTTGTCGCTATGAAAACTACACCCAAAATGTTTCGTGAACATGTAGGCGCATTGGTCGCTCCGTGGTGACCAGTTGGTATTTTCAACAACAACAGAAAAATCGGAATCGTCAGAAATGAAACTTCAAACGAGGATGTCATTTTTGTTGCGAGGAATTTTTGTTTTGTTTGCTTCTAAGTCGAGTGCTTTCCTCGGTTCGATATGCTGCGGTGGAGCGGTGGTGGCTGTGCACGCCTGTAATCCAGCACCGCGGCGGCAAGAGTTGATGGATCGAACAAATGTCCCTTCCCGTAGCACTATGAGACCTCCTTTTACCAGTGGCAAAATATAGTAGTAGGTTTTTACCCTTTAAACTGGTACAAAACTGACACCTTTATACAAGGCATCATACACTATGGGGACCTCATTTGCCAGTAAAAATATGATAATTGGTTCTTTACCCTTCTATCTGGCAACAAAACTGACACCTTTTTGCAAGGAGTCATGTTTGCATAGACCGCAATACCTGCAGTCATAATACAAACAAAAGAACATAACTCTGATAATGTGCACTGTCCCTGAAGTTGATTGGTCCACACCCGAGACAGCTTTCCTTCGAGCCTTGTCTCATATGGGTTGGACCAGATGACGCCATAGTGTAGATGCTTGCCCCGAGCTCTCATACTCTGATGGTGCATTGTCCTTGAGTTGTGCGCCTTTTGGCGTCATCTGGTCCAACCCATATGAGACTAGGCTCGAAGGAAAGCTGTCTCGGGTGTGGACCAATCAACTTCAGGGACAGTGCACATTATCAGAGTTATGTTATTTTGTTTGTATTATGACTGCAGGTATTGCGGTCTATGCAAACATGACTCCTTGCAAAAAGGTGTCAGTTTTGTTGCCAGATAGAAGGGTAAAGAACCAATTATCACAAGGCATCATGTTTGCAATAACCACAACACAAGCAGTCAAAATGCAAACGCCGTTTGGCGTCTTCTGGTCCAACACCAATGGAGACTAGGCTCTAAGAAAAGCTGTCTCGGGTGTGGACCAATCAACTTCAAGGACAGTGCATATCATTATCAGAGTTGTTTCTTTTTGTTTGCATTTTGACTGCTTGTGTTGTGGTTATTGCAAACATGATGCCTTGTATAAAGGTGTCAGTTTTGTACTAGTTTAAAGGGTAGAAACCTACTACTAAACCTTCCCGTAGCGTCGAGGTGCCATAACCGTGGCTTGCCAGGAGAAGGCAGTAGACAAAAGCGAGGACGAACATCATCCGTCCCTTCCGTGCAGGATAGATTGTTGCCCCCTCGAACACGCGTGGGTTTTCTCCGGGTGCTTCGATTGTCCTCCCACATGCATGAACACGGATTAATTGGCTGAAAATATCTCAACATAGAGAGGACTGCAGAGCTGTGGTAACTGTTGTCGGGTGGGCCCTCAACGATTATTGGATGCAATTTGCATGAAGGACGCTAAATATATATAAAAAAGGAATACTTAATGTCTCTGGTCCGATTTAACCTAAGTACATTCCATGTTATCTTTTGTCACTTCCTTTTCTCTATTCAAACTTTTGACTTTGGTATTTCTTTTGCATTATCATTGTGGGGCACTTCACACGGCTGTAATTTGTCATTTGTATCTTTGTACAATGTTTTTTGTTAGTTTGCTGCGGTTCCTGGAAATTTGGCTTGAAAATCAAACCACGTTCATCTGCATTTATGACATCCGAGCCTGAAAATTCAAAGCACACTCGCAAATATTTTTTAAGCTTGTGCACGGGCTGCTACTTGTTCTGTGAATCACGCATTAAATAAGGACGCTGATGATAATGGTGTTGATAATGGTGACGATGATCGATGATTGGTGGACATCGCGCGGCTTAAAAACACATCGGGCAGAGCAAAATCCCTTCCCTGTGTTACGTCCGCTGGTTGCAAGAGAATGTGCGCGTTAGTCCACGCCCGTGCAAATGCACGCGGCCCGGCATTAAAAATCCTGAACGAGACAGTCACCGGCTTAAAAAAAACTCCTGACCTCACATCGTGGCCCCTCTGTTCGGAGCCACCCCACCTGCCTTCGGTGAGCCGTCATGCATTGCACTTAGACGTTGCATGCCAGTCGTGTCGGTTAATCACCGTGTGTGATGACTCATTTCGGATGATGGGCCATCGAGTTCTTCGCAGTTAATTGTCGGGGCACCGCTGGTTACACCGTCGATTGGGATCAGCCACCGCTGTTAATATGGTTAATGAAATGTGAACTAACGTAAATGTGCCTTTAAGGCTCGGTCAGTCGCATGTAGTTTTTTTTTACTTCCTTCACCTTTACGTCATAAATATTATCCCATGGTCCGTGAAAGAAACTGGAATAAACTGTGCAAATTAAAATGTCACATCCGGAAATCATTTAGTTGTTACCGGTGAAGTCAATCATCTGAAAGTCAGTTTCAGTGACTCCGGCAAAACAAGTGCAACAATATCTCCATGACTACAAACAAGTGGTAATTTTAAAACGGCAATACGGGCATCAACGGGGGCATTAATACTGGGTGGAGCACCCACATACACACCCTCAGTGTACAACTCCCTGAGTGGGAGACTCGGAGCAGACCTTGGGGGTAAGTCGTCTGTTGTGTAACCGCTGCGGGATCTGGCAGAAGGAAGTGTCGTCGGCTAAGTGTGGCAGCAATGGTCGTGATGACATACAGTACGTAGCGTCAACTTAAGAGTACTCCCAGCCACCCCAATGAGTTGCCGCTGATAGCGAGTAGAGGTATTGTTTCTAGAGTTGAAGCTTTCGTGACTGCAACGATTCATACTCTTAGTTTTTTTCGGTAAAAGTCACGTAGGTAAAAAATAAAAAAGTATTTTTTTGTTGTGCTTTATTATTTTATTTCTATTATTATCTATATTATTTTATTATTATTTATTATGTATTTTTTACCTACGCGACTTTACCGATAAAACCTAAGAGTAGGGGTATTGTTGGTCATTAAGGGGGGGGGGGGGCTTATGCCCACCCAGGAGGGTGCAACAGTAGTACAGTTCAATTCCTGGCCATGGCTAAAATCAGTGGCAAATATTTGGCCACGTTAAATGTCCACATGATAAGCAACTTCGTTGAGCTTTGATTTGTGGCCAGTTCGCTTTGAAAAAGAGCTATTCGGGAAAGCTCAGTGCGCCTTATCTAGAAAAATAAAAAAAGTTTGTTAAATGACATTTGAACCAGTTCTGGACCCCTTCCCTTCACAAAAACCGCTGACATGCCAAGACAGAGGGCTATAAATTATGATTATTGCATTATCTTATTTATCCACCCAGGCCCTCCCTCCACCCAACAGAATCTCAACTGCTGCAAAAAAACACGCATGCAAGTCATTATAACGCTGCTCGAGTGGAGTGGCCACAGGATATTTGAATCTCAGCAAAAAGGAAATGGGGTTTGTGCCTAAGCGCCAGCTTAACAGCCCATCGCTGCCATCTCTGATGATGTCGCGTTCGATATTAAATGAAAAAGAAAGTCGTGAAGCATCATCAAACGGTTGAAGCTGGGATTTGAGCGGTGAGAAGCCACCCCGAGATCGTGTCCCCCAGCCCCACACCACCCACCCACCCACCCACCAACCCACCAACCACCCACCCACCAACCACCCACCCACCAACCACTCACCCCCACCCATCAACCACTCACCCCCACCCACCCCCACCCATCAACCACCCACCTACCAACCACTCACCCCCACCCACCAACCACCCACCCACCCACCAACCACCCACCCCCACCCATCAACCACCCATTCACCAACCACCCACCAACCACCAACCACTCACCCCCACCCACCAACCACCCACCCACCAACCACTCACCCCCACCCACCCACCAACCACCCACCCACCTACCAACCACCCACCCACCCACCAACCAACCACCCACCCACCACCCACCCACCCACCAACCACTCACCCACACCCATCAACCACCCACCCATCAACCACCCACCCACCAACCACTCACTCCCACCCACCAACCACCCACCCACCAACCAACCACCCACCCACCACCCACCAATCACCCACTCACCCCCACCCACCAACCAACCACTCACCCCCACACACCAACCACCCACCCACCAACCACTCACCCCCACCCACCAACCACCCACCCACCAACCACCCACCCACCAACCACCCACCAACTACACCGCTGTGCGGTCTCGTCACATTTTATTGTCGATGCGACACCGTGCTAACCCAGCCGGGTGGAACGTGCAAAGTGTCACGCTGGTGTGAAATTGTTCGTAGATTAATAATTCACGGTTGTTCGGTGGGGGCTAGGGGGGGGGGGCGTTTCTAAGTGAGCAGCCCCCTAATGGCTTTGGACATTACAACGCTTACGCAACGGTAAAGAGTACTGTAAACCGCCCTAATACATCTGTGTGCGTTGCCAGCCGGGGGGGGTGGGGTGTAGGGGGGAAGAAGGAAAATCCCACGAACAAATTAAGAGCCAAAAAATAAATGGGCCACAGCCACACGACCACGTGCGAAACAGCTGTTCGGGAGATAAGTTGTACAGTGCTTTAAAAAAATATTGCCAGGAATGCTTTGTCATGCTCGAGTTGGGACGGGCTGGCTCGAGAGGGCTGCTACTATGGGATGG